TACTTATTCGAGAGAGAGAGAGAGAGAGAGGCAGAGAGAGAGAGAGAGAGGCAGAGACATAGGCAGCGGGAGAAGCAGGCTCCCCACAGGAAGCCCTATGTGGGACCCAATCCCGGACCCTGGGATCATGACCTGAGCCCAAGGCAGGCACCCAACTGCTGAGCCACTCAGGGGTCCCGGAAAAGTGAATATCTCAAATGGGAACGGTACATGGTGTTTTTTAAGGAGAGAAGTAATAAAACTAGTCACTAAACTAGGTCTAGAGGGAAGAGGATTTTGAATGCCATGCTAGAATATGAATTTGATCGCATGGTCTGTAAAGTACTACTAATGACTTATGAGCAAAGGACAAAAAAAGCAAATGATACTTTAGAAAGATTAATCTGAGGATAAACAAGATGGCCTGGAATGGGGTTGTTGAGAAGCAGGGAGACCGGTTAGAGACTGCAATAGTTCTGGCAAAACAGGAAGGACACTAAACTCAGAAATTACAGAAATGAAATTCTTTATATGATAAGGCAGTTTATAATTTTTCATATTTCATGGGAACTTCACATTAACTAACTGCTCAAATCAAGCCAAGGGACCCCAATCATGACAAGCTATATATAAATGCCTATACCAAAAAAAAAAAAATCACTGCACTCCAAAATATCCACACCAACAGGGTTGAGACATAATCATGTATCAAATCAAAGGGCCTGGTTCATCTTCCAAAAGACACAATCTAGTTACTATCAGCTCTAGAAGGTACACATTATTTCAATACTAACATATAACAATGCTCCAGGGAAGTGACAAACAATCATGTTTTGAGGACAAATATTCTTTGCATTTTTTTTCTTTCCATCATCTTTATCAGTGCAGATATTTGCATGAAAACAGGATCACTGGTCCTTGGGGATTCATCAGTTCCTATTGCTTATTTTTCATCCATGTCATCCTCTCAATTAATGCAGCAAAGAGGATTGAGACATCGAAACACCAGATTAGGGTGTCAAGTAAATGTCAACCCCTAGAGTAGATGAATAATCTGTAAGGACAAAAAAAGATCTTCCTTTTATGCAAATACACTATATACAATAAAACAAAGAGAGACTGTAGCCAAGAAGTCCAATACATAACAACATGAATCTTTCCAATTCTATTAGCTAAAACTATTTTTTTTAAGATTATTTATTTATTTATTTATTCATGAGACACACAGAGAGAGAGGCAGAGACACAGGCAGAGGTAGAAGCAGGCTCCATGCAGGGAGCCCAATGCGGGACTCGATCCTGGAACTCTGGGATCAGGCCCTAAGCCGAAGGCAGATTTTCATCCATTGAGCCACCCAGGTGTCCCTTAAAACTATTTTCTATATGTCATTTAATTTGTTGTAATCAGGGAAAATGACAGTAAGAGGCAAAGCACTGCTAGAGAAATTGAAATAAGGCTGAATTTTGAACCAGAAAATAATTCTGAAAAGTCTCAGCTGTTTTCACGGGACTCATGTGGCAGAAATGAGCATTTCTGTTGCAGAACTTTGGTTCAGTGCTTAAGGTAGTTGAGTTTGGTGACTCCAAGGACCCACCTCCAATGTTTTAAGTTTTAAAGATACTTGGGATGCCTGGGTGGCTCAGCAGTTGAACATCTGCCTTTGGCTCAGGGCGTGATCCCACGGTCCCAGGATAGAGTCCCACATGGGGCTCCCTGCATGGAGCCTGCTTCTGTGTCTCTCATGAATAAATAAATAAAACCTTTTAAAAAAAGTTTTAAAAATATAAAACACTGAATAGTAATAATGTTTTTAACTGTGTGGATTAAAAACTAAAACAAACCATATCAAGTTTCTGATTCTGTGGAAAGCCATTAAAATGAACTTTACTAAAAAAATAAAAATAAAAAAAATAAAAAATAAATAAAATGAACTTTACTAATGTTTAAGGGGGAACTCTTTTTTCTAAAAGCTGATAAAGAGAAAGAATAATTTATCCTGTAGAAAGAGCTTTCAAGGTAATAATAAATACTTGATAAGATAAAGTCCTTTATAGAAAAATTTTAGTTAATAATAAAAAAATGACAGAATGAGAGTATTACCATCTGGCAACCTACAATAAAACAGGGGATCTCAGCAGTTATCAAACATTGCTAAAACTCTTGTGTAAGGCTGATGGAGAATTTTACAATGAATAATCAGTCTAGGGCAGCCCTGGTGGCCCAGCGATTTAGGGCTGCCTTCAGCCCGGGGTGTGATCCTGGAGACTCAGGATCAAGTCCCACGTCAGGCTCCTTGCACGGAGCCTGCTTCTCCTTCTGCCTCTCTCTCTCTGTCACTCTTTCTCTCTCTCTCTCTCTGTCATGAATAAATAAATAAAATCTTAAAAAAAAAATCAGGCTAATGATGCCTTTATCAACTAATTAATTTTAACATCACAAAGAGAAATAGATAGACATGATGTATCTTCTGATGGATGTACACAATACCACTTATGAAATGGCCAAAATAAAAATAAAAAAGTCAAGCTGTATCTGTGCAAGCTTCTAGATCTAACTACCAGGAAATAAAAAGGGATAAATGAACATATTCAACACTACCACAGAAATATAACAAAATTCAGGAAGTGGAAAATTCTACAGAATAACTAGGTTTAATAAATGGTAAGGGAAGATAAAAGGCAGGTGGAACTATGACAGATTAGAGAGACTTAAGAGATGTATCAACCAAATACAGTGTATGAACCTTATTTAGAACCTAATTCTAACAAACCGACTGTATAAAAACAATTATAACTCAAACTGGGAAATCCGAATCCTGATGAGCTATTTGATGATATTAAGCAAGTTTGTTAAAAATGTTTAGGCATAATAGTGGAATTGTGGTTATATCTAAAAAGGCGAGGGAAGGAAACAGAACTTGTGTTTTGGTAATATATATGTAGTTACTGGCCAACGAGGTAATATAATACCTAAGATTTGCTTTAAAATAATTATGGGAGGTTGTATAAGTAAACAGATTGGCCAATGGTTAACTATGGAAGCTGGGTCATGGCAACATGAGGTCATTCTTCTAGTCTCTCTACTTTGATATATGTTTAAAACTCTCCATAATAAAAAATGGGGGGAAATATCTTACCTTTCCCAAAAGGAAGGCAGAAAAAAACTAATCAGAGGAAATATAGCAATTTCAACTACAACTAACTAGAGATAATACTATTGATAAATACATTTGGCAATATAACATCTTCTTGGGCAGCTCAGGTGGCTCAGTGGTTTAGTGCCGCCTTCAGCTCAGGGCCTGATCCTGAAGACCCCGGATCGAGTCCCACATCAGGCTCCCTGCATGGAGCCTGCTTCTCCCTCTCCCTGTGTCTCTGCCTCTCTCTCTCTCTTTCTCTCTCTGTGTCTCTCATTAATAAATAAAAAACAAAACAAAACAATAAAAAAATCTTCTTGATATAATGAGCATAAAATTTATAAAGAAAAACTGACACAGAGAAATAAAGGATTATTATTATTACAGCATTTACTACCTAGAGCTAGTAACAGAATCAACTTCTATATTATACCAACCTAGCATTCATGAATTTAATAATCACAGACTTGACTTTTCATTATAAACCCTGAAAGTCCATGACATACATGGTAAATGTTAACTTGCCGACGCATAAATTTTAATCATGAAAAATAAATGACCAGTAACACGGAAGAGAGTTAGGTAACAATGAGTGAACCTAGTAGACCACTAGCAACCATATCTCAAAGCAGTTTGTTGTTTCCTGCTCCTTGATTCATGAAGTGATTAAAAAATATTTTCTTGGTAAAAGAAGGCCAACTATTAATGACAGTGATGGAAATATAGAAAAGATAAAGAGGCCTAAGGAAGTGAGGACTTTTAATCAAAAATTAGAAGTTTTAAATGATATTTTAAAGTGAAATATTGAATTTGGCAGTAACTTAAATCAACAATGTGAACAAATCTTCTATATGCTCTATAAATCAACAATTTATGAAATTGTTTTTGGGATTGTTCTAATCAGGGCAAAACTTGCATGTTTAAAGAAAGTTATAAGCTAGTACAGCCTCTCACAATTGTGGATTCATGAAGGTGTCAGGAAGTACCCATTGAGAACAAAGTTCTAACCACTATATGTTGAGTTTCTCTTTCGCTTACAAAGTGAGAATTTCTATAATTTCTTTTCCAGTTTTACAATGAACACAGTATGGGAAGAAATATAATCTATAAAGGAGTAAGTTACACTAAAAGAATGGAGAGTAGACAGGAATAAATGAGAAGTTTTAAAATTATTACTCATGACAATCGACTATGTTCTTAGCCTGTTATATGGCCCTTTATTTGGGGAACCAATCCTTCCTCCCATTCCACGTGATTTGGATTAGACTAACCCCTCTAATCTGTGTCTGTATCCTGAACCCAGGCTTGGCCCATTAAAGTACTCTAGGCTAACTGGCTAAAGGATTGGTTCTAAGATAGGTACGTGAGTCAAGATGGTATAGAATGAGTCCTCCCCAGGATCTTTCTTTTGGAATGTTCAGAAAAGATGGTTCTTTATTTTGGGATTATGAAATATAAATACATATAAACTGGAGCTACTTTTGGCCACCTTCCCCACCTCGAGATGCAAAACAAAAGCAAAAACAAGAGCACATCCCAATGATATTAAAGGTCAAACATCTAGATACCCTTAAAGCTACTCCTACACCTGAAATTTTGATTTATGTGAACTAATGAGGTCCCTCTTTTGCTTAAGCTACTTTGATTTGACATTCTATTGCTTTAAACTAAGGTTTCCAATATACTTTTATTGTACAAAGAAAAATAACTTGTTACTGAGTAAACTTAGTAATTATTCCAGTATACTATACCATAAAAAGGCACTCTAGATTACAGTGACTTCTTACCTTCACAATGCCTAGTAAAGATCCTTTTTAAATTATAGCTAGCACTCATTAGGAAATACACAACATGCAACCTTGAAAAATGTGATCTGGGTACTCACACTCATCCAGCCCCAGCTGATAGGCCAAGTTCTGTAGGCCTCGTACCTTCTCCATCAGATTAGCTGTGGTGAGGCTCCCCAGTTCTGAAACAGAATCATTTGTTTCAATATCATTTCTTTCTACTCTTCTCTAGTAACAACCTATTCAGGTTGCAAATCCTTGCTATAAAAGTTTCCAAGCTTAATTCTTATCTAAGAAGTAGAAAATGGATCCATATCTCTTCTCATCCAATTATTCCCCTTACACACACAGTGAATTTTTCCTACTGTTGCAAAATGCTTCAGATGAACTTATTAATGAGAAGAGAGTTAGTATAAATATACAGCAAATTATATTTTATCCCAACGATCCTTTTATAAATTTCATTTTGCCCATCACAGAAGATGAACACACTGTTAAAATATGAAACTTTGTGATCTGACACAGCAGATCTTAGTCTGAGAAAGATGTCTGAGAAAGTCTCACAGACTTTCAAAATGGATACTGTCTCCGCTATCGTTTGTAAGTCTTCTTATTCCAAATAACAATAAAATAGCAATAAAACACTTACTCTTCCCCATTTCCCTAAGTTTAGAAAACAAAGACTAAATATTAATCCAAACTTTCCCTTCAAACCAAAGTTCTATAAAATTTAAGTTTACCAGATAAAAAGATAGTATACTTTAAATAAAAACTTAGTTCCCAGATTTTCATTTAAATAGCACCCAATTCCTTTCATGTTTAAGGCACAGGTCAATTTGCATGGAACATAACGATATGATCCCTTTTAAAAAATTTAAAGTTTCCAGGGATCCCTGGGTGGCGCAGCGGTTTGGTGCCTGCCTTTGGCCCAGGGCACGATCCTGGAGACCCGGGATCGAATCCCACATCGGGCTCCCGGTGCATGGAGCCTGGTTCTCCCTCTGCCTGTGTCTCTGCCTCTCTCTCTCTGTGACTATCATAAATAAATAAAAATTAAAAAAAAAATTTAAAGTTTCCTTAGAAAATACACATGCATGAGATGTTATATAAATGTCCATTTGGAACATTTACAACAATGAACCTAAGGTGCCCTTGAGATTTAATTTTTCCATGGTTGGAGGAGGGGATCCTCATTTAAGCATTTCATGCAGTACAATGAATTACTTCCGAAATCAAATAAAGATGTTATTTTCTCCCACTTATCATGCCACCCTCATTATTGATACCTGGCATAAGTAGACTTTCACGATCTATTCAGCTGCTTAAATACCTCAAGAATGCCAGATTTTTACCTTAATTTCAGTCTATTACTTTACAACCATCATGAATCTTATCACCAGAAAGATGATAAAAATTAAATAAGTAGAGCAAAATCAAGGAAAATTAATGTTTTTTAATTTAAATTTCTACTCTGTGGTTGAGTTCCAAGTCATTTATCAAACAACAATATTCACTACTTACACTATTGTTTATGGGAGAAATTGATGGGATGGAAAGAACTAAAAGACAGGTTTTAACCCACTATGGGGTTATCAATTAATAGTACTGACAACAATACATAGCATTAAATCCTAAGTAAGGCACTTGTGTTAGACTGATAAGAGACTAGACTTAAAAGATCATTTTAAATTTTAACTCTTTCTAATAAATCTTGGTTAAGTTAACCTCTGAACCTTAGATATCATCATACCTAACTCACATGACCTTTATGAGAATTAAATGGGAAAAATTTATGAGATTTTTTGTCGACTATAACATTATACAAAATAAAATTAATATTAAAGGAATTTAGTAGCAGAAGAAATCATGAGTGGGTCCTGAACTGAAAGGATTTATTCACATGGAAAAGTAGAGACAAGCATTCAGACATGAAGAACCATGAATAAGCTTGGTTAAGTTGGCAGTTTGACTGCAGCAAATACTTGTAAGGGAACAGTGAGAGAATATTGGAAAGGTGTTTTGTAAAGGAACATAAATGTCAGGTGACAAGTCAGAGGTCACCAGCATTGCTTACCTTTCAACATGTCAATGTCATCACGTTCTATTTCAGCCATCCATTTGGGTGGAGAGCTAGTAATAGGCTGTCAGAATATAAGAATATATCCACTCAGATACATACAAAATGTAGAGACCATAATCTTCCTTTTTATATGAAAAGTAGCTGTGACACAACTTTCAGGTTGTTTGAAAATACTGGCAAATGATAATTTCAAAAACCCAGATTTCTCAAGCTTCAGCTATGACCTAAAACCAGTCACCTTGCAAAATAATTCTGCTCACCTTTACAAAAAGCTGATCTCAGAGAAATGATCTTAGAAGAGAGGTCTGACCACAAAAAAAAAAAAAAAAGAAGAGAGGTCTATTACTATTTCATGCATAAGAGGTTAGGAAAGCAATGAAAGAAATTACTTGAAATTCAGTTCTGGTAAAAGCCTCCAACTGAACTGTTTGAGACAGTCATGAGTAACATTCTCTGGCAGAGGGGAAGACTCATAGAAAGATGTCTCTCTCTTTTCTCTCCACACAAATGCAGAGGACTATTACTCAGCCATTAAAAAGAATTAAATCTTGGGATGCCTGCATGGCGCAGTTGGTCGAGCATCCAGCTCTTTGTTTCATCTCAGGTCATAATCTTATGGGTTGTGGGAGTGAGCCCTTTGGCAGGGAGTCTGCTTTAAGATTCTCTCCCTCTGCTCGTCCCCCCACTCACATTCACTCTAAGATAAATAAATAAAACCTTAAAAAAAAAAGGAATGCAATCTTGCCATTTATGACAACATGAATAGACCTAGAGGATATTATGCTAAGTCAGACAAAGAAAGACAAATAGCATGATTTCTCTTATATGTGGAATCTGAAAATAAAACAAAAAACCAGACTCAAGAATACAGAAAACTGGTGGTTGTATTGGAATTAGCAAAATAGGTAAGAGGGATTAAGAGGTACAAACTTGCAGTTATACAGTAAAAAAGTCACAGAAATGAAAAGTATAGCATAGGGAATATAGTTGATAATAATGTAATATATATAATTGTTGATTCACTATGTTCTACACCTGAAGCTAATATATGTCAACTATACTTCAATTAAAAATTTTAAAAAGAGGAAATCCTCAATTTGTGAGAAGACTATAAGGGTCATCACTTCAAATTTCATTATATTGTAGACATTTTAGAAAACTGTAGAATTTTAAGTTATATTCTCATTTCATTTTTTTAAGATTTATTTATTTATTTATTTATTTATTTATTTATTTATTTATTTATTTATTTATGAGAGAGAGAGAGAGAGAGAGAGAGAGAGAGAGAGAGAGAGGCAGAGACACAGGCAGAGGGAGAAGCAGGCTCCATGCCGGGGGCCCGACGCGGGACTCGATCCCGAGACTCCAGGATCGCGCCCTGGGCCAAAGGCAGGCACCAAGCCGCTGAGCCACCCAGGGATCCTCCTATATTCGCATTTCTGAAAAGTGAACTTAAAAATGTGAAAAAGAGGGATCCCTGGGTGGCTCAGCAGTTTAGCGCCTGCCTTCAGCCTGGGGTGTGATCCTGGGGTCCTGGGATCGAGTCCCACATCGGGTTCCCTGCGTGGAGCCTGCTTCTCCCTCTGCCTGTGTCTCTGTTTCTCTGTGTATCTCTCATGAATAAATAAAATCTTTAAAAAAAAATGTGAAAAAGAGCCCATTTTTGGAATAACTTTGGACAACAGTTTTCAATCCTAGTTACACATGAGAATCATCTACGTAACAAAAAAATACAGATGACCTGGCCACACTCCACATGCATAGATTTAAAATATCAGAGGTGGAAGGAGGATCCAGTGGAGAGAACAGAGCCAACGGCCAATTACGTATGTATTTTTTTAAATGTAATACCACCTATTTAGCTTCAAAAACATTTTTGCATCCTAAGCATACAAAAAAGGTAACAAAACATTGCAAATTGTATTTAGTACAGAAGGTTCTTGAACTTTCATTGTTGCACTGGCTCTTTGCTTTACAATGAAGACAATGAAGAGATCTACAATTTGTTTAAAACTACCACACTAGGGATGTCTGGGTAGCTCACCGGTTGAGTGCCTGCCTTTAGCTCAGGGTGTGATCCCAGGTCCTGGGATTGAGTCCTGGATCACGCTTCCTGCAAGGAGCCTGCTTCTTCCTCTGCCTATGTCTCTGCCTCTCTCTCTGTATCTCTCATGAATAAATAAATAAAATCTTAAAAAAAAAAAAAAAAAAACCAAAAAACTACCACACTAGGAACACCTGGGTGGCTCAATGGGTTAAGCATCTGCCTTCAGCTTAGGTCATGATCCTGAGATCCTGGGATCAAGCCCCATGTCAGGCTCCCCTGAGTAGGGAGCCCACTTTTCCCTCTCCCTCTGCTGCTCTCCCTGCTTGTGCTCTTTCACGTTCTGTCAAATAAATAATAAAATCCTAAAAAAAAACAAAAAACACAAAACTACCACACATTAAAAAAGATCCAAACACTTCTCATGCCAGTGGACCCCCCTCCTTTTCCACAGCTAAGAATGCCAACAGAATGCTATGTTACTATACACAAAAATAAGACATAAAGCTAAATGAACACCCACCACAGGGTCCACAGGTACAGCCACACAGCACACTTCCCAAGTTATAACCATTACATACGTATTTTTTAAAAGCTGCAGGACTGCACACAGATGATTCTGTTGTGCAGGCAGGGGTATGGCTAAGAAACATTATGTCTGCTGAGTCTTTTTTTTTTTTTTTTAATTAACATGAGTGACCAATGCATCGTGTTACTTAATTTCCAAAACAACAGGATGAAGCAGGTATTATTATCCTCATCTTACAAGGGAAAAAAACTGACGTATAGGAAAATTATAAATCACTTGCCTCTAGATACACAGCTACTGGAGCCAAGATTTAAACCCAGGAAGTCTGGGTTCAGAAACCATTACTCTATACACCTTTCCTAGAAGGCCATTGGTCAAATTTGCCATTTTTACCCACCAGTAGGGAAACAGACTATATCAGGAGATTTTAACCTAGGGTCCTGGGATGATCCTGAACTCCTAGAAACAAAACAGTATGAATGTGCATACTTCTAGGGAAAAGGGGTCGATACATAATCAGATTTTCAAAAAACAGCATATTTTAATAAAAGGTTTTTAAAGATTTTTAAAAAACCTTTTATTTCTAACTCAAAATACTTAGTTGTTACAAATATAATTAACTAAACTGAAAAGTCAGTATGAATCAGAACGTAAGAAAATTAATTTAGACACTTTCTATTCAATCTACTAGACAAAAGCCAATCTAATACTAATAACTACTATGTACTCTTTATTACATCCTAGGTACAATGCAATGTATTTTACATGCATTATGGCATTTTACACGAAGAAACCTATGAGGTAGTTTCAACACTAAGGCTCAGAAATGTTAGGAAACTTGTTTAGGTCGCAGGCAGCTAAAAGCAGATTCAGGTCTCAAATCCAAGTGTATCTGACTCCAGAGCCCTATATTATCCCGAACTCTTCATGCTTAGGCCTTACTGAATGCTAAGAGTATGGGCCAACTTTCCTATAACCCCAGCTTTTGAATAAATGAGAGGCCACAAAATCTGACTACCACTGAACAGATACTGTCAAGGAACCTAAAAGCCACTGGCCCAGAGGGGCTTTAAATATATATATATATATTTAACTTTATTTACTTACTTACTTACTTACTTATTTATTTATTTATTTATTTATTTTTAAGGTTTTATTTATTTAGGGGATCCTGGGTGGCTTAGTTGTTAAGCGTCTGCCTTAGGCTCAGGTCATGATCCCTGAGTCCTGAGATCAAGCCCCACTTTGGGAATCTCTGCTCAGTGGGGAGTCTGCTTCTCCCTCTACCTGCCCCACCCCCCTGCTCAGGTTCTCTCTCGCTATCTCTCAAATAAATAAATACTCTTTTTAAAAAATATCTTATTTATTTATTTATTTATAAGATTTATTTATTTATATATTCAGAAAGAATGAAAGAGAGGCAGAGACACAGGCAGAGAGAGAAGCAGGCTCCATGCAGGGAGCCCGACGTGGGACCCGATCCCAGGTCTCCAGGATCACACCCCGGGCTGCAGGCGGCGCTAAACTGCTGCGCCACCGGGGCTGCCCAAAAAATATCTTATTTATTTATTTGAGGTGGGGGAGAAGCAGAGGGAGAGGTACAAGCAGAGTGAGTAGCCCAACTCAGGGCTCGATTCCATGACACCGAGATCATACCTGAGTCAAAATTAAGGGTCATGAGGATCCCTGGGTGGCTCAGTGGTTTAGTGCCTGCCTTCGGCCCAGGGCGTGGTCCTGGAGTCCCAGGATCGGGTCCTATATCGGGCTCCCTGCAGGGAGACTGCTTCTCCCTCTGCCTGTGTTTCTGCCTCTCTCTCTGTGTGTGTCTCATGAATAAATAAATAAAATCTTAAAAAAAAAAAAAAGAATCAAGGGTCAGCCACTCAAGGGACTAAGCCACTCAGGTGCCCCTAGGCGGCCTTATTATCTAACTCAACATCTATAACTCTAACAATAAGTAGAGAATGCTAAGCATATAGCAAGGTACACAAGGTTCTTGAACTATCATTGTTGCAGTGGCTCTTCCCTTTACAGACAACAAAAAAGAGTTTTACAGTTTGTTTAAAAACAAAGTTTAAAACTACCTTTAAAAACATTTAAAACTACCACACTACACTAAAAAAGTGAGAGTTTTATTACAAGTCCCCAGTGGCATATTTTACTAGATAGAGCATGAACTCTAGAATAGATATAACCTGCATTCAAATGCTGGTCTGTCACTCACTAGGTCTTGGGCAAGTAATTTTCAAGGTTCCCTTTCAGTTTTAACTGAAAAGTTTTAACACTGGACTCAAATGCTTCTGTATATGATGGTAAGAGTATGGATGCTAGTAATCAGATCAATGGATTCAAAACCTGGTTCTGCCACATATTGCCTATATCCTTGGGTAACCTCTCTCTCTCTCTGTCCATTTCCTTGACTATAAAATTGGGATAATAATAGTACCTATACCCCACACGGTTTTGTAAAGATTAAATAATATATGTATAGTGCTCAGAACAGTGCTGGGCATATGGTGCTATGTAAGTGCTGCTACCTGATACTATAACCATATTCTCCTGGTTGTGGGAATATAAGAGAATATATGGAGAGTATCTAGCACAGTGAAAGTACAAAAGGTATGGCTCTAATGGATGTCTTTCTTTGCTTTATGATGAATCACTGAGAAATTTCAAAATCCTGTAAGGAGGTATAAGTTAAGGTCACAACGCATCCCATAAACAAAAGGAAAAAAGCTTTAAAATCATGGTATGGGCAAAAAATAATACTGATGTTACATTAAATATTTCAACTAAAACAGAGCATCTGAACAGAGGAAGACATTATCATAAACATGATAATAATATACACGGATTTCCAGGGCTGTAGTTACAAACTGATTTGAAACCTCTGACATTTTTCTTGAAAATAAAGAAATAGGAGATATTTGAACTTTCACTAAAGAGCGAAACACTGGATAAACAATATTAGAGAAGTGAAATAAATATGACTTACACTTTTAAAGGAAGCTGCAAATTCAGCGACACCTGGTACTGAAAAAGACACATTATTTATTCAATAAACATTTTAGTGCCCCAGATATAGAGGATCCAAATAATAAGAAAATAGCCTTGCCTTCAAGGAGCTTAAAGTCTGGAAGAGGAGAAAGAGTACTCAGTAACCATAATATTGGTTAAGTGCTCCAAGAAAGATACTAGGCACAATGGGAAGACGGGGGTTGGGGGGTGGGGAATCTGTATCAGACTGAGGGGGCAGGAAAAGCTTCTTAGAGAAAATAATTCTTCAACCAAACTTGCAAGGATCAGGAATTAGCTGTATCAGAGAATGGGGAGATACACTATCTCTTATCAGAAAGTTTAAATTTTTTTAGGTATGCTGTCCCGTCATGGATTGACAATTGGATAATTGTTTATTTAAATGCCCCATGGGAAGAATCATGTTAGAAAATAAAAAGATAAAAGATAGATATTTAAAAATAAAATATTGTTCAACCAATAAAGAAATATGAACTAAAAATAATAAAAATCAGTAATATCCAGGAGCGCCTGGTTGCTAGTTGAGCGTCTGACTCTTGATTTTGGCTCAAGTCATGATCTCAGAGTTGTGGGATCAGTCTTGTCAGGCTCTGCACTCAGTGGGGAGTCTGCTTGGGATTCTCTCTCCCGCTGCCCCTCCCCACCCTCTAAATAAATGAATCTTTTTAAAAAAAATCAGTAACATCCAATATTGCCTAGTATTTGAGCAAATGGGCACTCTCATACACAACCACTCTCTTCCTTGCACACAAAGACACATGTTGTTTGTAATGTCAAACAGTGGATCTAAGGTTTCCAAATAGGGTAGAAATACATAAACCATAGTATATCTATATAATGAAATACTTTAGGAATGAAATAGATTTACACCTACTAATGTAGAAAGATCCATTAAAAGGTGGAATAAGTTAAGCTGCATTAACTTAACCATGTATATATGACCCCATCATTACATCAAAAAAGCAAAATCAAAAACCCAAACAAATCCAAAAAACCCTGCTGTATACTTTATTAATATGTATTTATGTACCATACAATCATAAAAAAGGCCAAAAGAATTTGTACCAAACTATTAACTGTGAGTTTACAAGAGTGAAGGAGGTGAGGAAATACTACTTTATGTACCTCTGTATTGTCTGAACTTATTACAAATGCATTTTTTAAGGGTCTATATCATAATTTCTTGAGTCAACACCGTATTCTGAAAAAGTTAAACTACCAAACAGCTAGCCTTAAAATTAGACCACAGAATTCAGTCTCTTGCCTGTGAAGTGAAATCAAAATTTTAACCATTATAGTTAAATAATAACTTCAAAAAATCTCTGTCAAAGTAGCACTGGATTGTCCTACATTGATTCTAATATCAAGAAACCAAAAACTTACATTGTTCTGGCCAAAGGTCTGGTGAGGCACGGTCAAGTTTTTCAAAACTTAGCAAAGATGCTTCCAGATCTGTCCCTAGAACAAAACACCCAGATGAGCCAAAAAGACACAAAACACTTTAATTTACAATATTTCAATCTCAAAGAACACAACAAACTGAACACTCACCTGGAAGTCTAGAAATTTGATTTCTATAGCTACTGATACTACTAGGCCATGATGTTACACAAATAAATTATTCTCCTTTAACAAACTTCACTTTTCTGATCTCTAAAATGGGAGCAACATTTTAGTCAGGTGTTAGGAAAAACAATTATCAACAAACCCACCTGCATCTTCACTCATACTCTTAGAATTTCCCCCAAGTGTCCTTGCTCTCAAGAAAGACAAACTCGGGGATCCCTGGGTGGCGCAGCGGTTTGGCGCCTGCCTTTGGCCCAGGGTGCGATCCTGGAGACCCGAGATCGAATCCCACGTCGGGCTCCCAGTGCATGGAGCCTGCTTCTCCCTCTGCCTGTGTCTCTGCCTCTCTCTCTCTCTCTCTCTCTATCATAAATAAATAAATAAAAATTAAAAAAAAAAAAAAGAAAGACAAACTCCTCTGCAGACCTGTGGAGGTCACTTTCTCTTGCTTTGTCAAAGATATCATCTTGAATAATCTCTCTTGCACATTTTCTACCTTCTCTACTGGCTCAAATTCAACAACAAGCAAGCCTGCTGTAGAATTCCCCTTCTTTGAAAAAAACTCTTCGGTGACCCATTACCTCCTTAACTCCTCCTTCATTACAAAAGTTCTTGAGTTGTCTATCTTGATGTCTCCACTTCCTCACCTCACATTCTCTCCTTAACCCAAGACAATCAGGCTTCTGCTCCTGCGTACATAGAAACTGCTGTGGTCAAGGTCATCTATAAACTATGTTGCTAAATCCAGTGGTCATTTCTCTGTTGTCTAATATGTGGCTTCTTTGCAGCACTTACACACTGACCACTCTCCTCGAAAAACTCCATTTCCAGGGCACCTGTGTGGTTCAGTCAGTTAATCGTCTGAGTCTTGGTTTTAGCTCAGGTCATGATGTTAGGGTTGTGAGATCAAGTTCTGTGTCAGGCTCTGTATTCATAATAAATAAATCTTTAAAAAAAAAAAAGAAAAAGAAAAAGAAAAACTCCACTTCCAGCTTCTGTAAAACCACTATGCTGGTTTTTTTCCTACCTCACGAATTCCTTCCTTACTTTCCTCCACTCAGGTCCCACCCTAGGATGGCTTCACTCTCTACCTAAAGTCTCCTAAGGAGATCTCATCTAGCCCCATAGCATGTACCATCATTTATATGTCAATTAACTCCATATTTATATTTCCAGTCCCAGTCCTTCCCAGAACTTCAGAGGTATAGCTAAGAGGCTACTTAGCAAACTTCTCTGCCAGAGCTCTGTTAACTCTTAACATCTCTCTCCATTTACATGTGTGGAAACTTTTCTAATTACGTTCAAAACCATTTCCAGCTTAAGAAGTATCACCGCCATGAACCCCAATTTTTCAAATCAAAACCCAGATATCATCCATCCTTCATGCCTCCCTTTCCTTCAACCTTCCATTACAATCCATTAGTAAATCCAGTAGTTTCTACCTCCAAAAACACAATGAAACCAAATTAGTTAACTAAGGAACCATCATATCTCTCCCAGACTACTTCAGAAGCTTTTCAACAGTTCTCCCTGCTTTTATTACCTCTTCCCCTCTCTACCCAAATCTATTCTCACAAAGTAGGTAGAACGGATTTTTTCTTTTTCCTCTGGCAAGAAAAATACATTTTCAGAGAGCATCCAGGGCAGCCCCGGTGGCCCAGTGGTTTAGCGCCGCCTTCAGCCCAGGGTGTGATCCTGAAGACCCGGGATCGAGTCCCACATCGGGATCCCTGCATGGAGCCTGCTTCTCCCTCTGCCTGTCTCTCTCTTTCTCTGTCTCTCTCTCTGTCATGAATAAATAAAATCTTAAAAAGAGAGAGAGAGAGAGAGAGAGAGAGAGAGCGAGCATCCAGTCAGGAGAAGGAATCTCTCTCTCCTTTTTAAGATTTATTTACTTAGAGAGAGAGCGAGAGAGTGTGTGTGTGTGTGTAGGGGCCGAGAAAGAATCCTCAAGCAGACTCTCTGCTGAGCACAGAGCCCCAATTGTGACTCAATCCCAGGACTCTGAGATCATGACCTGAACGGAAATCAAGAGTTGGCTGCCTGACTGAGCCATCCAGGTGCCCCAAGGAATTTCTTTTGACTCTGAACACCCATAATTTCTTATACAGTATGCACCTGTGCTAAAAAAAAAAAAAAAAAAAAACTTAAGATTAAGTTAAACTCAAAACCTAAGACTAATATATTATTTATGTATATATTCTAAATGGTCTGTTGTTTGCCAGACCCTGTGCTAAACTCTGGGATCCAACTATGAACAAGACAGACTTGAATTTATAAACCTGTATGAAAGGGACAAAGTTAACAGAATAACTACGCTGACAATGAAGGTAACGAGATAGTGAATAACAGTGAAGAGAGGCAACTCTAGATACTGTGTTCTGGGAAACTTCTCTGAGAGGTGACATCTAAAATGAGACCTGACATGATCTCAGGGTTGTGAATCGGAGCCCTGTGTAGGGCTCCAAGCTCAGAGTGGAGTCGGCTTGAGAGTCTTTCCTCCTCCCTCCCTGTCCCCCTCTGCTCCTTCCCCCGCTCTCTCACATATGCTCTCTCTTAAAAATTATATATATATATATATATACACATATATATGTGTATATATATATATATAAAAGTAAAATGAAACCTGAAAGTGCAAAAGCATTTACATGATTGATTAATCTTTTCCTCTTCCAAAGTACCTCGTATTACATCTTTCACAGAGTGGGAACTGAGTAACAGCTCCCCTGGCTTCAATTGCTTTATTCCTGAAATTTCCAAGATTCCTTCCAAACATGAAATGTGTTTGAGGAGGAAAAACTATATATCAATGAAATGGACGTAGGGATGGCGACGGTGGAAGCAAAAATTAAGTAGTTCAGAAATGACGGCAAAACCATAATTAACAGAACCGCGCGCAAAAGCACGTGATTATATCAAAATCAACTGCTATCTGAAATGACTTGCATCTTAGACAACATATAAACAGAAATCGTTCACTCATTCAGACTGAGGAGATAACACATGCAGCAGAAGCAAGAGAGTATGAGATAAGTGTTATGACCTCACTGAAAAGCTCAATTGTCTGTCATCTTCCTTCCGGACTCTCACTGGGAGCGGCCAAGATAGGGCAACCATCCCAATCTAGTGAGACAGACAGGAGTATCAGGTTTTCCTCTGCGGCTTAATCGCGGGATGAGGTCAGCCACCAACCCTAGCTAGGGTTTGAGAGAATCGTTTCAGATGCTCACAACGGAGAAATTCGACCCTTCAATGGGGCGCCCTAGGAAGAGGAAAGCTACCAAGCTTTCACTAAGGCACCACATTTACCCTAGCAGCATCTCCTCCTCGGCTCTGCCTCACCCAAATGGGGCTAAGGGAGGGCTAGAGCGACCCTCGTCCTTTTGCCTGGAATGGGCCACACGAGGGTGCGCACCCTCCTCCACCCTCCTGGTGCACAGAGGGGAAACCGGGTACCTCCGGAGGTGCTGTGAAGAACCCGCGAGCTTGAGGACGCACTCGCTTCCTAAGGAAAACTGGAAAGAGTGGGAGCCCAAGGGAAAAAAAAGTGTAAGTTTGAGGGACAGACAAAGGAGTGGAAGTCCCCAGCGGAGCAAGGGAGGTTGCAGCCTAAAGATCTCTAAGGCAGTTCTTACCGTCTGTGGGAGACGCCATCTTCCAACCCATGTCACGTGACACCGCCAACCGTCGGCGGGAAAGCAGAGATCCATAAGCCACGCCCCTCCCCCAGAGACCCAATCGCCAGCTCGCAGCCTCTTTTCATTTCCCCGCCCCATAGGGCCGTCTTTGCCTAGCCCCGCCCCCAGCGCTGGCCACACCCCCTCGCGCAGTGGATGAGGTGGCGCGACTGCGAAGCTCTTGCCGGGTCTTATTTACTCTCCTCGGTGAGGGGGTGGGGTGGCGGTCGTCCCTGTGGCCAATCGCGGTTCCCGTTTAGGGGGCGTCTCCTCCGAGAGCCCATTACTGAGCACCCAAGTCGGGGCACTGCCCTACCTCCGCCAACAGAATTTGCTGAGGTGGGAGGGCTCTTCCACTTCTGACCAATCGCATGTCTCCAAGGCTGGGACCGAGGGGTGGGGTCAAGTGTTAGGGCGCGTGATTGGCTAAAGAAAATAGCCTCGTCCACCAATGAAGCGGTGCGGCAGGATGGAGGGGCTAGGCCTGCGCGGCCTGGAGCTTCTGGGGAGTCACCCGCAGTAGGGGCGCGTAGAGGAGGGTGAGAGGCGGCTGAGGACCATGGCGGCGGTCGTGGCGGCGGCGGCAATGCGCGCACGGATCCTGCAGGCGAGTGAGCGTGGGAAGGAGGGATCGCGAAGCTAGGAATTGCGTCCTTTCCGTCCACAATCTTAGCCAAAAGAACCCCACTTCTTAGCCGACCTTTCTGTTCCCACCGGACGCGCGCGGCCCCCCTGTCCCACCCCTCACTTCTTACCCGCCCTCGTTGGATCCTGGACTGTCACCCCTGGCCCGCTGCCCTTTTACTCTGAAGGCTCTCCTTATCTGGCTTGGGCCCACTCTCCTCCTTCGGCCCTGCCTGCCTCTGCAGTCAGTCACTCTTACCCGCACTTCTTGTCGTTCCCTGACCGTGATTCCCTTTCACCTCCGTGCCAGTCACCTCTCTCTCACCAGAAATTCCCTCTTCTGGTCACCTTCCCCTGCCCAGAGCGACCAGATTGTTCCCTTCCCCCCACCCTACCTCACTGTCTGTAATCCATGGTAAGGGAAGGAAGCACACGAGGGGGAGGGTCAGTACATGAACTTTGAATCTCCTTCTAGAAAGCGTACACCAGGTTTTCCCCCCAAAGCAGCTATTCGCTGAGCTGTTTTCCCTCTTTGTATTTTCCACGGGCTGTAGACTGGCCTTTTCCTGCTAAGACTTGGTTAGACCTTTAGCAAAGTTACATTATTCATGTTGGTGGTAAATAAGGACGCATAGTTATGCTACCATGATGTCCCAAGCACATGCCAGGGACTAAACATCTCTTAAAAAAAAAAAAAAGGGGATCCCTGGGTGGCGCAGCGGTTTAGCGCCTGCCCTTGGCCCAGGGCGCGATCCTGGAGACCCGGGATCGAATCCCACGTCGGGCTCCCGGTGCATGGAGCCTGCTTTTCCCTGTGTCTCTGCCTCTCTCTCTCTCTCTCTCCCTCTCTCTCTGACTATCATAAATAATAAATAAAAATTAAAAAAATAAAAAAAATAAAATAAATAAAAAAATGATAGAAGAATGAAGTGATAAGCATCTCTAAAACAGGTGATTGAAAATAAAAAGGGGGGCACCTGGGTGGCTCAGTGGTGGAGCATCTGCCTTTGGCTCAGGGCATGATCCTGGGGTCCTGGGATCAAGTCCCACATCAGGCCTCCTGGAAGGGAGCCTGCTTCTCCTTCTGCCTATGTCTCTGCCTCTCACTGTGTGTCTCTCATGAATAAATAAATAAAATCTAAAAGAAAAAAAGAAACAGGAAGTGTTAATTCTAAGTTCCTAGCCCAAAGTTAGCTCTTAGTGTGCCAACACACCCTCAACTCTTGCCCATGGTGGGGATTAGGCCCTTTCTGAAGCTAGCCTAAGGGGAGAGGTTCTACCAGGAGTTGCATGCCTGAGGCCTGTGGTTTCTAACTCTCTTCATAGTCCTTCCCCAGTTTTCACAGCCTAGCGAGGACTTAGGAGGCAAGATTTACTGCCAGAAACATTCTCCACCCTACAAGAAACAACATTGCCCTTCTTACTTGTTAAATCCAGCCTGGGAACTTCTTCCTCCATATTGCTGGACTTTTAGATAATATTAATACTTAACCAGGTTGCAGTGATCCAAGTTCTATTTTTCTAGTATCTTTTTTTAGTAGTACAGATAACAAAGTTTCTACCCTATAATTTCCATTACCAACTTATCCTTGAAATCTTTTACCAAAATTGACCTTTTTCCTTTGCCTCCTCACCATCACAGTGAGTCATTAATAGCCGTAAGAAGATATTTTGTCCTGGGATACCTGGGTGTCTCAGTTGGTTAAGCATCCAAATCATTTTGGCTCAGGGTTGTGGGATCAAGTTTCCATGGTGGGATTGGAGCCTGCTTAAGATTCTCTCTCTCTCCTCCACAACCCTCTTCCTACTTAAAAAACAACAACAACAACAAAAAAAAACAACTATTTTGTCCTTTAAATCAAGGAGAAGAATCATCCTTCCTATGCACTTTATTTTGGACACAGACTCTATTTTCAGATTCATTTGAAGAAACTTCTGAGTTGACCTGAAAAAGAACAGAAATGGTAATCTTTAGCCAAAGAGGAACAACTGTAACATGAAACTCTGATAAAGAGTAGTCTAGGGGGTGCCTGGGTGGCTCAGTTGGTTAAGCATCTGCCTTTGACTCAGATCATGAACCCAGGGTCCTGAGATCAAGTCCCACATCAGGAGCCTACTTCTCCAGCTCCCTCTGCCCCTCCCTCTGCTCCTGCTATCTCATTCTTGCTCTCTCTCAAATAATAAAATCTTTAAAAAAAAAAGTAGTCTAGATTCTGACAGTCATGAATTTCAGAGCATCATCAAAAGGGTCTATAAAGGAAAGAGCTTGTGTTTTCAGTAATTTTAAGTACATATGGTGCTTGATGTTCGATAGCTCAACTTAAAACTTTCTGATTTTACAGTGGTGTGAAAGCAGTATGCCTTCAGTAGAAACTGTATTTGGAATTTTGAGTTTTTATGCCCTTTGCATACCAGTGAAATGCAGTATGATAGTCTTGAGGGGATGCTGGGCAGCACTCCGTCAGCCACATGATCACCAGGTTAAACAATTGATACACTTATAACTATTCTGTACCCATACAATCATTCTTTTTTTCACTTTCAGAAACAGTATTCAGTTCATTGCATTAGATATTCAACACTTCATTATAAAATAGTAATTGTGTTAGATGATTTTGCCCAACTGTAGGCTAATGTAACATGAACATGTTTAAGCTAGGCTAGGCTAAGCTGTGATGTTCATTTGGTAGGTTGGGTATATTAAATGCATTTTCAACTTACAATGGGTTTATCACTCATATTCAGAGATAAGAAAACCAGTCTTTTTTTTTTTTTTTTTTTTTTAGATTTTATTTATTTATTCATGAGGGACACACAGAAAGAGGCAGAGACACAACACAGACAGAGGGAAAAGCAGGCTCCATGCAGGGAGCCTGATGTGGGACTCGATCCCAGGACTCCAGGATCATGGCCTGGGCTGAAGGCAGAGGCTCAACCGCTGAGCCACCCAGGCGTCCCAAGAAAACCAGTCTTAAAGAGACTCTGTGATTTGCCTCTGAGATGTGCTTTAAAGAGTACAGGGTTTACAATCACACTTGCTTTCTTTCCCACCTTCACCACCTTCTTGTTTTTTTGTTTGTTTGTTGTTTTTGTTTTTTTTTTTAGATTTATTTATTTCAGAGAAAGAGAGAGAGAACAAGTAGGGCGAGGGGCAGAAGAACAGGGAGACTCTCAAGCAGACTCCACACTGAGCATGGAGCCCAATGCGGGGCTTGATCTCATGCCTGTGCGATCATGACTTGAGCCAAAACCAAGAGTAGGTGCTCTACTGACTGCCACCCAGCCCACCCACCCCCACCTGCCAAGCTCCACCACTTTCTGGTTTTTAAGAATATTTGTGAAGATTGGGATTCATGATTATAATGAAGTAAATTACCTGACACTTAAGTAAATTACCTGACACTCCAGGGTCTTCCAGCTAGTGACAGATGGGGCTAAGAATTCAGGACTTAAGTTTTGGTATCTCTTTTTGTGTCAGGCACTGTCCCCAGGCTTTGGGAAAGGAGAGGTAAGTAAAACAATCACTGAAAACTCCTCTGTTAGTGGCTCAGCGGTTTAGTGCCGCCTTCAGCCCAGGGCCTGATCCTGGAGACCTGGAATCGAGTCCCACATCAGGCTCCCTGCATGAAGCCTGCTTCTCCCTCTGCCTCTCTCTCTCTCTGTCTCTCATGAATAAATAAAGAAAAGAAAACTCCTCTGTTATAACTCAATGATAGTGCACAGACAACTGCAGGGGTGTAGGGAAACTATCCCAAACTCAACCTGTCCATTCAGGAAAAGATTCTAAAAGAATTCGCTCCAGGCTTGACTTTTGCAAGACTAACAGACCTTCAGCCAAAGGGAAAAGGGAGTGCAAGGGAGTGCCTGATAAAGGAAATAGCAAGTATGACATAAACACCAAGAGAGGAAGAATTTTGCTGTGACGGGATGGAGGATACTTTCTTCAGCAACAGTGCTAATGAGTGTTTCTTGGGAAATGAAGATAGGAGACCCAACCTGTCAAAAACTCTATACTAATGTTTTGTTATGCCACATGCAGTTCCTTTCATGCCCTCTTGATGTCAGGGAAGTTGTGTATAAGTAAAAAAGTAAAATTAACTGGTTTAGAATGCTCATTGGCTGATCTATACATTTTCTGCCTTGTAAGAGAGTATGCATGAAACATAATACTAACTGATCGCTTGGTAAGTACTCATTCTTTCATTCTGCAAAAAATGTTATTGAATGCTTACTCTATTTCAGGAATGGTGTCAGGGGCTGAGGACACAGCCATCTAGTGATCTTTAAGGAGAGAGAGACCTAATAATTAGGTGCTTGGTCTAGACTTGATATTTTGACTTAAAAGCTTCTGACTCTGCTACTTCTGCTTTCACTCTCAGAAGTTAACTTTGTCTTTTCCTACTTTGGAGATTACAGAAACCATCAGTTGAGAACTCCCTCAGCTACCTACTACCAGACATACAAAACTGACCTGCACTGATACCCAAAGTGATGGCTAAGTAAGGGGCTAAGGACTAGGAGAGACCCAAGCAAATGGGATGAAACAATTCCAGGCAAGAAGGGACAGCATGTACACAGAACACAAAACATGTTCCAAAATGCCTAGAGCATATACAGCAAGGAGGAAAGGCCAGCTATGAAACTTGAGGTGAAGTCTTCTAAGCAACATCAAGATTAGTCTTTATCTAAAAACAGAGGAAAGCCATTAGAGCTTTTTAAACAAGAGAGTAATCTGCCCTGGGCAGCCCATGTGACTCAGTGATTTAGCACCACCTTCAGCCCAGGGTGTGATCCTGGAGACTGGGGATCCAGTCAGTCAGGCTCCCTGCATGGAGCCTGCTTCTCCCTCTGTCTGTGTTTCTGTTTCTGTCTCTGTCTCTCTCTCTCATAAATAAATAAATAAAATCTTAAAAAAAAAAGAGTAATCTGCCCAGATTTGTGTTTTAGAAAACCTCTCTGGCTTAGGGTAGGAAACTAGATTCAGCAAGCTTAAGATTGGAGGTTGAGAGATCTGTTAGGAAACAGTTAAGTCTAGGTGAGAAACAATGATGATAGAGACTATGGGGATGGCAGGATGGGTAGAGAATAAGGTCTGTGTTCCAAAGACTTCTAGGAAGACAGATTGCCAGGAATTGTTTGATTCACTGTGGAGAGAGAGGGAGGAACTGTGGAGACATTCAGGTTTCTTCTTGGGCAACTTAGGTGAATAGTGGCCCCCTTCACTGAAAGGTGGGATAGAGAAAGCCAGGCAGCTTGATGAGAGAAAGGTGAGGACTTCCACTTTTTCAATATGTACCTGAATAACACCAAGGTAAAGGCATAGTGAAGACAGTTGGGTGGGTGTTATCTGAAGAGGAAGAGCTGGCTAAGAACTACAGATTTGGGCATCATCAGAATCTAGATCATCAAGCCACAGGAGTTGATGAAATCATCCAGGGAGAATGTGCAGAATAGGAAAAGGCAGCCTAGGACGAAACCTTGAATTTAAATAGTTAGTGGCCAGGTAGCAGAGGACTAATCACAGAAGGCAGAGATGTGTCAGAAGAGACATCAGGACATCCCTGAAGACAAGTGAAAAGGGCATGAAAAATCAAGTATAGGAAGACTGGGAAGAACCCAAGGGATGTAGGAAGTCACTGGTGTTTGGTCATGAAGGTTGGAGTAGACTGAAAGGTTCGTGGGGAATGAGGAAATTAAAGGTAATTAGCAAAGAGAATCCTTGCTATTGGATGGAGAGATGTTTAAGTTTCAGGAAAGAAAGGATAATTGAGGGATCCCTGGGTGGCGCAGCGGTTTAGCGCCTGCCCTTGGCCCAGGGCGCGATCCTGGAGACCCGGGATCGAATCCCACGTCGGGCTCCCGGTGCATGGAGCCTGCTTCTCCCTCTGCCTCTCTCTCTCTCTATCATAAATAAATAAAAAATAAAAATTAAAAATTAAAAAAAAAAGAAAGGATAATTGATGTGTCTGGGTGGGAGGGGCAGGAAAGGTGGGTTTTAGAGCACAGGTGCAGAGGAACCTCTTCAGTTAGTCCACAGATACTAGTTGTGCACTTCAGTCTTTCAGTCACTTTTTCCCCACCGAGCTTGCTAGCTACCTGCTTCCTTGTAAGAAGAAAGGAGGAAAAGGGGCGCCTGGGTGGCTCAGTCGGTTAAATGTCTGCCTGTGACTCAGGTCATGGTCTCAGGGTCCTGGGATCAAGGCCCACACCAGACTGTTCTAAGCAGAGAGTCTGCTTCTCCCTCTCTCTCTCCCCCTCCTTGCCCCACCATGCACTCTCTCACACACACAAGTAAATAAATCTTTAAAAGAGAGAGAGGGAGAGTGAGAGAAAGGGAGGAAAAAAGGATGGGTATAGGTCAGTTTTGTAGATTTGCTAGTAGGAAGTTAAAGTTCTCATCTGATGGTTTCCAATCCCTCTGAAGTAGAAAAAACAAAGGTCAGCTCTTAAGAGAGGGGAAGCAGTAGGGTTAGAATTTTTTTTTTTTTTAAACTGCAGGATTGCACCCTGAGCCAAAGGCTGATGCTCAACCACTGAGCCACCCAGGTGTCCCCAGGGTTGGAAATTTTAAGAGAGTAAGTTCTGAAATAGCAAGGAGTGAGATAAGCTTTGAAATAGCAAGGAATTGGGATGCTTGGGTGGCTCAGCGGTTTAGTGCCTGCCTTTGGCCCAGGGTGTGATCCTGGAAACCCAGGATCGAGTCCCATGTCCGGCTCCCTGCATGGAGCCTGCTTCTCCCTCTGCCTATGTCTCTGCCTCTCTGTGTGTGTCTCTCATGAATAAATAAAAATCTTAAAAAAAATAGCAAGGAATAAGAGCAAATAAGTAGCAGGGAGATAGAGATAGCAAGGAGATAAGAGATAATAATAAGGAGATAAGAAAAGTTTTGAAATAGCAAGGAGTGAGAGCAAAAAGTATAATAATATAAAAGTAACATCGAATGAGCACCAACAACTTGCTATTTTCCATATTGGGACAATCTTGACCATAACAATTGTAAAGTAGGTGAACAAGTCAGATGTAGTGCCTACCTTAATGGAACTTCAGCCTTTTTGTTTGTTTGTTTTTAGATTTTATTTATTCATGAGAGACACGCACACACACACAGAGTGAGAGAGGCAGAGACAGAAGCAGGCTCTATGTAGGGATCCTGACGTGGGACTCAATCCCGGGTCTTCAGGATCAGGTCCTGGGCTGAAGGCGTCACTAAACCGCTGAGCCACCAGGCTGCCCAAACTTCAGCCTTTTAGGCAACAAATACCCAGGCAATTACAACTAAGACAGAAAAACCTGATAGGGTTAGTACTGGCTGCTAACCTAGTCTGGGGTGGGGGCAGTTAGCCATCCAGTGGCTAACATACAGTGTACTGTAGATGTTTATTAAACACCTACTATGTAGCAGGTAACATGTTGGTGTTGGGAACATTGCTATAAATAAGACATGGTGGGCTCCAGAAGAGTGTTGATGGTTTGAAAGTTTTTGTGGGGAATGGGAGAGGAAGTAGATGAGGCATTTGGAAGAATTGTCTGCTGGCCCAAAGGACCTGCATCCTTTCCCCTGGTTGGTTCTGCAGGAACACAAATTCTTGTACCTCGTTTAGCCCTAAACACTTTGGTTAATGTGTCTGTCTTCAGACAAGATAAAAGATTATTAGATTGCAGTTTTCCTTTATATCCCATTCTAAATGTTTGTTTTCTGAATTTGATATATTTGTCTTTGAATATTTCTTAAATCAACTTCCATAGCATATATACAAATGAGGGATTATTTTATTGTAACTGACCCCTCTCCCTCCAACATGCTGATTATAGCCTATTAAATCTTAACTATATAGTACATTCTTTTCCTATAAGGTACATGTGGCATTTTTTAAAACAGCTTTCTTGAAGTAAAATTGACATAAACTGTACATATTTAGGGTATTTCATTTGATAAGTTTTATATTTGCATATGCCTGTGAAAACATCATCACAATCAAGATAGTGGACATATCCATCACAAAATGTTTTCTTTTTACTCTGTCTTCTGTACTTCCTCCATCATCCCCAGGCAGCCACTGATCTGCTTTCTCACCCTATAGGTTCATTTGCATTTTCTAGTTTTATATAAATGGAATTGTATAGTGTGTACTGTTTTGTCTGATTTCTTTCACCCAGTATAATTGTTGTAGTTATCGATGTTATTGCATGTATAATAGTTCCTTTCCATTGCTGAGTATTATTTTAGTGTATGGATATACCTCATTAGGTTCCCTATTCACCCATTCAATAGTGGACATTTAGGTTGTTGCTAAGTTTTGGGCTATTACAACTGCTATGAGCATTTGTGTTTAAATATTTATATGGGGGCAGCCCGGGTGGCTCAGTGGTTTAGCACTGCCTTCAGCCCAGGGCGTGATCCTGGAGACCCAGGATCGAGTCCCATGTCAGGCTCCCTGCATGGATCCTGCTTCTCCCTCTGCCTGTGTCTCTGCCCACCGCCCCCCCTCTGTCATGAATAATTAAATAAAATCTTTAAAAAAATAAATATTTATATGGGCATATTATACTACCTTTGACACTTGGTTATGTACTATCAGACATATGACACCTATTGTGTTAAATACCATCTAAGAATTTTCATATTAGGATCTGTGGTGATGACATTTTTCAGGCCAAAAATTAGGAAAATATGGTCTAATAAAAACATATTTTTAAATCAGGACTCTCCTGGAAATTGAGGACATGATCATTATGGATTATTATTTTCTCATAGTTTGCTGTACCTCATAGACTGTTATCATTTCTCTTTAAAGACTGTATGACCGGGATCCCTGGGTGGCGCAGCGGTTTAGCGCCTGCCTTTGGCCCAGGGCGCGATCCTGGAGACCCGGGATCGAATCCCACATCGGGCTCCCGGTGCATGGAGCCTGCTTCTCCCTCTGCCTGTGTCTCTGCCTCTCTCTCTCTCTCTCTCTCTCTGTGTGTGTGTGTGTGTGACTATCATAAATAAATAAATAAAAATTAAAAAAAAAAAGACTGTATGACCATTAAGAGCAAATACCAAGTCCTCTTCCATATACCTACAGTAACTAGTGTAATGTTAAGTATATAGTAGCTATTTGCTAAGTCTTTAATAATTTTCTGCTCTCATCAAAATAATCATTCTTTTACCTCACAGGTCTCTTCCAAGGTGAATTCCACTTGGTATCCAGCATACTCCTTCTCTTCTTCAGTGGTAAGTTTATTTGGCACTGAAGTTGTATTTCCAAGAAGGAATACAGTATAATTTTGGGATTTTTCCCATTTACTTTCTTTACAAATTTGTGACAAGAATATATGTGAAATTTTCTCTCTTGGTTTTCTTATCTAGTATTATTTTAATTATGTCATAAACATTTTCAGTATTGCAAAATGCTCTTTATACTTACTATTTTTAATGGCTGCATAATATTCTGCCAAATATATATAGCCATAATTAACTAAAAATTTTCCCATATCTTAGATTGATTCAATTTTTCAATATTATAATGCAAACATTTATATAGTTTTTTTTCCTTCTTTTAGATAATTTCCTTTCTGAGGTAAGATTACTATGTCAAAAAATACATTTTCATGGCTTCTAGAGGTTTTATTGATTCTGCCAGATAGTTGTCCTCTTCACAATCTTTATAAGTTGTTTTTATAAAACTGTCAGCCATTTGCAGTATCTAGAATCTAATAAGGATAGGTGCTCAAAATCCTTTTTATTTACAAGCACACACTGTAACACAGTAGTCCTTCACATTTTTTAGTCCACAGCCCCCTCTGAAAATTTAATGTAAGCAAGCTACTTCTTAGAAAAACTACACACAAAAATATTAAAAAAACAAAACAACTTTTTATCACAAAGGTAATACATGCTCATGGTGAGAGGATAGAAAGTCAGCTGGCCAACAAGCCTTATGAGCTAGTCTTTGTTAACACAGAAGCTACTACTTTTTTAGTGTAAGCTTCATAGTGACGTAAAGTTCCACACTGTGATTATCAAGGAAGTTTCCTTTCTTAAGAGAGATCATAATAGAGGCTCAGCCACATCTTAAGCCTATAGACAAGTACACCGTGTATCTCTTTCCTAGTGGTAACATTTCTAGAGAACAGATGATTCATTTATCAACCCTGAATTCCTTCCTCTTTGTGAAGGAGAGAGAAGCAATGAACTAATATAAAGTTCTGTGGGGTTTTTATTTTCCAGCCAACTGTAAAGCTCTTCATTGATGGGAAATTTGTTGAATCCAAAAGTGACAAATGGATTGACATCCACAACCCAGTAAGCAAAGCTGCTTTGGGATTTAAACTGACTAGTCCAGAATTCTGGGAATGTGGTGGGAAGTTAGGAACCTGGGTGTGTGTCATGTGAAGTACATAATGCTGCCCCTGTGACTAGATGAAAAATGGAGAAGGTGATGATGATGCAAAAGATGATGTGCTGCTTTTTTCCATCAGGCCACCAATGAGGTCATTGGTCGGGTTCCTCAGGCCACCAAGGCTGAAATGGATGCAGCCGTTACTTCTTGCAAACGTGCTTTTCCTGCATGGGCAGACACTTCCGTGTTAAGCCGCCAGCAGGTCCTGCTCCGCTATCAACAACTCATTAAAGAAAACTTGGTAAGAAATTAGAATGGTGTCATTTTCCAAACTGTTGCCTAGGATACTTGTCACACCCACACAGAAGCCCTTTCAGCTGCTCTCCATTAACTCTATAATCCAGAAAGTCATAGATCATGGCTTTCTCCCTTGTACTACTTCTCCCTTGTACTACTTTCTCCCTTGTACTACTTGTACTTTTTTGTTCTTCCTTGGCTACCTAAGAACTAAAATCAATGCACATCCTTGCATTGGTTTCTATTTGCGTGCTTTTTCTCTAGAAAGAAATTGCCAAGTTAATCACACTGGAACAAGGGAAGACCCTCGCTGATGCAGAAGGAGATGTATTCCGAGGCCTTCGTAAGCTGGGAGTCCCTCTTTGGGAGTTCAGGAACCTTTTGGGAAAGAGCAAAGGGAAGATAGGAGGCAAAGATCTCAGAATGGGAGGTTGCTTCTTCCAGGTAGATTTTGCTATCCCATAACATCTTTTTTAATACTTGTGGAAAATGACAATACTTCTCAGGTACATAGAAAATAGTTTGCTTCATTTATTTTACTTGATCTTCCAGTAGGTACATGCATTTCACTCTCTTTTTTTCCCCCATTTGGAGAATCTCATTTTGCACATACCCTTCACATGGAAGGGCAAATCAAGGTTTCTTCCCTGTGTCATTGGCCTGAGCCATTCTTTATCCTCAGGAATGACTAGAATATGACGAACCTAAGTAGTACACAGTGGAGAGCTGGTGGTCTGACTACTTCTCTGTTCCAGAGGTGGTCGAGCATGCCTGCAGTGTGACATCTCTCATGCTGGGAGAGACCATGCCATCCATCACCAAAGATATGGACCTTTATTCCTACCGTCTGCCTCTGGGAGTATGTGCAGGCATTGCTCCATTCAATTTTCCTGCCATGATCCCTCTTTGGATGTTTCCCATGGCCATGGTGTGTGGAAATACCTTCCTGATGAAACCATCAGAGCGAGTTCCTGGAGCAAGCATGCTTCTTGCTAAGCTGCTCCAGGACTCTGGTGCCCCGGATGGGACACTGAATATCATCCATGGACAACATGAAGGTAACTGCCCTTCTGTACATGACATTTAATCTGGCTACCAAAAAAATCAAGGTGTTGAGTGGCAAAGGAATATTTTAGAATGAGGAACCTAGGGAAGAAGGGATTTACTAACAGTAATCTCCGTGTTTGAAGATAATGTGTGTTGACTGTTTGCCATCTCTGTGCTAAAGTAACTAATTGAGGAATAGCAATGCTTCTTGCCCTACAGAACACCTTGGGACAAAGAAGTCTGGATTAGGGCAAGACCCAAATAAAAGATAAAGTTTTCTCTTCAATATTGAGAAAATTTCTAGATCTTAAAGACATTCTAATTCACGTAGTAATAGCTAACACTTAAAAAGCATTTCTGTGTTTTAGGTACTGTTTCTAGTGCCTTTCATATATTATCTCATTTATTCTTTATAACAATCCCTCAAGTAGGTAATGTTTTTCCATTTTACAGGTAAGAAAACTGAGGCATAATGAAATTAAGTAATTTGCCCAAAGTCACAGTGCTAGAAACTATCAAAGCCAAGTACCCAGGAAAGCTGACTCTAGTTTTTACTTTTATTTTTATTATTTATTTATTTTTATTTATTCATGAGAGACAGAGAGAGAGAGAGAGAGAGAGAAAGAGAGAAAGAGAGGCAGAGACACAGGCAGAGGGAGAAGCAGGCTCCATGCAGGGAGCCCGATGCGGACCTTGATCCCAGGACTCCAGGATCATGCCCTGGGCTGAACGCAGGCACTAAACCTCTGAGCCACCCAGGGTTCCCTGGCTTTTACTTTTAAATACTAAGCTATATTGCTGCTCCTATGAGGGCACAGTAGTATGAGAGTGGCAACCAGAGTCCTGGTTATATAGTGACAATTAAGGACATACCACATTCTTAAAGGACAACTTGAGTATTAAAAGGCTGCTATTTTGTTTGTTTGTTTTAAAGATTTTATTTATTTATTCATGAGAAACACACAGAGAGACAGAGGCAGAGGGAGAAGCAGGCTCCATGCAGGGAGCCCGATGTGGGACTCGATCCCAGGTCTCCAGGATCAGGCCCTGGGCTGACGGCGCCACAACGCTAGACTGCTGAGTCACCGCGGCTGCCCAAGGCTGCTATTTTGGGACATCTGGGTGGCTCAGCATCTGCCTTTGGCTCAGGACGTGATCCTGCGGTCCTGGGATCAAGTCCCACATCGGGCTCCCTGCACGGAGCCTGCTTCTCCCTCTGCCTCTGTCTCTGCCTCTCTGTGTTTCTTATGAATAAATAAATAAAAATCTTAAAAAAAAAAAAAAGCTGCTATTTTGGAGGAAAACAGGAATTTTTGTTTTTGTTTTTAAAGACTTTTTTAGGGGCACCTGGGTGGCTCGGATGGTTAAGCATCTGCCTTCAGCTCAGGTCAGGATCTCCAGGTCCTGGGATCCAAACCCACATCAGGCTCTCTGCCCAGCAGGGAGTCTACTTCTCCCTCTCCTCTGCCCCTTCCCTCTGCTCTCTACCCCCCACCCCACCTCACAAATGAATAGGATTTTTTTATTCATTTGAGAGAGTGAGTGAGTGAACACAAGCAGGAAGGGCAGAAGGAGAAAGTGCTGGTGCAGACCCTGATGTGGGGCTCAATATCACAACCCTGAGATTATGAACTGAGCTGAAACCAACTGCATCACCCAGGCCATCCCCACCCCTTCACTCTTGCTTTTGGCTCAGGTCATGATCTCAGGGTGGTGAGATGGAGCCCTGAATTGGGCTCTGTGCTCAGCAGGGAGTTTGCTTGGGGTTCCTCCCCAACCTCATCCCCTTCCTCTTCTCCCTGCCCACCGCCCCCTCATGTGCATGCACACACATGCATGGATGCTTTCTCTCTCTCGCAAATAAAATAAATAAAAACATTTTTTTAAAGAATTTAAGAGATGGAAAGAACTTCAAAATTGGAATCTAGAATAGAAAAATAAAAGTATGGAAGCTTCTCATTCACAGCAATGGGAAAGGGGAAATTTGCCATGTTGAGAAGCCCACAGCCATTTGTTCCTTTGTAGTAATCATTTATTTTCTTCCTAAAGCTGTAAACTTTATTTGTGATCATCCGGATATCAAAGCAATCAGTTTCGTGGGATCCAACCAGGCAGGAGAGTATATCTTCGAGAGAGGGTCGCGACATGGCAAGAGAGTTCAAGCCAATATGGTGACTTCCTGTTCCTTTTTCCCCTAAATCTGTTATATGTATTGAAATTACCCACAGACAGCTCTTCAACAGAGGGGCTATTTCCCACTCTAATGCCAGTGTATTTTTATTTCCAGTTCATCCTGAATGTCTTCCCTTTAGCCATGAACCTTGTGATGAGTTTTATCCTAAGTCCCTTTCATTACCTTTTTATCCTATATGCCTAATCTTGATCACAAAGGGCACCTTTCTCCCTAAGAATGTTATTCAAATGCTTTGGGCTTTAGCAGTAACAGCTGGATTCTGGTTCTGGCCCTGTATCTTCCTTCATACCATGCTTTCTAGTGCTTTATCTTTCCTTCCTGTCAAGGCATATCCTAACTACTATAATGTCAAAGATACGCTTTGCCTGAGAGTCCAAGCTATCTAAGGTACTAGAAAGAGCCAAATATCCTTGTATGTGAGTGTGGTTTCCTTGGTTGCAGTTTGCTCTTCTCTTACTAGCTCCTTGCCTAATACATATTAATTCTTTGATACTAAATATAAAGTTCAATTACCGCTTTCTCACCCTTTGGTTAATGTTGCAGAAATGATAGCCACCTATGTACAGGCTTGGAACCTGCTTCTGATATGCCTACTTATTTCTTTTCATTGCTAAATGTCTTGGCCATTTTGACTTAAGTCCCTACCCGTTCACGACAGATTTATCGAGTATATTCTGTGTCTAATAATATACTATGTGTAATGGGATAAAATTAAGTAGCAGACATGGTATCTATTCATGGACTCCACTACAGTTGTACAGTAGTCCCTGTTCATCTCTGGGGGATGTCTTCCAGGACCCCCAGTGGATCCTGAAACTGGATAGTACTAAATTCCATGTATACTATATTTTTTCCTATACATATGTATCTATGACAAATTTTAATTTATAAACTAGGCACAGTAAGAAATAATAATAAAATAGAACAATCTTAACAATACACTGTAACAATACGGCTTCTCTTTCAAAATGTTTTTTTTTAATAAATTAATTTTTATTGGTGTTCAATTTACCAACATACAGAATAACACCCAGTGCTCATCCTGTCAAGTGTCCCCCTCCGTGCCTGTCACCCATTCACCCCCACCCCCCGCCCTCCTCCCCTTCCACCACCCCTAGTTCATTTCCCAGAGTTAGAAGTCTTTATGTTCTGTGTCCCTTTCTGATATCTCCCACACATTTCTTCTCCCTTCCCTTATATTCCCCTTCACTATTATTCATATTCCCCAAATGAATGAGAACATACACTGTTTGTCCTTCTCCGATTGACTTACTTCACTCAGCATAATACCCTCCAGTTCCATCCACGTTGAAGCAAATGGTGGGTATTTGTCGTTTCTAATGGCTGAGGAATATTCCATTGTATACATAAACCACATCTTCTTTATCCATTCCTCTTTCGATGGGCACCGAGGCTCCTTCCACAGTTTGGCTATTGTGGACATGGCTGCTAGAAACATCGGGATGCAGGTGTCCCGGCGTTTCATTGCATCTGAATCTTTGGGGTAAATCCCCAACAGTGCAATTGCTGGGTCGTAGGGCAGGTCTATTTTTAATTCTTTGAGGAACCTCCACACAGTTTTCCAGAGTGGCTGCACCAGTTCACATTCCCACCAACAGTGTAAGAGGGTTCCCTTTTCTCCGCATCCTCTCCAACATTTGTTGTTTCCTGCCTTCAAAATGTCTTATTATACTTTATTCACCCTTATGATGATGATGATGTGAGATGATAAAATGCCTACATTATGAAACAAGGTGAGGTGATGATGTTGTGCCACAGCATCAGGAGGATCATCTGCTTCCAGGCCTCAGTTGATTTTGGGTGACTGAAACTGTCAAAAGTGTATCCACGGAAAAGGGGGGGGGGACTACTGTATCTGGAAACATGTATGGACATGACCATGTTATCCTACATAGCTATGTTTCATGAGGCTATGCATCTGGAAGCAAGTCAGTTTGGGGAACCTCTTGGTTCTTGGTTCTTGAAGTGGTGTATTCAAGAGGTCCATCTAGTTCACCTTTCAGCTGGCCACTGGCATTATTACTGGCAAGCTCTTTGTTTACATCACTATTCATATAATTGGAAATCCCAGCAGTCAATAGACTATTTCTTGTCTAATTTAGGAAAGAGAAGGGAGTTCTCCTTGGTTCCTGGATGCAGTACTTAGCTTGTCAGTTTGTGACTGGAGGTTTTGTTTTGCTTTTTGGTAATGGTTTTGATCTAAATAAACACATATCAGCTTATCAGCTAAGGAAGTAGAAAAAAAGTAACCTGGAGATACGCTCTGTGCTACCAAGACTTTAGCAGTATCAAAATGATAATAAATCTAGCCTCAAAGCAACAAAGGGTATATTCTCTCTTTCCTTAAATTCCCATTTGAAATCTCAGATTCTTTGCTTATTTTCTTAGCCTAACTGTATTTTGCCAAGGGGGATTCATATACTCTCTGTATTTCCTTAGGGAGCCAAGAACCATGGAGTAGTCATGCCAGATGCCAATAAGGAAAATACCCTGAACCAGCTAGTTGGGGCAGCATTTGGAGCTGCGGGGCAGCGCTGCATGGCTCTTTCCACAGCAATCCTTGTAGGAGAAGCTAAGAAGTGGCTGCCAGAGTTGGTGGAGCGTGCCAAAAACCTGAGAGTCAATGCAGGTAATCAGTTATCTGCCTGGCTCCTTTAGACTTTGCATCTGTGACATTAAGCTCTTGGTTTGAGCATTGGCCTGATCAATGGGAGTAATCATGTTGACTCTTCTCTTTCCACTGTACTTGCCATTTGGAGTCATCTTTAGTTAACAGTCATAATTTATTATAATGAAGATCTTACTTTTATGTTGTTTTACAGGAGACCAGCCTGGAGCTGATCTTGGCCCTCTGATAACCCCCCAGGCCAAAGAGCGAGTCTGTAATCTGATTGATAGTGGAACAAAGGAAGGAGCATCTATTCTTCTTGATGGTCGAAAAATTAAAGTGAAAGGCTATGAAAACGGCAACTTTGTTGGACCAACCATCATCTCAAATGTCAAGGTGAACAACTCTGGGTTATTTATTTCACAAATATGAGCACTAAAAGCATTTTAGGAGCTATGGAATTTCATCCTTCCAATTTATAAACGAAGCCATTTAATGACTGAGACTTTGTCTCTTGCTGGTATTCCTCAGTTATTTTACCTTGAGTCTGAATGAGCCTCCTATCCTGATTCCCAACCTCCTTCCACTCTACCAATGGCTGGCAAACTTTCCATAAAGGGCTAGATAGTAAATATTTTTGGCTTTGCAAGGATATACAGTGTCTGTCACAACTACTCACTATTGACGTTTTAGTGTGAAAGCATATTAATGTTGTCTGGCTGTTAAATTAACCTTTATTTATAGACAATGGAATTTTAATTTCAAATAACTTTTCATGTCATGATTGATTTCTTTTGCAGCCATTTAGAAAATACTGAAACCATTCTTAGCTTGTCAGCTATACAAAAACAAGCAGCAAGCCACATTTAGCCCATAGGCTGTATTTTGCCAACCCTATCTTTTGTTACTTAATGTTTTTCTCTTCCTGCTCCTTGCTATCTAGCTTATAGCTATTGCAGTGTCTCCATCAATAATCAATCACCCAATATTTATTGAGCATCTACTCTGCACCCCAAATTTAGCTGCATCTTCGCCAGAAAGATATGAAAAAGAATTGATCTCAATTTTTATTTATCGAAACTCTGCAAGTCTCTCAGCTAAAATTAATGACTAAATAAATTGAGGTTAGGAGGCTTTTTTTGAAATTCATGATGTCCCCACTAATCCTACTATAATCCTGAATAATTAAGAGTTGAATGTAAGTATAGTAGAGATTAAGAAGCCTCTTGTCATAGAACCATAGGAGAAAAACCCACTTATTAGCAACAAACACAGCTGACTAGTTGCAGTGGTGAAGGATGTTTTGAATGTTTAATGTGACCTGTTATCAAAATATAATTATACAGACTCATTTGAGAGGCAAAGGAAACTTAGCACAGCTAAGTTTAGCACAGAAACACTCTCCTGTGGTGATTTCGATATATATTTGATTTATGAAAAATGAATTTTCATGTAACCTATCAGTAACATAACAATTGTGTAAACAGGTTTTACAGGTATAAAGAGGAAAACGGTGATGGGTCATGGGACCTAAAACTACAGTGCTTAAAGGACAGGAGTGTATTTATAGTTAATAGGAATTTCAAGTTGTTTATTGGTTTGCAGCTTGAAGATGGAACACAGCAAGAAAGGACTTTTTTAAAAAGGTGGTTTAAAAATGGAGAGATTCCTAACATGAGCTGTCCATATAAACAGTGGGTAATAAAGTACCAGATAAGCATCAAATACTAACTTTTCTGGATGCATCTCTCCTGACAGCCAACTATGACCTGTTACAAAGAGGAGATTTTTGGTCCAGTTCTTGTGGTTCTGGAGACAGACACTTTGGATGAAGCCATCAAGATAGTAAATAGCAATCCATATGGAAATGGAACTGCCATCTTCACCACCAATGGAGCCACTGCTCGAAAATATTCCCACCTGGTGGATGTTGGACAGGTTTGTGAACAGGATTTTTAGGAGATTCTTGTAGCCATGTACTGTTTCCTATCTAAGGGAGGTGGTAAAGTGATTAGTCACCGCCCCTCTGATTTCCTGTAATGCCCCATTTCTTCCTTAGGAATCAAAGTTCATGGGATGCAAGATGGGGTAGAAGTTCGGGTATTTAAAATTGGTCTCTCTGATGTCAGGCATTTTTGCTCCTAGATGGAGAGTTCCTTTGTTTGAGTCCTTTTATTTGTTGTGGATTTGTTCTGCTTTAGGTGGGGGTGAATGTCCCTATTCCAGTGCCTTTGCCAATGTTCTCATTCACCGGCTCTCGATCTTCCTTCAGGGGAGACACCAATTTCTATGGCAAACAGGTAACTGTAAGAAAACGTTTTTTCTTCTAAGAAAGTTTCTTGAACATATTCAGGAACAAGGATTCTGCAAGGAAGGATCTGCAAGTAGCTTCTGTGGGGTCATACACCGTTCAATAGTGCTTGTCAGGAGGTCCCCTAGAAGAAATTTAAAAAGTAACAAAATTTTGCCAAAGCTGCTGCTTCCTGAATACCTCAGGGCAGGAAGATTTTGGGGAAAGAACATGAGGAAGTCCAAGCCTTTATGTATATCCTTTCCTCTGTCTGAGATCCTCTCCTCCTACCTCCCTTTTTTCATCTAACAATCATCTGTCTTGTCTAAGTTTAAAGCATGGACTCCTCCAGAAAATCACCTCTGACCACTACCACCCTCCTTCCTTGAAGCTAGGTTAGATATGCCATTGTGTGCTCCCATTGCACATTTTTCTCTTGTAAGTTATTCATTTACAAGAATTTTCCTGAGCACGTTCTTTGTACCAAACCCTATTCTAGGCACTATAAATACATCACTGAACAAGAAAAATTAAGGAGATCTGGAACTGAATGTGGTCTGGTTTCACATTCCAGCTCTGCCAGTTATTAACTGTGTGACTTTGGGAGAATGCACCGTCTCTCAAGTTTCTTATCTATAAAATGAGAATAACAGTAGTACCTATATATTTCATAAGATTAGGAAGATTAAATCACTGTCCCCACATCCTTTAACAGGTACATATGTCCTAAAGCAGGAAGAAGCACAGCAATTTCAAAGAGCAGAAATAAACAGGGGCACAGAGAGTGATAAGAGATGAAGATACAGAGATAGGCAGGGGAAGTCCTGTCGGGCTGTGTAAGCCATGATAAGAAGTCCTCATCACACCATAATTATTATTTACTTCTTAACTGTAGTATCTGGCACAGAGCCAAGTGCTCAAATATGTGTTGAACAAATTGGTGAGTGGAACTTCTTTGTAGCTCCATAGTAATACAGCCATTTTGGAACCTTCAGTAATTAAATTACATGTTTTCTATACAGATCTCTTTTATAGTTCAATTAAAAATTAACAGTGCAGGGATCCCTGGGTGGCGCAGCAGTTTGGCGCCTGCCTTTGGCCCAGGGCACGATCCTGGAGACCTGGGATCGAATCCCACATCGGGCTCCCGGTGCATGGAGCCTGCTTCTCCCTCCGCCTATGTCTCTGCCTCTCTCTCTCTCTCTCTGTGACTATCATAAAATAAATAAAAAAAAAAATTAACAGTGCATATTGCATAGCAGAATGTAATAGTATGACTAACTGGTTAAGAAAACATTTTGGTTTTTTGGAGGCAGCTTATTCACTTTGTGCATTAGTCACAGCTTTTGTGTAATTGACTAGTTTGATACTATTAAGAAAAATTTCTTTCCAGGGGCACCTGGGTCGCTCAGTGGTTGAGCATCTGCCTTTGGCTCAAGTCGTGATCCCAGGGTCCTGGGATCAAGTCCCGCATCAGGCTCCCCGCAGGGAGCCTGCTTCTCCCTCTGCCTGTATTTCTGCCTCTCTGTGTCTCTCATGAATAAATAAAATCTTAAAAAAAAAAAATTTCTTTCCAGGGAAGCAGAGTAAAACTATTGCTTTTTTTCTCCCCTGTCTTGGTTTAATTACTGTAAATCATTCTGGTTGAAGGAAAAGACTGACCCCATATACAGCTTGAAGTCTTAAATTCTTAGGTGATCAAATTGCTATTTTGCATCCTGGAAAGAAAACTTGAAAGTAGGTAATAATCTGTCAATTTTTTTCAATAAAGTACCATGGTCCAGATTTTGTCAAATAATTTTAGAAGAGTACTTTGATCAAGCTAGTGTAATGTTTTTCTAGCAGTATTTTTTTGGCTTGCTAGTATTTTTAAAGATTTTATTTAGGTATGTATGTATGTATATATGTATGTATATATATATTTATGTATGTATAAATATATATATATTTATTTATGTATGTATGTATATATGTAATTAAGAGGAGTAGGGAAGCAGCAAAGGGTAGGGAGAGGGACAAGCAGACTCTGCACGGAGTGCAGGGTTCCATCCCACCTCCCTGAGATCATGACCTGAGCTGAAATTAAGAGTCAGACACAACTGACTGAGCCACCCAGGGGCCCCTAGCTTGCTAGTATTTTTTGTCTTAGCTCTTATCAGTCTATTCTCTTTCACTCAAACCTAATCTTACAAAATAAACTATATATATATATAGTTTATATACATACATACATATATATATATAGTCTTAAATATGCTGAATTTTTTTGGTTCACATTATACGTGATTTGGAAGTGATTTTGAGTAATATCAGACATTTTACTTTAGATTTATAAGATGTTATGGATTTTATTACATCAGATATAGAGCTATTTATCACTGACAGTTGTCAGAAATAGCATGTATTTCATCCCTAATTGTTAGTTTTTCTCTCCTTCCTGAGAGAAAAACTAACAATTATTGAATAGCAGTTACTTTGCTAGGATGTTTGTAGGTTATTTCATTTTCTCCTCACAGCAACACTATGCTGGGCCATAGATAACAGTTAAGGCCCAAAGTTACATGGCAGTTGATAAGGAAGAGAGGCAGGATTTGAGCCATGTTCCAAGATCTGAGAGCACAAGACTTTAAGCCCTAGGAACAGAATGAACTGTGAGTTTAATAAATTACATTGTTCAATTTTTCCACTTAGATCCTCTTGACTAGTTTCAACACAATAATAGCTAGGGTTTGACTATTTACTCTGTGGGAGGTATTATGCTAAATGTTTTAGATAGATGATCTAATGAACAATATGTTGGATTTTGGTTGCACCAATTCCTCAAGTGGGAATGTGAATAGCACTTTTCAGCACCTCCTTCAAAAGTTGATTCAAAGAAAAATCATGAAACCCCCAGGAATATATGCTACCTCTATTTTTTCCCCCTTTGTTCTCTTTAGGGCATCCAATTCTACACACAGATTAAGACCATCACTTCTCAGTGGAAAGAAGAAGATGCCACTCTTTCCTCGCCTGCCGTAGTCATGCCTACCATGGGCCGTTAGAAACAAGTTTGTTCTAGACTCAGTCCACCCTGAATAATCTCTCTATATTCTTGACCAACTTATTTGCCGACTTTGCTCAAGTCAGATTCCTAGGACTGGAATACCTGGTAACTAAAATTTTTCTCAAGACCATCAAACCCATGCAGCGTAGCTCTAGGAGACTCCTACTGTAACTCTGAAACCAGATTTTCACTTGCTTTTCTTACTTCAGCTTCTGAGATAGCTTTTGTAACTGTGAAATGCTTACATGGTATGAGAACTGAGACCTATTTTCTAGAAGTTCTCCCCTTTTCTGATGACTTGAAGGAAGGGAAGATTAGTGTATGGAAAGAAGATCTTCCAGTAACTAGAAGAGGACCTCTTGGATGGGGAAATAGGACAGAAATAATTCACCCTTTGGTTGTTCCTCAAATACAGCCCTCCATAAATGGCAGTGGGGGGAGACCCCTCTGCCAAGCTTTCCTGAGCCTCTCATTTAACCCACACTACACAGGACATAATCCATTTCTACTTATCCCACAGTTGTGAAAACTGCTTTCTTTTTCGATGAATGCCACTTTGTCCTAGTGATTTATGACCACTAATTCATCATCGTCACTGTTCCTGCTTCTAAAATCACTTCTCAAGGATACCTCAGTACTCACTGGATAAATCAACTTTTTGTGGTGTGTACCAAGTGTTAAATTTCAGATTTGGCTTCAACAATCAATAATGTTTCAGTCATTAATTCAGGTGCAAATGGAGTTATTGTTTTTTTTTTTTTAGAAAACTATTTCAAAAGTTTTTTAGGCCCAGAAATCAAGGAGTATTCCAGCTATGAAAGTGTGCAAGACTCTTGCCTTAAGTAAGTATAACCAGATATTACTTGCCGAATTTTTTTAGGTTCTTTTACCTTGCCTGCATTTCTCATTAGTGATAATTTTTAATGAAAGAACCCTGAATGTAGAGTGATTGGGGCCTAAGAAATTTCAAGGCTCTTCAGGGTATGAAATAGTAAAAAAGAAATGCTTTGGCAAATTCTTTGGCTACCATTAATTCAAATGTCTTTATGCCTTTTGTTCCTTTTGATATAGCTGAACTTTAAGTCAGAAATTGATGAGCTAAAAAAAATAGATTTTCAATTGAATCAGTCTTTCCTGATACAGTTTTTACCTAGTGAACTAGGAGAAGTAGGAGAAAGCTCCTGGCTCTGAGAGAATAATCTCTGGTCCTCAGCCAGAAGACATAGGTCATTTATTTTTCTGTTTCCTCATTACTCACTTAGATTATGCTAATCTGCCCCATGGCAGTGATTCAGTGATTAAGGATAGTGAAAACTTGGAAAAAAATTGTGCACTGTGTAGATTTTAAACTTATTACTACCACTACTATATAGAAATGTCAGAATCTTCAATCATTTAAGGTGATTGGAACTTTAATAAAATATATTTATGACCCTAGTGGGTCATTTTTTTTTTATTTGCCTTCCTAAACATAAGGTAATAAAAATTTTTATTTGGTAATAGAATACCCTTTGTTATATCTCTACTTATCACAGCTGGCAACTGATAGTGATATTTAATCCAATCCAACAACTACAGGCTGGGTTGAATGAAAGGTCATATTGTCTAAATTCCAAGTGGAATTAAATATAATCCCAGAGATTCCTAAATTTTCCTTATATTTAAGGGAAATCACTTTAAAAAATACTGGCTCATCAGAATTGTGTTGCTCTAATTGGAATCAACTCATTTGGCTAGCTATTTGCCACTTAGAAGAGTTTCTTGTTTCTTAGATGGGAAAAAATTGCAGTTATATTCAGCTTAAAAATTTAGTATTTTATTTTCTTTTTGCTCTGATGCTGCCTTATTTGAAATTTCTCAGATCCTATGTTGTACTGATTATAAATAAAAAGCTCCTAAAAAGAAAACCTGGCTTTTTTGTTTTTTTCATAATGCCTTTGTCCCTTGCTTCTATGGACTCAGACTTCCCAACTCTATTCAAAGCCAAGAGTTATGTGGCCCTTATATTTATTTTTACATAAAAGATAGTACAGGGCAGCCCGGGTGGCTCAGCGGTTTAGCACCATCTTCAGCCCAGGGTATGATCCTAGAGACCTGGGATTGAGTCCCACGTCAGGCTCCCTGCATGGAGCCTGTTTCTCCCTCTGCCTGTGTCTCTGCCTCGCTCTCTCTGTATCTCTCATGAATAAATAAATACAATCTTTTAAAAAAAAGCTAGTACATATTTTGGCAAGGCTATATTTCAAAAGGCAATTTAGAGGCTTTTCCACATTTACTAGAAGTGGCACAAATGTGCATTTGCATTAAGTAGAATATGCCTGCCAAAGTGTAGATATGTTATAAAAATGTCCAGAATCTTACACTAGTGTTATTACTCATTTCGCTGAACCCTGAGAGCTCTTGGCTAGTGACTTAGCAAGAAGTTGCACGGGAAAAAGTAGCAGTTACTATGTGTATTATTTGGTTAGATTTTTAGACTCCTTACTATGTCAGACTCTTGTGATCCTTTCTGAATGTTGGGTATCATCAGTTCACTAGAAGAGTCTGAGATTGGTACTTGCTGGGTGATGAAGGTTTGATCTTGAAGCTTACTGTCATTCCTGCAATAATGATAAAATAACAGACCTGTCAACAACCATATACACATGGAACTTGATTCAGAACAACAGACTTGTCATATAACTCCCACTTAGTTCTAGCACATATAAAATGTCCCCACACTGTGATCAGGTTCACAGTCATTGCTTTGTCAAGAAAGCTCTTACTCTAATTCCTCTGTATTTCCATCATCAGGAACAACATAGTCTGGAACTGGAGGCCTAGAATGCTGGCTGTATTTCCTGTGGTAGGTAAAAGTTAACAATGAGTTAATGTCTCCTCATGCTCCATATTTCAACAACACTTTAATAGTGCTAAAGGAAATGCTTCAGTTGGATGAGCTTCTTATTTTCAAAACTGAGCTTTATATATAGAGAGACAATATAATGTTAAGCAAGTTAATATAAACTTATTTTCTCTTAAAGTTGGGACGTGTTGAACTTAAATGGTAGTATTCATGGAGATGGTCATAATGATGATACAGATACAACAGCTATTAATGGTGATGGTTAAGACTAAACCAGACTACTGACCAAAAAGATGGCCAGAAAAATTCCATTCCCACAAAAAGAACCTCAAACAGAAAAATTACCCAATGGAGATAGACCCAGTATGAAGATTTCTTCTTCTACTTTGGAAAATCTGTTTTAAGAACAAGAAATAGGGGATCCCTGGGTGGCGCAGCAGTTTGGCGCCTGCCTTTGGCCTAGGGCGCGATCCTGGAGACCCGGGATCGAATCCCACGTCAGGCTCCCAGTGCATGGAGCCTGCTTCTCCCTCTGCCTGTGTCTCTGCCTCTATCTCTCTCTCTGTGACTATCATAAGTAAATAAAAATTAAAAATTAAAAATAAAAAAAAAAAAGAACGAGAAATAGGTGGCACAGCGGTTTAGCGCCGCCTGCAGCCCAGGGTGTGATCCTGGAGACCCGGAATCGAGTCCCACATCAAGCTCCTTGCATGGAGCCTGCTTCTCCCTCTGCCTGTGTCTCTGCCTCTCTCTCTCTCTCTCTGTGTTTCTATTTATAAATAAATAAATAAATCTTTAAATAAAAAAAGAAAGAGAAATAATTATATCACTAATTCAATATTCTAATGGAAAGTGAGCTTAGGGACGTCTGGGTGGTTCAGTGGTTAGGTGCCTGCCTTCAGCCCAGGACATGACCCTGAGGTCTCGGGATTAAGTCCCATATCAGGCTTCCTGCATGGAGCCTGCCTCTCTCTCTCTCTCTCTGTCTCATGAATAAATACATTTAAAAATCTTAAAAAAGAAAAAACGTAAAGTGAGCTTAACAGGATTATAAAAAATATAATAAGTTGACCTGCCAGCAGATAAAGACACATACTCTACTCCTAAAACTGGTCCTCAATTAGGTACATATGAAAGTGAGAAAAAAACACTTTCAGAATATGGCTGTATTAAATAGTCTAATAATGATGCACAAAAAACATGTACTTTGGATACTATAGTACCTGAGATAGGCACAGTGATTGCTGATGCACTAAAGAGTACAATTTATTGGTTATATTCCTTGACTTAAGCACAAAGGAAAATATCATACTGTTAAAATCACAATCATACAATCAACTGAATTCATAAACTTTCTAGTTGCTGTCCTTGCTTTGATAGACCATTTATCATCTAATTCCTCTCCACTTGGGCTTGAGTTTTCTCATTTTCTTTTTTTTTTTTAAGATTTTATTTATTTATTCATAGAGACAGAGAGAGAGAGAGAGGCAGAGACACAGGCAGAGGGAGAAGCAGGCTCCATGCAGAGAGCCCGACGTGGGACTCGATCCAGGGTCTCCAGGATCATGCCCTGGGCTGCAGGCAGTGCTAAACCGCTGCACCACTGGGGCTGCCCGAGTTTTCTCATTTTCATCTCCTCTTTACCTCACATTTCTCTGTTCTATTCCCATCTTTTTCCTTCATCCAACTCCGGCATGGGATTCCAACAAGCTTAGACTTGTTCCATAGTGGCCAGATTTAAGTTCATTGCTTTGGTATGAAATATTTCTACTCAATTTCCTTTGTTTCTCTAGTGTTGAAAACAACACAGTATGGAAGTTGAGGCCTAGAACTCTGGTTGTTTCTTGGGGTACAGAAAAGTCAACTCAAAATGAGACAGACATTCTGTACCTGCAGTCTGTATTCTTTTCCACCTCTTAATAAAAAACAAAAAGCAAACAAAACTTTGGAAGGCTACCAGAGACACAAAGGCCATTTCAAAGTTCTCCTTTTTTTCCATTTAACCTATAAGTCTTTCAGCTCTTTTCTTTTCGTTGTCCTATTATTTGTTCTTGTTTATTATACTGGTTATTCCTAGCCTCAGCTCTTTACTCTTCTACCTTCATCCTCTCTCCTACACTCACCTATTAGTTTTCACTAAATATGCTCAAGTCTCCCTCCCTAAACTCACCTATACTCCAATCCCTATTTAATACTCAAATGCCTTGAGTATTTTTCACTTCAATATATTACCATCATCTCCAATTCAACACTGAAAATACTCCTATTTTTTCTGTCCAGAATGTTTTTTCCTACACACTCTGCTTCTGTTTACCTTTTATTTCTTTTTTTAAATTTATTTATGATAGTCACAGAGAGAGAGAGAGAGAGGCAGAGACATAGGCAGAGGGAGAAGCAGGCTCCATGCACCGGGAGCCCGACGTGGGATTCGATCCAGGGTCTCCAGGATCGCGCCCTGGGCCAAAGGCAGGTGCCAAACCGCTGCGCCACCCAGGGATCCCTTCTGTTTACCTTTTAGAAGTCAGCTCAAGCTTTTACTTCCTTAGAAACTTTTCTGACCTCCATTAGGTTATTGTTACTATATGGTTTCTAGGTTTGATAACAACTTGGTATTTCATTACAAAAATAGGGAGTTACCTAGGAACAAAACCATTCATTTTTGCAAAGAGCAATCTCAAGACTTTCTCCTTCTGCTCCCAGGTCAAATCTCCAATATCCACATTTCCTTGAATATCTGTCCTGAAGAATTTCAAAGAAAAAAAATGAGACAGAAAAATATGGCCAAAGTAATAAGCATTTTATCTTTTTAAAAATATGAAATATGAGAAAGTTTCCAAACTGTAACTGAATATTAAGAGGTTTCCAAATGTAATGACTACAAAGAAAACTGCATTACAAAATCATAAGTTGAAAAGGATATCAATAGGCTAGCCATTCTGAAATGTTATAAAGTCATTAAGATAAAAATAAGAAAAGCTACAAGAAAAAAGTTTGTGCCCAAACATTAAGCAAATAAGTAAAATAGGAAGTTGTTATATAACATTATGCATCCAAAGACAAACACAAAAACAACAAAAAAGTTATTTACAAGGTGAGATTATTGAATTCCTTTTAACGTTTCTTTTTGTATCAGATATTTTTCTATGAAACAGAAATAACAAGGTACATTTAGAAAATAACAGATATTTTTCTATGAAAACAGAATAACAAGGTACATTTAGAAAATAACACCTAAGTTATCTAGCTTATTTTCTTACTTCCAAATAAACCCGCAGCTAAGTTCCCCAGGCAGGTCTTTATTTATACTATCACTTTCCTGGAGGATTCGTAGTCTATTTGCTGTTTACGAAAGCTGGCTGACATTGTAGACAGTATTGGTTGTACAATGTAAGAAATGTTTTTACACATAGGCCCATTGGGTTAGTTTTCTTTAAAAGTTTAGGTTTTGCCTTATGATCACTGTATCAGTTGAAGTTGATCACTTCAACTTTCCTTTCTCAATCTGCCTCCTAAGCAGATGATGTAATATTTTAATCACTTCTGCCCTGCTGGTACAGGCAATAGAACACTGAGGTTAAGATGAGAAGTTGTTCAGTAGCAAAAATGTCACACAAGGGCAGAAGAGGAAGAGTCCAGTTTCTAGAATAACAATGTGGAGAATAATTTTATATACTTCCGTCTGAAAACCTACTTACCACTTTGGAGACAAAAAACGTAAAAGAAACTTCCTTATGTATGGTACAGACTCAATTTGCTTGACACATTAAAAAAAAAAAAAGAAAAGAAATTAAGCTTTGCACAGTGGCAGTATCATAGCCAATGAGGTTTATCCAAGGTGCGATTATTGCTAATTGAAAAGAAGGAAATTATAGTGGACCTCTTGGTAATAGAAGTAACAGATTTCTGAATATGGCAAAAAGTTTTAAAAATCCTACTACGGACATTTTTGTAAAAGAATCTTATCCACATCATCTCCAACCTTCCCAACAGCTATGTAATTTAAAAGAACCTACAAATTATTAGTCCATTATAAAACAAAGCAGAGAACTCATTTGGAAGCACTGTTAATAAGATATTTAGTACATAGCAGTAGAGAGTCCTTTTAAGTTTCTTGAGTTAAGGCCTTTGAAGAACCTAACTACACTGGGATATAAAACGTGTTTTGTTTTGTTTTTCAGAATAATCTTTAAAATGCTGTATAATTTATGGCTTAAGAATACACTGATAAGGGGCAGCCCGGGTGGCGCAGTGGTTTAGCGCCGCCTTCAGCCCAGGGCCTGATCCTGGAGACTTGGGATCAAGTCCCATGTCAGGCTCCCTTCATGGAGCCTGCTTCTCCCTCTGCCTGTGTCTCTCTCTGTGTCTCTCATAAATAAATAAAATCTTTAAAAGGGGGGGGGGCAGGTTCCTTTAAAAAAAAAAGAATGATAAGACAAAAATGCTAACAGGAAACAATCATTATATACAATTTACAACTGTCTCAAGCCTTCTGCTACCTTTATCATAATAGCAGTGGATATCTGGAGTATATTTTGGAAACTTGTGGGGACTTTTGGATAATACAGTGATGGGGGCCCACTACTGGATGTCAGCTAATCCATAGGACAGTTCTGTACAATAAAGAATTATTACAAAGAACTGTTATATTGGTTTTTTAAATTATATGTTTAGTTAGATATTATTACCTATGAATTTCATCTCATAATAGTAAAGGGAACATTACAAAATATTTGTGAAAGTATGTTTATCAAAAATGTTTAAACTGAATCTGATCAAACCTTCATAATGAGTTTACTGAAAATAAAACGTTAAAAGATATTGCAATGACATTTTATGGAACAAATGATCTAGTCTCTTTATCAAGTCTCTGTCATAACAAAAGGGAATCTAGGGATGCCTGGGTGGTTCAGTCTGTTAGGCATCTATCTGCCTTTGGCTCAGGTCATGATCCCAGGACCCTGGGATCAAGCCCCTCATCAGGCTCTCTGCTCAGCAGGGACTCTGCTTCTCCCTCTACCCCTCCCGCCTGCTCATGCTTTTTCTCTCTCTCATGCTCTCTATCACACTTGCTTTCTCTCTCTCGCTGATTAAAAAAAAGTATTAAAAAATAAAAAAATAATTTTTTAAAAAAGGGAATCTATTAAGAATACCTACTAAGCCCTACACCGTGCTAAGCATAGGGGTTACAAAGATGAGTAAGATAGTTCCTGTCCTCAAATAACTTCGTGAGCAATCTTTTCAATATTTAGATACTAGCAAACTGAACTCAGGGTTCTTATTTCTCTAAAAGGTACAAAAGTTGCAGCACAAAAGATAAAATATTAAAGGTATGATTAGTACCATTTCTCAGCCTCCATAAGATCTTGATTCACACTATTGGTGCTGTGCTCTTTGCCATCGAACGTTCGGATTTTAGGATAATCTGTTCTTCCTGCATATGCCTCTCTCATTTTAAAATTGAAAGCAGCTTGTGCAACCTGTTTATAATGCTTCCTGCTAAAAAGGATCTGTTGCTTCACTTGGTGTAGAGCATCTAAGAAGAACCTTTCCACTTCTGTTCTCTCATCCAGTATGTTCTTGGCCAGCTTTTTGATTCGATTCATTTCTCTGTCCTTCATCTGGAGAAGTTGCTGCAGCTTGTCAATTTCAACCTGCCCTGCTTGGTTCTCTATCATTGCCTGTTGCTGCACTTTACAAACTTCAATTTCAAACTCTCTGGTCATACAACTCAGTGCAGTCTCCAAGCTTACCACCTTCTTCTGAAGAGTCTGGATTTGCAGTCTTTGCTGGGTAAGTTGCATGATCTTTTCCTTAACCAAAAGATCATTGATCTCCTAAAAACAAAGATAAGACAGGTGAGAGATTTTCTTTAATTGATTTCAGAACTTAAGAGTTCTTCACTAATTTTCATTACTTCATGAAATTTAAATTTGATGCCAGGTTGAGATGGTGATATCTGTGTATGGAGAGTAAAAATATCCTAGGGTTCTTCTCTAGACTTGGGAAGGCCACTAATTTTGCTAATTAAGAAACTGTCCTTCCTCTAAAATTCTGGAAGTTTAAATATTTTTTATTCTCAAACAGAGTAATTTCAAAATCAGTTAAGACTATACAGTAATACATTAACTTAACAACTATACAGTGGAAATTGTTACCTATCCTAGGCCATAGGCTAGTTGCCTATTTCTTTTTCATTTTCCCTTTCTTCCTTAGTAATAAAACTCTAACTTCATTCAGGAAGGCAGGAAGCCCAAGGATGCCTGGGTGGCTCAGAGGTTGAGCATCTGCCTTTGGCTCAGGACTTTGATCCCAGAGTCCTGGGATTGAGTCCCACACTGGGCTCCTGCAGGGAGCCTGCTTCTCCCTCTGCCTATGTCTCTGCCTCTCTCTTTCTCTCTCTCTGTTTCTCTCATAAATAAAGAAATAAATAAAATCTTTAAGGAAAAAAAAAAGGCAGTAAACCCAACTGAAAATTCCCAGCCTCCCTTGCAGTTCAGTAATGCCAAGTAACTATGTTCTGGTCAATGAAATATAAGTAGAAGTGTGTGCAGGACTTCCAGGAAGACCTTTAAAGGAGGCGGGGGCATACTTTTTCCTCCTTGTCCTTTTTCCTTCCTGCCATTTAAGTAATAGAGTTCTAGCAGCCACTTTGGGCCACAAGGTGACTTTGGGGATGTAAGCCACACATTGCACAACAGCTTTGTTGACTTTGTGGCACTACCATTCCACCTCTGGATTGCTAATCTCCAGACTTTCTTTAGGGGAGAGAATAAACACTTTCATGGTAAAGTCAATGTTGCCAGGGCTGTCACAGCTGAACCTCTTCCTAAGTGATTCAGAGACTCCAAGCAAAGTAAAATGAGTATTTTAAGGTAATAGGGCATAGGAGTTATAGTTATGTTTCTGATATGTTCTTTATGAAGCCAAGTTGAGGGATGCCTGGGTGGCTTAGTGGTTGAGTGATTGCCTTAGGCTTAGGGCATGATCTCGGGGAGGGGATCAAGTCCTGCACTGGGCTCCTTGCAGAGAGCCTGCTTTTCCCTCTGTGTCTCTACCTCTCTTTCTATATCTCTCATGAATAAATTTTAAAAATCTTTAAAAAATAAAATAAAGCCAAGTTGCATGCTTCTATGTCATTCTCGAAATTAATCCTTTCAAATAAGAAAGGTATATCAACCAGACAAAAGAAAAATGGTCCCATTGCCCTTATGTGCATTATTATACTCAATTTTTCATATTTACCAACCCAATTCTTAAACAAACAAACAAAAACCAGAAAAATAGTAAATGAAGTCTAAATGGAGTGGGAACCTTTTGATGTAAAAGGAAAGTCTGAGTCTCTTGCAACTTCTGGGAATTTTTTTGTAGAGTATCAGCTTCCTTCAGATGGTATGCGAGAGCTTTCTGGAGATAAACATTTTCTTTAAAAACAGCTCTTCCAGCACTGTTCAATTGCCTGAAATAGATAGATATAAGATCCCAAAACACCGGCCTACATTTTAGATATTACCAAACTAGAACAACGATTGCCTTATTCCCCAACGTTAAAAATAATGACCACCACTTATTTAGTTCATGGTGGGTACTCAACAGCTAGGTGGGGATCTTTTGACTTAAGTTCTCACCAATAGGAGAGTGAAAATGTATGTTACTTCCAGCTCAAGGTAGTTAAGGGCAGACAGGGGTTTCCCATGCTCTCTCCTTATCCATATGACTGGATGTGAAGAAGTCTAAGATGGAAGCAGCCCCAGTTCCTGAATCACCACTCAAGTAGAGCTTTCAGACTCAAATTGGATTGTTAAGTGAGCAAGAACTAAACCATTGAGACTTGGTAGTTTATTGGCATAACACAATTAAGTGTTACTTTCACTAACATACTTAATGATAACCCTGTACAGTTGCTATGATTAACCCGATATTTAGATGAAGAAATTTAATTTCAAAAAAGTTAGGAAATCGGGATCCCTGGGTGGCGCAGCGGTTTGGCGCCTGCCTTTGGCCCAGGGTGCGATCCTGGAGACCCGGGATCGAATCCCATATCGGGCTCCCGGTGCATGGAGCCTGCTTCTCACTCTGCCTGTGTCTCTGCCTCTCTCTCTCTCTCTCTCTCTCTCTCTCTCTGTGTGTGTGTGACTATCATAAATAAAAATAAAATTTAAAATAAAAAAAAATTACCTAAAAAAAAAAAAAAAAAGTTAGGAAATCTTTTGACAGTGACTCAGCATTCAGGTTGGGAACCAAAGTCTAACTTCACAGCCTGGGTTCTTTCCTCCACACCATGTTGGTACAGAAAGGGTTGGGGGGAAAGGGGCCAGGATACAAAGAGAAAGAAACAGTGAGGGAAAGTAAACAAGAAAATGCCAAGAAAGCAAACCAGGAAAGGAGGGGAAGACAACATGATGATAATAAAACAGACCAGCAAATAGGTCAGAGAGGCTATAAGAAAGGAAAAGGAGACAGCAGTCTCTTACACAACAGCTTCATGGTGAGCTTTCTCTGCCAGCATTATTATCTTCTTTTCAGCCTCTTGTTCTAGTCGGTGCTAAAAAAAGAAAATAGGCTATTTTAATACAGCGTTATATTTCTAACAAATTTACACATCAAAAAGTGAAGTACTGATTTCACAATGTCAAATAAAATATTCCTGTCCACATGACCTGGTATGAAGAACTCCAAGTACTGGTAGAGGAACTACCAAAGAGGAGTGTGTGAATACAGGAACCTCAGGGTACCTCCAAATTTCCTCACTAAAGCAGCAGCATGATATATAAGCACCAAAAAAATAAAATTCCACATCAGTATGGGAAAACAGAGTTGAGAGAAATTTCTACTAAATACAATGTGGTGGGCAGCCCCGGTGGCACAGCTGTTTGGCGCCGCCTGCAGCCTGGGGTGTGATCCTGGAGACCTGGGATAGAGTCCCACATCGGGCTCCCTGTGTGGAGCCTGCTTCTCCCTCTGCCTGTGTCTCTGCCTCTCTCTCTCTGTGTGTCTATGAATAAATAAATAAAATATTTGAAAAATAATAAATAAATAAATAAATAAATAAATAAATAAATACAATGTGGTGAGAGTTATTTATTTACTTATGCAATAAACTCCTATTGAGCACTAATATTGTACCAGATTTTTTAGATGCTAGAGATTCTGTGTGGTGAAAAAACAGATAAAGTCCCGGATGAAATCTCAATTTATATTCTAGGTGAGATTCAGGCAACAATAATAATTAAAATGCATTGAGCATTTACTATATGCCAGGCATGATTCTCAGAGCTTTACATGTATTATTTACTTTTCACAATAACCCTAAAAATTAGATAGTATTATCCTCAAAAACAAGGACTGAGGAAATGGAGGGAAGGGGAGATTACTAACTTGCCCAGAATCAGATAGCTAGTAAGTGGCAGAGCAGAGATTCACAGTAGGCAATGTGATGTTTGCTATACCACCTCTCCTGTGATGCTGTCAATGTAGCAAACAAGGTAATGACATAGACAGTAACTGAAGGAGGTTATTTTATTTTATTTTATTTATTTTATTTTTTATTATTCATTAGAGGCACAGAGAGAAAGGCAGATTGATAGGCAGAGGGAGAAGCAGGCTGCCTGCAAGGAGTCTGATGGGGGACTCAATCCCAGGATCCTGGGATCACAACCTGAGCCAAAGACAGATGCTCAACCACTGAGTCACTAGAGAGGTTACTTTAGATTGGGGTTTAGGGAGTCTATCTCTGAGGAAATGACATTTGAGCTCTGAAGAATGAGAATGAGAAGGGCCAGAGCCAGAGGAAGAACATTCCAGACAGGAATAGCAAAGTACAAAAACATGACACTGGGAAAGGGCTTGGTGATTTAAGGAACAGAAGGGATTAAATGGGGAAACAAAACAAAACACCAGTAACCTGAGGGAAGTCCTTTATATGACCAGGTGCAGCATGCTATGGTAGGAGATGAATAAGCAGGCTTACTGGAAAGCCCACTGCCATAAACTTGCAGCACTGGGGTTCACACCAGTGCAGCACTGGGGTTCGAACCTAACCAGGAGATTTACACTTAACATGGTGAGATGGCTACTGCTGCAGTTGGCCATCCCATCACTTATTCCCATCCTATCCTTTTCCTTCCCAGCTGCCACTAGTGTCTAGCAAAACAACACACTCACTTTCCCAGCATCCAATATAACATGGTTCTGGCCAATGAGATAGATGTAAGAAGAAATCTGCTAAGAGCTTCTGGGAAAGCTTTTATGGTCTGCAGATAAAAAAAAGGACAGACACAATGAGAGGCCCCCTTCTTCCTGCCTTAAACACAGACAAATCTTAGAGCTGCATTAACCATCTTGCAACTATGAGGGAAAGGCCAGCAGCCACCTACTTCCAGATGTAAAAATCCTATTTGTTTATCTTTTTTTTTTTTATGATAGTCATACAGAGAGAGAGGCAGAGACACAGGCAGAGGGAGAAGCAGGCTCCATGCACTGGGAGCCTGACGTGGGATTCGATCCCGGGTCTCCAGGATTGCGCCCTGGGCCAAAGGCAGGCGCCAAACCGCTGCGCCACCCAGGGATCCCCTATTTGTTTATCTATCTATCTATCTATCTATCTATCTATCTATCTATCTATCTAAAGATTTTATTTATTTATTCGAGAGAGGCAGAGACATAGGCAGAGGGAGAAGCAGGCTTCCTTTGGGGAGCCTGATGCAGGACTTGGTCCCAGGACCCCAGGATCACAACCTGAGCCAAAGGCAGACACTCAACTGCTGAGCCACCCAGGGGCCTCAGAAAAACTGATTTATATAAGCACTGTTGGTCAGGTATTCTATAAAATGATCAAGCACTCCTAAGCTTTGTTTGTAAAATGCTACACTTAGTAGAGAAGAGATCAAGATTCCATAGGATGGGATAGAGGAAAAAAGCAATTGAGAGCAGCTGAGGACTTCCTGAGGGCTTCCATTCCTATCAGTACCAGGAAGTGCTCCAGAGTGGGAACACCAAAATGCTGCTTCTGCTCCACTCCTAGGTGGAGTGGAGAAAAATGACATTTTTCACTACAGAAATTGGGAATCTAGAGCCACTTTTTGAAGCAAATCTAAATCTAAACCTGATATGAGTACTTATTTGCCCCACCCTCAACTTCCTACATCCTTACCAATTTCTGAAAAAAAAATCTGTTCAATTCTTCCCTGAGAATGAAAAATTAGAAGAATTAATGAAATACCATGGGTCCTCTGAAAATATTGTGTAGAAGAGAAGTGTTCCAATGCACTTCCCACAATTTGGAGAATTAATGTCAGAGGCACAGGGAAACAGGGAAGTTTGTGATATGTTAAGGAACATTTTTGGGGCCCCTTTTATTAACATCCTTAGCCTGGCTTGGCTTGACTGAGGAAACACCTTCATGTGTACCAGAGTGACCTCTCCCATCCAATCCCCCTATACAATGTGGTTATGTGCAGCTCTCCTTCCACCAGGGGAACACCAAGCTGACGGTGGTGTGTCCTAAAGCCTCGGTAAATTGATAATCCCTCTTGAGGATTTCGGGACTCTCTAACTAGGAGGGGGGAAAAGACTAGACATTGGTTTCAATTTCCCTGTTTTGTTTTTTTTTAATTCTGCTATGATATGATAAATATTCTCTAGTAAGAGTCAAATGAAAGGTTGACATGTCTCAGAATGCATATAGATATTTATATTGTTTTAGTAAATCAATAAAATATTTCTTTTTTTAAACAAAGTATTTAACTCTAAAATGTCATACCTTTTCTTCAAAAAACCTGCCCTCCAATCTTCTAAGAGTCTCCTGATGTTTCTGCTCTGTGTTCCTTAAATTCTCCTTCAGCTGTAATTAAAACAACAAAAAAATATCAATAGGAATTCAGGGTGATTGAGGCACATTCCTGGAATATTCTCAATAAAGAAACATTTTCTGTTATACATTATAGATTATTTCTGTTATACATTATATACATCATACAATATACATTTATACAATATACATATATTATTATTTCCGTTATACATTATTATACATCATTAATCCTGAACAGAACAATTCCACATCCCTGCCTGTGAGTACCATCTTTCCCAATAATCTTCTACAGACTTACAAGATAAGTATCCAGTTTCTAAAAAGCTGTTCATGAACAATAGTTCTCAGGACAAGTTGTTCTCATAATCATACTTTTGAAATATCATGTGGACTCATAGAATCATAATATTTTAGAATTGGGGCACCTGGCTAGCTCAGTTGGAGGAGCATGCAACTCTTGATCTTGGGGTCATGGGTTTGAGCTCCATGTTGGGTGCAGGGATTACTTAAATAAATACAATTTTTAAAAATAATATTTTGGAATAGAAAGGGACCTTAATAGTCCTATACAATTTCTCATTTAATATAAGATTCCTTCTATGAGAAAAACATTGAGACACAGAATTCATTAGACTAGCATTTCATAGTTCCCATTTTTAGAAAATTCTTTCTAGTATTAATCTATTTTTACAAATATTTTATTTATTTATTTTAGAGAGCAAGAGCAAGAGAGAAAGAGAGAGACAGCACAAGCAGAGTGAGTAGGAGAAGCAGGCTTCCTGCTGAGCAGGGAGCTCAATGTGGGTCTCAATCCCGGAACCCTGGGATCATGACCTGAGCTGAAGGCAGATGTTTAACCAGCTGAGCCACCCAGGCACCCCTCCTAGTATTAATCTGAAACACATTTCCTTATGATTACCACAGATGAATCCTTCTATCCTCAAAACATGTGTACACGGAATAAAAAGGACATAAAAACTCTTCTAGGCAAAGGGTAAACTACTTTAAAGCTATGATCCTATAGTCTACATTTCCTGGCAATCCATCAGGCTGAAATAGACATACTCTATCTAATCTTCATGTCATTAAAAAAGCAGTAGAGAAGGGTTTCCCCCAGGAGACAGATCTTTCTCACTTGCCATCTGTTTTACTCTGGGCAAATCACTTCTCTAAGTCTCAGGTTTCCAGGAATAAAAAGAGAATAATAATAGTAACTAGCTCATAGTGTGTGGCAAGGATTAAATAACAAACAATACATGTAAAGTACCTAGAATAGTAACTATTTAATATAAAGGCTAGTTATTATTATATCTACTATTGCCCTCCCTTATACTTAATAATTTTCCTGTGATCTCTGTCCTAACTGTATTAAATCTCAATTTAAAAAAATATTTTATTTATTTACTCATGAGAGACAGAGAGAGAGAGAGGCAGAGACATAGGCAGAGGGAGAGAGACACAGGCTCCCAGTAGGGAGCCTGGTATGGGACTCAATCCCAAGACCCTAGGATCACACCCTGAGCCAAAGGCAGACGCTCAATCACTGAGCCACACAGGTGCCTCAAATCTCCATTTTATGTCTCTTTCAGATGTTCTTTCTCCCTGTATTTTTCATACAATTTTCTAAATGACCTCTTACATCGTTAGAATAAAAATTAATGTCAACATATAAGTTTATGGAAATGTCTATCACCTTAGTGTGTGCAGGGATTTCATATGCCATTGGACTCCCTCAAAAATCCATAATTTTTAAAAGATTTTATTTATTTATTTGAGAGAGAGCATAAGCTGAGGGGGGGTGGTGCAGAGGGAGATGCAGACTCCCCACTGAGCAGGGAATCCAACAAGGGGGTCAATCTCAAGACCCCAGGATCATGACCTGAGCTAAAGGCAGATGCTTAACCAAGTGAGTCACCCAGGTGCCCTTCAGAAATCCATAAATTAACAAACCTTTCAAAAAATAATTGACATCTATAAAAACCTTTAAAAGTTTATGTTCTTTAACTTATAAATTCCACTTCTAAGAAGTTATCCTAAACACTAATTACAGATGTAGAAAAATATTATTACTTAGATATGCATCATGGTGTATAATAGTGGAAAATTAGAAAAAAGTCCAAGGGCCCAAGGACGCCTGGGCAGCTCAGTTGGTTAAGTGTCTGCCTTCAGCTCAGGTCATGATCTCAGGGTCCAGGGATCAAGCCTCATGTCAGAGGGAGTTGGGAGTCTGCTTCTCCTTCACCCTCTGTCCCTCCCTACTGCTCATGCTCTCTCTCTTTCTCAAATAAATAAATAAAATCTAAAAAAAAAAATTGTTACACATTCTTTAAAAAGTACAGATGTCCAAAAACAAGGGATCAATTAACAAATTATAATAATTGGGGTGCCTGGGTGGCTCAGTTGGTTGAGCAATGGACTCTTGATTTTGGCTCAGGTCATGATCTCAGGGTCATGGGACTGAGCCCCATGTCTGGCTCTGAGCTGCGCATGGAGTTTACTTGAAATTCTCTCCTCTACCTCAGCCCCTCCCCCTCCTCTCTCTTTCTCTCACTCTCTCAATAAATAAAGTCTTTTAGAAAAATAAATCATGATACATCTACCCAGTGGAATTCCATACATCTAGTCAGAAGATTTTATAGAAGAATATATAATGGCATTGAAAAATATTCACAATAAAAGCAAAAAAGTCAGGTTAACAGTTTTTAAATAACAACCTCATTAAAAAAAAATAACCTCATTTTTAAAAGCACATATTTTTATTTTTTTTAATTTTTTATTTATTTTTTTTAATTTTTTATTTATTTATGATAGTCACACACACAGAGAGAGAGGCAGAGACACAGGCAGAGGGAGAAGCAGGCTCCATGCACCGGGAGCCCGACGTGGGACTCGATCCTGGGTCTCCAGGATCCCGCCCTGGGCCCGCTAAACCGCTGCGCCACCCAGGGATCCCTAATTTTTTATTTATTTATGATAGCCACACACAGAGAGAGAGAGAGGGGCGGGGGGAAAGAGACATAGGCAGGGGGAGAAGCAGGCTCCATGCACCGGGAGCCCGACGTGGGATTCGAGCCCGGGTCTCCAGGATCGCGCCCTGGGCCAAAGGCAGGCGCTAAACCACTGCGCCACCCAGGGATCCCTAAAAGCATATATTTTTAAATGTTTCTAATACAGAGGAAGAAAAATGGAAAGAAAATACACCAAAATATTTACCAGTTATCTCTAGGTAGTATAATTGTCAGGGGAGGACTTTTAATTTTCTTCTTTTTTATCACCTAAATTTGCTGAAATGGGTATTATCACTTTGTCAAAGAAGAAAAACTAAAACAATTATTAAAAATAATAACTGCAACCTACCAATGTATGCTCCTTCTGTTAATCACGTAGATAGAAATCATTTTTTCTTTAAAATTTATGCTTTGAATGTCTTGTGATAATCTAAATTAGCCTCTTTTATTTATTTTAAGATTTTATGTATTTATTTATGAGAGACACAGAGAGAGAGAGAGGCAGAGACACAGGCAGAGGGAGAAGCAGGGAGCCAAATGCGGGACTCAGCCCCCGGACTCCAGGATCACGCCCTGGGCCGAAGGCAGGTGCCAAATCACAGAGCCACCCAGGGATCCCCTAAATTAGCCTCTTTTAATTTGCATAGTGAATTCTATATATACACTATAATTAATTTTCTTCCTCTGTGTATACATCCCCTTCCCATTTTAAGTTCATGGGTCCCTACACCTGCTTTAATTCTTCCGTATTTGGTATTCCAGAGCATCACGTTATTTTTTCCCATAATCCTTTGCCTTTGAATTTTAAGTCTTCCTGGCCCATGGCTTTTTTTTTTTTTTAAGATTTTATTTATTTATTCATGAGAGACACAGAGAGAGGGAGAGGAAGCAGAGACATAGGCAGAGGGAGAAGCAGGCTCCACGCAGGGAGCCCTATGTGGGACTCCATTCTGGGACTCTGGGATCATGCCCTGGGCCAAACACAGACGCTCCACCACTGAGCCACCCAGGCATCCCATGGCCCATGGCTCTTTCTGAAAAGTCTGAAACCTATTTCTCCATTAGGTGGCAATATTGTTCTTAAAAAAAGAAATCATACCGTGGCCCATTAGAGTATCCACTAGTTAATTCACTTTGATTCAGAATGTATACCTATACTTCTGATAGCTATTTTGAGAGTTTCTAAAAAGTTATGGATCTTAACTTGATTCAGTCTTCAGGATTTTTTTCTTTTTTTAAAGATTTTATTTATTTATTCATGAGATACACAGAGAGAGAGAGGCAGAGACACAGGCAGAGGGAAGCAGGCTCCATGTAGGCAGCCCAATGAGGGACTCGACCCCAGGACTCCAGGATCACACCCTGGGCGGAAGGCAGGTGCCAAATGGCTGAGCCACCCAGGGATCCCCAGGATTTTCATATAAAATTTTTTTATATTCCTTTTAGAAAATTTTCACGCTTTGTTGAGGAATTATTAACAGTAAAGTATTTCAAGTGTATGATGATTCGACATACATATACATTATGAAAGGATTCCTCTAGTTAACAGAAAACTTGATATTCCATCAATTACATTTTTAATTTAAAGAACTACTCAGCATTCAACAAAGATCTATTGAGCATTATTGTGTACCTTGTATTTCAAGGAATACAAAGGAACAATGCTGTTTATGGCCCAAAGATTTGTAATCTAGTAGGGGAGATAAGACAAATGATAAGTATGTCAAGGTAGAATAGGCTAAAGGGTATAAAAGAGATACAAAGTGGTATGAAAACACAAAGAAAATTGTTATTTTTTTGCTAATAATCTTTTCTTTTTTTCAGCTTTATGAGGTAAATTGACATACAACATTGTATAAATCTTAGGTGTATAATGTGTTGATCTGTTACACTTATATATTGCAAAATGATTACCACCATAGCATTAGCTAGCACTTCCATACTGTCACTTAATTGCCATTCCTTTTTTGTGGTAAGAACATTTAAGATCTACTCTCTTAGCAACTTTCAAGCATATAATATAGAATTATTAGCTATAATCACCATGCTATACATTAGATTCCCCAGAATTTGTCCATCTCAGTACTGGAAGTTTGTACCCTTTGACCAATATTTCCTCATAACCCCTCCCCTGCCAGTTTGGGTAGCCTCTAATCTAATCTGTGTTTCTCTGAGTTCAGCTCTTTTTAGATTCCACATATAAGTGATATTATACACTATTCAGCTTTCTGATTTATTTCACTTGACATCCTGAAGTTTCATCCAAGCTGTCACAAATGGAAAGAAGAAAATGATTACTTTTTTTTAAGTTAATATTTTTAAACATGACTCTGGGGGACTGCCTTATGGAGAACATGCATTTGAGCTGAGCCTTTGAAGGACAGGTAAAATTATAATGTATAAAGACCTGTTGAAAGTATATTCCAGATAGAAGAAACAGTGTAAACTGTGTAAAAACAGCAGAAAAGACTTCAGGGATGAGTAAATATCCACTTTGGGTGAATAAAAGGGGGTGTGCATGGGGAAGTATAGTAAAAGGATAAAATAATGTTACAAAGTAGGTGTAGGGTCTTGACTTTCACACTAGGGCATTTGGGCAATACTGGGTTTACAAAGAGAAATACTAAAGATTCTTCAGGGAGGTGATCAGAACATTCCTTCATCAATACATACTTTGGACTGTGGTAGTGTGATAGTTTTAAAATACATCCACAACCTCTATGATTTCCAAGGCTAGGTCAAGAAAGGGATAGCTTCTAGGGATACCTGGGTGGCTCAGTGGTTGAATGTCTGCTTTCAGCTCACATCATGATCCCAGGATCCTGGGATCAGGTCCCACATCAGGTTCCTTGTGGGAAGCCTGCTTCTTCCTTTGCCTATGTCTCTGCCTCTTTCTCTGTGTCTCTCATGAATAAATGAATAAAAATCTTAAAAAAAAAGAAAGAAAGAAAGAAAGAAAGAAAGAAAGAAAGAAAGAAAGAAAGAAAGAAAGGAAGAAAGAAAGAAAGAAAGGGATAGCTTCTGTCTGGCTTTCTTTGGGATTACTCACTTTGGGTAAAGTCGTTGACCAAACTATGAGGGCACTCAGGGCCCCTTTATAAGGCCCCTATGGGAAGATGTTGAGGCCACCCAGTATTTACTGGCTCCCACCTGACAGCATGTGAGTTGGCACCTGGGAACAGATCTTCAAGCTCTAATCAAGCCTCCAGATGACTGAAGCCCTGGCTAGTTATCTTGATTGCAACTTCATAAAATGCCCTGAACCAGAACTGCCCAATTAAACTGCTTCCAAATTCCTGACCCATGGGAATTGTGCTTTTAACAAATGTTTATTATAGCTGCAAACTCTAAATTTGGGGGTAATTTTTCCTGCAGTAACTAATGAAGGTGAAAAAATAGAGGGAGCAGGACTAGAGGCACTGGACAGGGATGCAGGTCACTGGGGTTCTGCTGCCAGTTCTACAACTTACCATGAAAGTCACTTAACATCTTTCTGTCTCAGTATTCTTGTCAGTAGAATGACTTAGGTAGGCCCTAAAGTTTCTTCCAGCTCTAAGATTGTATGAGTTCCATAAAAGGGTTTTGTTTTAGATGGTTGCCTTGTATCACTCATTTAGCAAGTTTTATTATTATTATTATTATTATTATTATTATTATTATTATTATTATTAATTATTTTAAGAAGCCACATGCCCAGCCTGGAGCCCAATGCAGGGCTTGAACTCATGACCCTGAGATCAAGACTCGAGCTGAGATCAAGAGGTGGAGGCTTAACCGACTGAGCCACCCAGGAACCCTGCAAGTTTTATTATTAAGTACTAATCCAGGAACTAGTGAGGAGTGACAAGGACATACACAAATAGATGATTTGGCTCCTTTTATTCTCAGTTTACAAAATTAAAGAACACAAATATAAAATAACTAGAGAAGACAGTTATAGAGCTGCTATTTTAAGGACTTCAAAGGTTTGGAAACCCATAGGAGGAGAGAGTTCCTCTGAAAATACTTCAAAGGAGCTTGTATAATGGTGAGCTACAGAAATTAAGAACAATTTTAAAGCAACAGTTATTAGAACAGTTGTAAAGCAACAACTTATCAAGTTCATGAACAAAGTCAGCCTAGTGGGAAGTTCTGGGGATAACTTTGCAATTGTTATAAAAAGAGTTAAAACATACTCCTCCACATTCCTCCAGTCTAAGAAAGTGTCTTCCCCTTTCCTAACTTGCCTGAAATGTGCCAACTCATTCCTTTAATTAGAGCTTTTAGGAATACTCTACTAAGATTTTTAAAGCTATATAATCATAACAACAAGTAAACAATAACAACTATGCTACTACTCTTACTGGGGATTAATAGGAATGACTGTGCTAAGTATTTTACACACATTACATTATTTAATCCATATAACATCTCTAAAAGGAGGCAGGTGATATTGCAGCCACATTTTACAAGTGAAGAGTCTGAGACTCAAGTTAACAAACTATGCAAAGCGATAGTTATTAGCTGTAGAACTAGGATCTGAAGGCTATGATTTTGAACACTACATTATCTTATCCAACTTAATTCATTTCTCATATGTTGTTTCAATTTGGCAATTAGCTAAAAGGTAAACAGAAATAAGATGCAGGAACTCTGGTTTCCCATCAAAGCTTGTTCTTATTAAATAGGGTTCTGAGTAGCCTAAGGAGAGCTTGAGGGGCACTGCATGCTCAGAGAACACCATGCTCAAGAGTGAGAGGCACTGAAAGGGATGGTGGAAGGGCCTTAATAATACTAATAGCTATAATCATAATTTTAGCAGCAGTGATAATAACAGCAGGATCAGCAACAGCAGGTAATATTTACCATACAGTGTTGCTATGCCTTTACCTTTTTAAAAAAACTATTTTTTAATAATGTCTATTATTTTTTAAATAATCTCTTTTTTAAAAAGAGAGAGAGAGTACATGCATGAGAGAGAAAGAGAGAGCACAAGCAGAGGGGAGGGGCAGAGGGAGAAGCAGACTCCTCACTGAGCAGAGGGAGCCCAATGAAGGACTTGATCCCAGGACCCTGAGATCATGACCTGAGCCAAAGGCAGATGTTTAACTGACTGAGTCACCCAGGTGCCCAGTGCTATGCATTTAAAACAATATTTCATTTAGTCTTCACAATAACCCTTTAAAGTTGATACCATTACTCTCTCCAACATGTTTTATAAGAAGAAATTTAACAAGATACCCAAGTAGTAAAAACAGTATACTTTAGCAGTCTGGCTTCAGAGCACAAACTTTTAGCCCCTCCACTACCTGAAATAGATTATATTAGGTTTGGTAATATACTGCTATTACTAGTAATAGCAACAATATTCAGCTGCACATTGGAGTGGGCTCATACCAGGAATTTTGCTAGCATGTTGAACCTTAAAATTGGTACTTGAAATTGGCCATAATAAAAGTATTTATACTAAGGAAATCAGCAAATGCTATAAATCAGGACTTTTATCTGCAGAGAGCTATATGCCACTATCAATATAATTTTCACTTATGTGCCATAGAGTATTTTAAGCACTTTAAATATATGAACCCATTTCATCCTCACAACAACTGTATGAGCCTGTGAGTAACCTTTATTATCCTCAATTTACAGATTAGGCAACCAAAGTATATAGAGAGGTTTAAGCAACTTGCCCAAAGTCACAAAGCTGATTTAATCTACTATGCCCAGCACTCACCTATGTCATTTATTATTATTAATGCAAAAAACTATATTCTGAGCTGAGGGGATGGGAAGAAAAAGAAAAAGCATAGCAAGGTCAGAGAAACTTTCTAAAAGTACTTAGTTTTTCTCATCCTGCCTACCCTTGACAGAGAGCCTTCTAAAATGTTCTAAAATCATCTTTCATTAGTCTAAACCTATTTTCCTTTAGGACTTTGATATTTTGCCCCTTATAATTCCCAAGAACTGTAATTTCTTTTTTTTCTTTAAGATTTTATTTATTTATTCATGAGAGACACACAGAGAGGCAGAGACACAGGTAGAGGGAGAAGCAGGCTCCACGGAGGGAGCCGGACGTGGGACTTCGCCCTGGGCCGAAGGTGGCGCTAAACCGCTGGGCCACAGGGACTGCCCTGTAATTTGTTTCTTATTGAAGTCATTCCAAAGGTTTAATTGCTGATAAATGTGGTGGTGCCTAGATGGCTCAGTTGGTTGAGCTTCTGCCTTCCAGCTCAGGTCATGATCTCAGAGTCCTGGGATTGAGCCCATGTCAGGCTCCCTGCTAAGTGCGGAGTCTGCTTCTCCCTCTCCCTCTGTCCCTCCCTTCTGCTCATTCTCTCTCTTACAAATAAATAAATAAAATCTTAAAAAAAAAAGAATAAAAAAATTATTGCTGATGTGAAAGGATGTGTTGGCTAAGAATTGGTCACAAAAAAATCAATCAATGCTTAGAAAAGTCTTAGAAATAAGACTTGCACCCAGTGCAACACTCATTATATCTTCCACTTTCTCACAAATAATAATAATAATAATCTCTAAAATGTCAAAGGGAATCTTTTACCTTCTCACAGGAGTAAATGTCTATGAAGGCTCTTGCATACATAAGTATAGTACTGTGATAGTCACTTTATTGTGGCTCTCTGGAACTGAACCTGCAATACTTCCAAAGTATACCTGTAGTTAATTCTAATTTCCTTTATTTAAAGAAATAAAGAAACTTACATCATCTAATTCTTTCTCCACTTGGATTTTTCTCTTCTGGAATTGTTTTATTGTTTTCAGCTCTGTCTGAATCATGCCAATTTCTCTGGCTTTTTGATGGAACCGTCCCTCCAGCTCATTTATTTGCACAGTATACTTTTGCTCCTATATGCAAAAAAACAGGTAAGTGAGTTAGGAAAAAGAACAGAAGGGGATCCCTGGGTGGCTCAGCGGTTTACCACCTGCCTTTGGCCCAGGGCGTGATCCTGGAGTCCCGGGATCGAGTCCCACGTCGGGCTCCTGGCATGGAGCCTGCTTCTCCCTCCTCCTGTGTCTCTGCCTCTCTCTCTCTCTCTCTCTCTCTCTCTCTCTCTCTGTCATAAATAAATAAAAAAATCTTAAAAAAAAAAAAAAAGAACAGAAGCCCTACACAGTCATGTTCCCTTTGAAGCCTTAGGCCATTTGTCTATCTTCTTTGAAGAAATATTCCCCTTTTTATTTTTCCATAAAGTTTTACTTTTGTTGGAAGATACCAAGTGCCTTGAATAAAAAAAAAAATTCTCAAATGAGATTATCTGATATAGAAAATGCAGATAGTTATTAAAAAGAGGTGTGAAAAGACTAAACAAATCTTTAATTTGTAAGAAAGACAAATAACATCCCTAACCCTAAATTAAAATTTTTGAAGAGATAAAGAAAGGGCCAATATCTCTAATAAATCAAGAAGTTGGGGAAAAGCAGAAGGAAGAGCAGAGGGACAAAGCGAAGGCTAAGAAGGAGGAGGATGAGTAGAAAAGGAAAAAAAAAAGGAGAGAAGAGGAAAAAAAAGGAGGCGGGAAGAAAGGGTGAATAACACAATTTTTAAAATGAATGAGATACCAAAAAGAAATGCAAATGACCTCCAAACATGAAAAAATGTTCATAATAGGAAAATGCAAATCGAAATACACTGAAATACCCTTTCTCACCTAACATGTTCACAAAAAATCTCTTTTGACCATATACTCTGCTATATTGTGAATGGATGGTAGTTAGATTTCTCAGAATACAACATATTTGATCAATTTGATTTAGGAGCCACATATTTTATGTAATTATATAATTACAAAATTGTAGATGCACAATCTAATTTTTTAAAAGCAACTTCTAAAACTCAAAACAAAATGTGTTCTTGAGTTGGTGGCATAAACTCACAGGAATTATTTCAAATGGTAATGTAATTTGATCACTGATTCCTACTGGTATATATCCCAAGGGGGGAGTGCCCCCCTAAAATCTTAAACTAGTGCACCCCGGTGGCTCAGCGGTTTAGTGCCACCTTTGGCCCAGGGCGTGATCCTGAGGCCCCGGGATCAAGTCCCACGTCAGGCTCCCTGCATGGACCCTGCTTATCCCTCTGCCTGTGTCTCTGCCTCTCTGTCTCCCTCTCTCTCTGTCTCCTGTGTTTCTCATAAATGGATAAATAAAATCTTAAAAAAAATAAAATCTTAAACTGTTTCTGCTAATCTATGTTGGCTGTAATTATTGGTAATAGTATTTTGTGACTGTTGATGTATTGAGGTTTGAAGTAACTACTCAACTATACTGATATCATTAAGAACAGGATTTTGGGGTAAGTATCCCCCTTGGGCAGCAGGGTAGCAGCTCTAACAGCAACAGTGATTATTAGGGATGGCGGCAGCAGCTGCAGCAGGACCTGCAAGAGTCCAGAAGTTTCTCCAGAGCTTCTCAGCTACTCTGATTAATGAGAACCCCCAGACAGCATTAGAGAAGCTGACTAAGGCTTTGGAACAGAAACCAGATGATGCACAATATTATTGTCAAAGAGCTTATTGTCATGCTCTTCTTGGGAATTATTGTGATGCTGTTGTTGATGTACAGAAATCTCCTGAACTTAATCCAAATAATTCCATTGCTATGCTGGGAAAACAGTTATGTGAATCCCATGAAAAAAGAAAACCCTATCCTGTGGTTCTAGAAACTTTTCTAGGGGGACAGGAATTAGATAGTGCAGATCCTGAATTTACTGTCTGGATTGAAAGGGGTCAAGAGGGACACCTGGGTGGCTCAGTGGTTGAGCGTCTGCCTTTGGCTCAGGGAGTGGTCCTGGAGTCCCAGGATCGAGTCCCACATCCGGCTCCCAGCATGGAGCCTGCTTCTCCCTCTGTCTGTGTCTCTGCCTCTCTCTCTGTGTGTCTTTCATGAATAAATCAAATCTTAAAAAAAAAAACAAAATTAAAATGAAAAAGACAGAGGCTGTGAGATTGGAAAAGCTAGAGGGGCAAGATGTGCCTAAACCAAAACAGTTCATGGCAGACATAAAGAACTCATATGCATCATCATCTTATTATACAAGAAATTGGGAAAAATTGGTCAGTGAGATCAAAGAAGAAGAAAAAAATGAGAAGTTGGATGGAGATGCAGCTTTAAACAAATTATTTCAGCATATTTAGATGGGTCTGATGATGCAAAATATGACATGATCAAATTATTTACAGAGTCTGGTGGTACAGTTTTGAATACCAACTGGTCTGATGTAGATAAAACGAAAGCTGAAATCAATTTTCCTGATGAGGGACACCTGGGTGTTTCAGCAGTTAAGCGTCTGCCTTAGGCCCAGGGCATGATCCTGGAGTCCCAGGATCAAGTCCCACATCGGGCTCCATGCATGGAGCCTGCTTCTCCCTCTGCCTATGTCTCTGACTCTCTCTGTGTGTCTCTCATGAATAAGTAAAATCTTTAAAAAAAAATTCTGATGATACAGACAGAATGGAAAAAGTACTACATATATTAATTTGCTATCACTATATTGCAAAAACAACGACAACAACAACAAAACAGAACCTTTGGTGAAGGAGAAAGGAGACAGATCAAGTAATAAACTCTGTACTCCTGCATCTGAATTGAAAATATTGATATGGGCTCATTATATAGTCTTTAAAAATATATATTTCCTACCTCTGTCCACTGAAAAGCCTGGAAAGAATGACAAACTCAGTAGTACCACTACTACCAGATCATTTTCTACAAAAACATAATTCTATGTTATTTTTGAGCTTCTGTACAATCAACTATGTGAGCTTTAAGGTCACCAAACTACTCCAAGGACCTATTCAGTTACTCTTATTGTGTCTTAAATATCTGAGTATGTCAAAAACCTGACCACCCAGTAAGTAAAAGTATTAGTGTACCCTGATAACTCACCAATTTTTCCTTCTCCTCTTGGGCTTTTTCCTTTGTTTCATTCAATTGCTGTTTCAGTTTTTCAATCTACAGAAGTTGGAATTACAGAATCAAGAAGGTGAAGACATTGTTCTGTATCCTACTTTTATTAATTAGCCTAGTTTCACATAATATTGAAACCAATAAAGTTGGAAATGTAGAGTAAGCTGGAAAGAAGAGAAAAGGGGACATATTCCATGTCCTTAACTTGCTATTGCCAGTTCTGAAACCTGGCTATCATCAGAGTTGCCTGTGTAGCTATTTTTTGTATGTGGTAAAAAACACTATATTTACCATCTGAACCATTTTTAACACAGCACAGCAGTGTTACATATGTTCACATTGTTCCACAACAGATTTCTAGAACTTTTTCATCTTGCAAAACTGAAGCTCTATACTCAAGAAACACTAATTTCTTCTCCTACCTACTTCCCAGCCCTTAGCAACCACCTTTCTGCTTTTTATTTCTATGATCTGGACTGCCTCAGATGCTTCATATCAGTGGAAACACACAGTATTTGTCCTTTTGTGACTGGCTTATTTCATTTAGCATAATGCCCTTGAAGTTTATCCATGCTCTAGCACATGACAAAATTTCCTTCTTTTTAAAGTCCATATAATATTCTATTGTATGTATATACCACATTTTCTTTATCCGTTCATCTATCAATAGACATCTGGGTTGCTTCCACCTCTTGACTGTGAATATTTCCATGTACATGGGTGTGCAAATATCTCTTCAAGATCTTGCTTTAAATTCTTTTGGAAATTTACCCACAAGCAGATTGCTGGATCACGTGGTAATTCTATTTTTAATTTTTTGAGGAACCTACATACTATTTTCCATAGTGGCTGTACCATTTTACATTCCCACCAACAGTGCACAAAGGCTCCAATTTCTCTTCATCCTCTCCAATGCTTGTTATTTTCAATTTTTCTGATAGTAGTAGCCATCTTAATAGGCGTGAAGTAATATTTCACTGTAGTTTTGCGTATCTCTTATCTGGGTAACTTTTTGTTTTAAAGATTTTATTTATTTATTCATGAGAGACATACAGAAAGAGGCAGGGACATAGGCAGAGGGGAAGCAGGCTCCCCATAGGGAGCCCAATGCGGGACTCGAACCCAGAAACCCAGGTTCATGACCTGAGCCAAAGGCAGACACGCAACCACTGAGCCACCCAGGCGCCCCGCTGGGTAACTTTTTTGAAAAAAAGTTTCAAGAAAAGTACAAAGAATTCTTATATATTTCACCCAATTTTGCCCCATTTGCTTTCCCTTTCTATGTATGCATTGATAGATCTATCTAAAATATGAATATATACATGATATACATTTTTTTCAGTTTTTCAATGTAGAGATGTGAGAATAAGTTTAAGACATCATGGCCCTTTACCTGTAAATGCTTCAGAATATATTTCCTAAGAAAAAGGATATTCTTTTAGAAGCACAGAATCGTTATCAAAATCAGAAAATTTTTTTTAAATTTTAGTTATTTATTTATTTAAATTTTTATTTATTTATGATAGTCACACACACAGAGAGAGAGAGAGAGGCTGAGACACAGGCAGAGGGAGAAGCAGGCTCCATGCACTGGGAGCCCAACGTGGGATTCGATCCCAGGTATCCAGGATCGCACCCTGGGCCAAAGGCATGCGCCAAACCACTGCGCCACCCAGGTTTCCCAAAATCAGAAAATTTAACATTGAAATAAAACTATTATTTCATTTATAGTCCATATTAAAATTTTACGACCAATTGTCCCAGTAGTGTCCTTTACTGCAACTTTTCTTTTTCTGGTCCAGGATATAATCCTAGATTATGCATTACATTTAGTTGTCATGTATCCTAGTCTCCGTAATCAGTTTTTCAGTCTTTGTCTTTAAGTGTCTCAAAAGTTTTGAAGAATACCAGCCAGAGTTGGGGTTGTCTGATATTTCTGCATGAGCAGATGCAGGTTATGCATTTTTGGCAGGTATATATTATCTAAGTGATGATGTATACCTTTTAGTAAATTACATCATGAGGTATTTGATGTTAATTTTCATCAGTTGGTTAAGACTATGTCTGCCTGGTTTCTCTACTTAAAAGTTACAATTTTTTAGGGACACCTGGGTGGCTCAGTGGTTGAGCGTCTGCCTTTGGCTCAAGGTGTGATCCCAGAGTCCTGGAATCGAGTCCCACATTGGTCTCCTTGCATGGAGCCTGCTTCTCCCTCTGCCTGTGTCTCTGCCTCTCTCTGTGTGTGTCTCTCATGAATAAATAAATAAAATTCTTTTTAAAAGTTACAGTTTTTCCTTTTGTAATTATTAAGTGATTTATGGAAAGATATTTTGAGGCTATGCAAATATTCTTCTGTTCATCACACTTTTACCACTCGTTTTAGCATCCACTGATGATTCTTAATGAAATCAATTATTACCATAATGCTGAATGGTGACTTTTTTTAGCTCCATCAGTCTTTGGAAATTTAATAATTTACTACATTTAACTGTAAGGAAAAGCTTTCCCTTCTCCCCTATTTATTAATGTAATATTTTGTTAGCAATATGCACTCATGGACTTATTTTATTCAATGGATTATAATCTTTTATTGTTATCATTTATTTTGATTGTTTCAGGTTTGGCCAGTGGGAGCCCCTTCAAGCTAGTGCCTGTGCCCTTTAAAATTTTTTTTTTAAGATCTTATTTTTAAGCAATCTCTACATCCAACATGGGGGCTTGAACTCACAACCCCGGGATCAAGGGTTGCATGAGCCACCAACTGAGCCAGCTAGTTATCCTGCCTTTTAATTTTTTTTACTTACTTTCTTGCACAGATATTCCAGGCTCATCCTTTACTTTCCCTGCTCCAGTCTTGGAATCAATTATTTGTACAAGAATGCTAGTATGTTTTAGTAGGAAACTTGAGTACCTTTTTATTTTTTTTTAAGATTTTATTTATTTATTCATGAGAGACACAGAGAGAGAGAGGAAGCAGAGACATAGGCAGAGGGAGAAGCAGGCTCCATGCAGGGAGCCCGATGTGGGGACTCAATCCCAGGACTCCAGGATCACGCCCTGAGCTGGAAGGCAGATGCTTAATTGCTGAGCCACCCAGGCGTAGCTTTTTAAACTAACTCCTTGTCATGGTTATAGAATCAGAGGATACATAAGTGAAATACTGTTGTAATTAGACTAGTTTAAGGAAAACCTAAAAATTCTAAGATATAAATTGAGACAGTTCTAAGTCACATAGGACAAGTGTGAAATATATAGGACAGATGTGAAATGTAATTAGATTTATTTTGTAACTGAACAAAAGCTTAAGTACAAAAACACACTCTTAAGGAAAATCTAATTTTGTTCAAGATATGTTTCCAAAACACATTATGTTTCTAATATTTCTATAACTAAAATTAAATTAGACTATAAAGTTTAAGTAGAGTTTAATGATACATTTCTAGAATATAGGAGAATGAGTAACAAAACTATAGGAGAGCTAGTTAAATAGGATATAATGAATCTACTTCTTCCTCCCAAGACAGTCTCTGGTTTTAATGGGCATCTATGATTATGAGAAAATTATGTTATTTGCTATAGCCAGATGCTGACCTCCGATACACAAAGGCAGATGAGAATCAGGAAATAGAAGTGACATTGATCAACAGCAATCAGCTAACACAGGCCATGAAGCTTCTATGTAATGAATTTGGAAAATTATTTTACCTAAAAGCTTACTTTAGAATAATACTTTATAGAAGACAATTTTGATAATGCTTATTATTGAAAGAGTATTTTTAAAATGGAAGTTGCTTAGGAAAGAAGGTAAAAAAAATAACAGTAATGCATAAAAATTACTTTATGATAAAATTCACAAAATCAAGATAAATGCTCAGTTGCTTGATTTCTGTAATAAGCTTTCACTATCATCTTGAACTTAGTTTTGATTGGTATTAACTTTTTCAAGGTATCAGCACACTCATAAGACATTCATTCATGCATGCAAAAAAATATTTTAATGAGTGCCTACTATGTGCCATGCCTGTACTAGGTGCTGGAATTGTAGCACTGACCAACAATAAAAAAAAAAGCCCTCAAATTCTTTACTTCATTGAAGTTTCATTCCAATCAGGAAAAGAGACAATAAGTATATATATAAGTAATAATCATGGGACTTATAGAGGCATATGGGAAAGAGAAGAATTTGAAGTTACACCTAAATTCCACTTTAACATCCACTAGTTGTGTGATTTTGGGTCACACAGGTATAGTGTAAATGGGTATCTGTCCTTTTTGAGAGTCGATTATTTATAAAATGGGAGTGACAATATAATAGCTACATGGGGTTATTTAAAGGTCTTTAATGAGATAAGAAAGGTATAAAGTACCTAGCATTGTGCTTGGCACAAAATAGGGTCTCCAAAATAGTAGTTCCCTTCCCTTTTTCTTCCAGATCTAATATAATAGCTTTACTCTCAACACTTGCTGGGTTCATAATCATGTGATCATAGATTATCAATGAATTGCTTTATAAATCATTAAAAGTATTTATCAATATCAAAAAAATATATAGGTCAGGGGAATCTGGGTGGCTCAGTCAGTTGAGGATCAGATTCCTGATTTTGACTTAGGTCTTGATCTCTGGGTTGTGAGATTGAGCCCTGGGTCTGGGCTCTGCACTTAGAGGGAAGTCTGTTTGAGAGTCTCTCTCCCTCTCCCTCTGTCCTTCTTTCACTGCTTGTGTGAACACACACCTCTTTCTCTCTCTCAATAAATAAATCAATCTTAAGAAAAAAACATATAGGGCAGCCCTGGTGGCACAGAGGTTTAGTGCCGCCTGCAGCCCAGGGTGTGATCCTGGAGATCCAGGATCAAGTCCCACATCAGGCTCCCTGCATGGAGCCTGCTTCTCCCTCTGCCTGTGTCTCTGTCTCTATGTGTGTGTCTCTCATAAATAAATAAAATAAAATAAAATAAAAAAGAAAAAAACATATAGGGGCACCTGGGTGGCTAGTGGTTGAGCATCAGCCTTTGGCTCAGGTCATAATCCTGGGATCCTGGGATTGAGTTCTCCATCAGGCTCTCCCCGCAGGGAGCCTGCTTCTCCCTCTGCCTAACTCTGCCTCTCTCTGTCTCTCATGAATAAATAAAACCTTAAAAAAAAAAAACCAACCATATAGGTCATATACCTATGTGCTTCTTAAAACAAAATGGATCATAATGTTCCCGTATGACCCTCAATCTTTGTTTCAAACAAGAAAACAATGAGACAAGGGCTGAAAGTAAAAGAGCCTATTCTAACAGTAAAGCCATTCAGAAATAACATCCTGCTTCAAGTATGACAGAGGTAGTTATCGAGGCTCAGAGGGTTTCTACTTACCTACCATATTATCTTTTTCCTGATCCTGCTTCTTCAGGTAACTTAATACAGACATTGTGTCTTTCTCCATTTTATACTGTTGTTTCTTTAAGTCCTCATTACTTTTTGCCAGTCTCCGGGAAGTATCACGATACTCAATCCTAGAGAGTTCTGTGACTTCCAGCCTGGCCTCCCAAAGGGAGGCATTGGCCTTGGCTCTGTCCACTGCAGACTCATCAGCTTTTATTATCTTCCTACAAGGGAAGGACATTGACACCATATAACTATTTCTTTATTAGAATTTTACTTTTCCCTTTACTACTATTTGTTTTGGTTGGCATTGCCTGGCATATATGAACAAATATTGTTGGATGGATGAGTTAATAAGAAATACATATTTATGATACAGGAGGTTAACTGGGTGACTCTGCAGAGGGGAGCTTTGGAGCATAACTCTAGAGGACTGGAAAAACAAAGAGGAAAGGCACAAGTAAAATTCATTTCATACATTTTTTCATTTACTTCTTTTTCTCACATTTGTCATTTCTATTCCTACTCACTCAGTTTTAGGTCTTGGTTCTCACTCCTACAAATCTATTACCTTAGTCCCCCTTCTGCATGATGATACATTCATAGTGTAACTGTAAATCCATTGTTCTGTGATCTTCCACCTACCCCAATTCCACTTTTGGTTTTGTTTTAGATTTTTTTGGGGAGGGATTCTCTGGCTAGACCTTGGACAAAAGATTAAGTAACTAGGACAAGTATGTTAAATACTTTATCAGCTGGTGCCACAATGTACCAGGCTTCAAGGATGCCTGAGAAACAAACCAAAATCAGGTATACAGAGGTAAAAAGAAAATTTAAAAATAAAAATAAAGTATGGCTTCAAAGGTTAAAGTGATAAAAGGATAAAGGTTTTCAAAATAAAGATTATATGAGAATTAACAAAACAATGTCCCTTATATACAGTAGGCAATGGATACATAAAAATTTTTTAAATTTTTTTAAGATTTATTTATCCATGAGAGACACAGAGAGATGCAGAGAGAGAGAGGCAGAGACACAAGCAGAGGGGAAGCAGGCTCCATGCAGGGAGCCCGACGTGGGATTTGATCCCGGGTCTCCAGGATCACACCCTGGGCTGAAAGCGGTGCTAAACCACTGAGCCACCAGGGATGCCCATAAATATTTAGATAATAAGTAAGACTTTACTTGTATTTGAACCCTAAATATTCTCACACATACTTATGTGTGGATCTTTCTGTATTATCACCCTCCATCTGTCTCCATTCCCACTGTCACCATCTGTTCTCTTCAAATTAAGGGCAACCCCACCTCCAACCCTCTTGTCTATTGTAGCTTTGACCTCCCTTTCCAGCATGATTTAGGCACTTAGTGATAGGCTGCCTTGCTATAATCCTCCAATTGCTCCCTGAAGGTATCAGGTCTAAGCTGATCAGAACAGTTAATGCAGCTAGAATTTTTCATAAGACAATCACTGACTGTAAAAACAAAGCAGGGTTTCTCAAACTATGAGTCATGAAAAATCCAAGGACTAAGAAGTCTGTTACTCTCAATGTTCCTCATTGTTGATCAGTGTACCATAGATGCACAGGGGATCCCTGGGTGGCTCAGCGGTTTAGCGCCTGCCTTTGGCCCGGGGCGTGATCCTGGAGACCCGGGATCGAGTCCCACGTCGGGCTCCCTGCATGGAGCCTGCTTCTCTCTCTGCCTGTGTCTCTGCCTCTCTCTCTCTCTCTGTGTTTCTCATGAATAAATAAAATCTTAAAAAAAAAAACATATTCTAGTGAGTTCCAAGAATATGATAAGCCCTTGGCACTTTTAAAAAGTGCAAGACTGGGGCACCTGGGTGGCTCAGTTGATTAAGCATCTAACTTCAGCTCACATCATGATTTCAGGGTCCTGGGATCCAGACCCACATGGGGCTCTGCACTCAGCAGGGAGTCTGCTTAAGGATTCTTTCTCCCTTTCCCTCTGTCCCTTCCCCTGCTCATGCTCTCTCTCCTTCTCAAATAAATAAAATCTTTTTTTTAAAGTGCTAAACTATGCAATTATGTAAAAAAAGAAAAAAATTACACTCTGGAAGAATACTTAATACATCAGGGGAGGAGGTACAAATAAATGTGTATAATAGGCTACCATTTTATGAAGGAGAAAAAGAATATCCCAAAATGATTATAGTGGTTATCTTTGTATGATGGGATTACAGGTGATTTTTGTTTTCTACTTTGACTTTCCATGTTTCCTAAACATTCTGTACTTCTGAGCATGTATTACCCTCTTAAATTACTTTATAAACTTTACAAGTTTGGGATTACCTTATGGTCCCATATACAGTGATAGATGCTGGATCCTTTTTTTTTTTCCTAAAGATTTTATTTATTGGGCAGCCCAGGTGGCTCAGCGGTTTAGCGCTGCCGTCAGTCCAGGGCCTGACCCTGGAGACCCAGGATGGAATCCCACGTCAGGCTCCCTGCATGGAGCCTGCTTCTCCCTCTGCCTGTGTCTCTGTGTCTCTCATGAATAAATAAATAAAATCTTTTAAAAAGCCTGTGTCTCTGCCTCTCTCTGTGTGTGTCTCTCATGAATAAATATTAATTTTATTAAACATTTAAAATATTTTAAGAGAGAGAGGAAGAGACATAGGCAGAGAGAAGCAGGCTCCCTGTGGGAAGCCTGATGCAATCCTAGAACCCCAGGATCATGACCTGAGCCAAAGGCAGACACTCAACCACTGAGCCACCCAGGTGCCCACAATGTATGATTTTAATGAACCACTAGAGTCACCCAATAGATTTAAGGGCAATTTAGCAGCAACTCGAAGCCTACAAAGGGTTAGTTGCTAGAGCAATACCTACTTCAGGGGTTCTGACTAGTTTGGGGAAACCTGAACAATTACCTAATTTGCTCAAATCTTTTAGGTTTTCCTTTGAACCAAAAAGAATACATCAAAAGGCTCAAGGAACTACTCCAGTCATGCAGAAATTTTCTAGATGTTCAAGATATTCTGAACTATATCACAAACATCTCTCAAGCTAGGGGGAAAAAAAAAAAAGAACCTAGAGCATAGTTCCCCTGGGGGGGGGGGGAGATTCAAGTTGAAGCATACACAAGCAGACACCTTGATTTGTTTATTTAACAAATAATAGCATCTGCTACGTTCCAAGGTCTCTGCTAGGTGCTGAAGATACGGTGACTAATGCTTAATGCTATCCTAGAGAAGATAATAGTCCTGAGCAGTGGTTCCCAAGTCTAGCACTTACTTACATCCTGGGCCAAATGATATTTTTGTTTGGAGAGTAGATGGGGGTTGTCCCGTGCATTGCAGGATGTTTAACAGTATCCTTGGTCTCTACCCACTAGATGCCAGTTGCACACATCCCTGGATGAGAACCAAAAATGTTTCTAGATAGTGTCAAATGTCCCTAGAAGCCAAAATCGCTCCCACTTGAGAACCACTGATCTAGAGCAATACTGCCCAAGAGTACTTTCAGTGGCGATGGAAATGTACTATACCTAGGCTGTCCAATGGTCACCAGCAGCTACATGTGCCTATTGAGCATACGGAATGTGGCTAGTACATTAGATCCGATTTTTAAATTTTATTTTAACTTAATAGCCACACATGGCTGGTCATTACCCTGTTGGACAGCGCTGGTCTAGAGGACCTTCAATCCAAGACATGTCGTCCTGACCTTCTGGTCTTCACTTCTAGTGTCACGACCCTTCCTCCACATTCTCAGTTCTTTGGTTTCTTCCCTAGCACCTATTTCATTTGGTCCTGTATTCTATTCCTCGGTGGGAACTTATCTGCCTCCATCGTTAACGCATTACACACAGGCAGGGGCTGCGTCTAAACTATCCAGGGTTCCAAATCTCACACTCCAGTGTCTAGGCTGGAGCAGTACGGTTTGGCCTGCATTTGGGGAATTCCTGAACAATGAAGGCTGCCCTTTTCAGAAGCCTAGAGAACAAGAGGAGGGCAGTTGGCGAGCTGGCCAGCCCCAGCGTGCCGCGGGTGTCCAGTCCCGAATCCCCGGAGGGTAGGCCCAGGGAGAGGGGACCCCAGCGTGGCCTCTCCTTACTTCTTGTCTTTGCCTTTACTCCTGCCTGTCTTTTTGTCCTTTCCCTTAGGCGGCATCTTGGCTTCACTAGGGGCGCCCCTGTAGCCGACGTTTCTCCGCCGCCGCCCCGGGCCTGGCTCCGTTTCTAAGGAAACCAGCACGCTCCGCGGGTAACGTTCTGCGGCGGCCGTTGCCCGTGCGCGCCGAGAGCGCACGCGCCCGTGACGTAGCCCCGGCGCGCCGCAAGGGGGCCCGGTCCGCGGGCCGGGCGCGGGCGGGGGAGGGGGGCGGGGTGGAGGTCGCGCCCAGGGCGGAGGGCGGCGGGCGGCCGCGCCGGGGTGGCGCGCGCGCGCGCGGTGAGTGTGCGGGCTTTGGGGGCGGGAGAGTCGGCCCCGAGAGGCGGCTGGGCGGGCTGGCGGGCGGGGATTCGAAACGCTCCCGTACGGGATGGCGGCGCGGCGTCCCGGAGGCCGCGCGTCTCCGGCGGCGCGACGCTCGGGGCGCGCTCGCCTCAGGAGGGTTTGTTTCTGAGGGGCTCTGTCCGCCCCGCCGCGGGTGTGGGAGCGCCGCCCCGCGCTGACGCGTCCGCCCCTTGCCTCCCGCCGCAGCCAGCGTGGCCGAGGCCTCCCTGCTCCGCCTCGTCCTCTCCCTAAGCCGCCCGCACTCTTGGTTTCTCTCTCCCGCGCCTACCTTCCAACCCTGGCTAATTCTGTAAGGGATGGCGCACTCAGCGGACTTGCCAGGCCAAACTTTTTGAGGAGGCCGTGAAGGACTTTTCCGGGGGCGAAGGTTGGGAGGGCGGCTGGCGGCCTCTGGGCAGGGGCGTGCGGGCGTCGGGGAAGAGTGCTGTCAGCTGGGGTGCGAAAGGCGGCGGGGCCCGAAGAGCTGCACTCCCAGAAGGATCCCGGATTCCCGTTTGCTGATAACCTGACTCGTCCGCAGCCCCCTTTTCTGCAAGGTGCATAAAAGTTGGCACTTCGGGCTTTTTTTTTTTTTTTTCCTTGAGCACACCTGCGAAAAGGAGTACTGAAAAGTATTATCCTTTTTCGGAGGAGGAGCTCTGAGATTATATCTTCCTTCTGTGAGAGTCCTTGAGGATGGGAATTCTGGGGTGCTAAGACGATGCTTAGGAAACTTGTGACTGAAGCTCTCTGCTCTGTTATCCTGCATTTACAGTTGAATTTATTAATTTTTTATTTTTTATCTTTTAAAGATTTTATTCGTGAGAGACACCAGAGAGAGGCAGGCTCCCTGCAGGGGGCCCAATGCGGGACTAGATCCCAGGACCCCCCCAGCATCACGACCTAAGCCAAGGTAGATGCTCAACCACTGAGCCACCCAGGTGCCCCCTCCAGTTGAATTTAAAGTTTCTTTAAAAACTTCTTTGTACACCTTCCCTCGCCGTTTCTCGAGGCCTTTGTCCTGATGTCCCCTTCCTTTTTTCTTCTTCTTTCTTTCTTTTTCTTTCTTTTTTTTTTTTTTAGTTTTATTTAGTTATTCATGTGAGACAGAGAGAGAGGCAGAGAGGAGAAGCAGGCTTCATGCAGGGACTCGATCCGTGGTCTCCAGGGTCACACCCTGGGCGGAAGGCGGCCCTAAATTGCTGAGCCACCCAGGCTGCCTTTTTTTTTTTTTCTTTCAATTGTGTAGCTTCTGTTTTTGAGTTTTGTGGATAAGGGGAACAGGCCAATTTGTTCATGAACGCTGAAAATCTTTTTAGACATGGCGTGTGTTAGCATGATCTTAGTTTATCCCCCTCCCCCTTTTTAAGTATAGTCGAGTCAGTGTTAAATTATTATTTTTAAGATTTTCATTTATTCATGAGAGACGCCACAGTGTTAAATTAGTTTCAGGTGTGCAAGGTAGCGGTTCACCTCTACAATATCTGCTATGTTCACAAGTGTAGCTACTGTATATCCTTGTATAATGCTATTACAGTATCATTAACTGTATTTTCTCTGCATTAACTTATTCCCAAAGTCCCTTTTATTCCTGTGATTTATTCATTCTGTGTAAAAAGTTTCCAAAGGAAATTTTATATGTTAAAGTAGACTCACAGGATGTGGGTGGGGGTCGGACTAAGGTTGCCCTTTGCCCTTAGCAAAGTACTAACGTGGAGGCAGCTGAGTTCCTAGAGGAATGTCACTCTGCCTGTTTCAAGGACTTATCAAAGGGCTCTTAGTAAGGAAATTTAATTTTTTTCTTTTGCTTTTGTTTTACACATCATCCCCCCCCAATGAAAAATTTTGACTCAAATCTTTAAGATTGCTGAAGGTGGAAGGTCTCATCTTCTGTAACTTCTTCCAGCTGAATAGGGGAGTAAAGATGTCCCTATCTAAGAATCAACATTGGTCAGTTGGGGGCTTAAATATATAGAAGTTACAAAAGATAGAGGCAGGGGCACCTGGGTGGCTCAGTCAGTTAAGCATCTGCCTTCTGCTCAGGGCTTGATCCCAGGTTGGGATCTCCCTCTGCTTCTCCCTCTTCCTGCCCTTCCCCCTACTTGTGTTCTTTCTCTCTGTCAAATAAATAAATAAAATCTTAAAAACACACACACACACCAAAAAGGTAGAGGCAGGTAATACCATGGGAGACCATATGTTTGGATCTCTTTCTGATGACAGGATCATTTATAGGCTTGAAGTTATGGCAGTGATGGAGTCTTGGCATCTGGTGGAAAGACAAAGAGCAAAACATGATTAGAATAACAAAAAGATGGACGCCTGGGTAGCTCAGTGGTTGAGTGTCTACCTTCAGGCGTGATCCTGGGTCCTGGGATCTGTCTTGCATTGGGCTCCCTATGGGGAACCTGCTTCTCCCTCTGCCTTAGTTTCTGCCTCGCTCTGTGTCTCTCCTGAATTAATAAAATCTTTAAAAAAAAATTAACAAAAAGAAAAGCCCAAATAAGAGTCCTTTGATAGTTGACAAACTTCTTCAGTCCAGGAGTTTAACCAGTCATTAAAGGAAAGAGAGGGCTGATTTAAAGGACCAATTTGAATATTCATATCAGTTAGAAACTCAGAAATATTTTTGTGGTAATCTGGAATGTATACACACTGTTCTGTTTTTACCATAGCACATGTTCCAGCTTGTGCAGCAGTTAAAACATCTAATGCCATTCTATTTTGTAAAACTGTTTTATGCATTTGTATTACTTAAGTATTTATTAGAGAAATGCTATTTTGAGTGTCATTTAGGACTTAGACTGTTTACTTATTAAGAGCTTCAGTGTGCCAAACAACATCATCCAATCCCAAGAAGGGAACAATGATGGATACTAGGTGGTCATACCAATGAAACACAGAACATATCCACATTGTTTTAAATTTGGAAGGTTACCTGGGTTGGTAGTCGTTTTAATAATGTGTCCATGCATCCAGGCAAAATCCATAGTACAGCAGCCTATCCAGCCTGGGGAAAGCTATGGACACAAATTAGAGCCGAATAGCCATTGGACCCTGTTAGGAGCTAGCCATCTAATTCTGGGCCTCCTTGAACTGCAGTCAGAATATCAAGGGCCATTCAGTTTTGGAGGGCCACCTTTTGATTTTGTGGGTGAAACTCAATCTACTGGTTGAGTCTGGTTAAAGATAGCTGTTGTATGCTCAGCTATAAAGCCTCTATTTGCAATTTTATATCAATAGAGAGAGTTCCTGGGGTAAATACAACTAAGGAATAAAACCACCAAGAAGCCCTCTTTGTTTGAGGTCTAGCCTTAACAGTATCCTAATTATTAGGAATCACTGGCAAGGGGGAGAAAATGTGTCTCAGGAGGTAAGTGCATCATCTAATGCAATCATAAGGAAGGGAAGGTCATCCATTTCCCCCCAAGTCCGTAGTTAAACCCATGAAGTGGGGTATGCTCCATTTTTTAAGGAGCAGTTTTGTCATCACAGTCACACAGAATTGGTCAAGGTGATAGTTGAGCTACACAGTTGTTGGGAAATCAATCCCATTTTGCACCTGTTCAAATAAGCATATACCACGGAGGTCCTATTATTTCCACAGAATAACCAGCACGAAGATTGTCTATAAATGAGCTATTGTGGCAGTTTCTCTGAAATTTACAAGTTGTCTAGTTTAGGCAAACACCGAACATTCAAAGACAATCAGAGTTTAACATCCTCAAAGGTGGGTTATTGAAACATAATTTTTCTCTTTAAAAATAATTATTTCCAGAGGTGGCCAAATTAAGACTAATTTGTAAAACAAGTTCAGTTTGAACAAACTTGGCCTAATTATTTACATAAGCTCAGCAAGGATAGGGATTGGTGTATAGATCTTTTAAAATCTGCTGCTGGAATTTTCATAAGGAATCTAGATTGAACTTTTAGTAGCCTCTTGGCCAGAAGCCAAGCCACATTCTTGCCATCAGTTATGCCTGCAATACCTGTAAACTTGGGTGAATTTCTCTTCATGAGATCCCCAAAGTATCCTGAGGTTCTTGCACCTGCCAGGAATTGACATTTTTTACTAACCTGGTAAGAGTACTGGGAACTCTGTAAGCAGAGGTATCAGGCAGCATTCTCAATGGGCTTTATAAAAGGCTCCATGTTTCATAAGTCAACCTCAATTCCTGAAAACTATTTGGTTCTATCTGAGTCTATGCATGTCTCTCTCAAATATGACATTCCAGTCAAAGCCTTAGTAAACTAACCAGTGTTTCCAATGGTATTCTGTTACAAGGAGAATAGTTTTTTTTTGTTTGTTTGTTTGTTTTTTGTTTTTTAATTTACTCATGAGACATAGAGAGAGGCAGAGACATAGGCAGGGGCAGAAGCAGGCTCCCTCTGGGGAGCCTGATGTGGGACTTTCATCCCAGGACCTGGGGATCACAGGGATCATGACTTGAGCCAAAGGCAGATGCTCAATCACTGAGCCACCCAGGTGCCCAGGAAAATAGATTCTTTTGAACTTATGCAAATGACCATGATTGCCGTGGAAGAAAAAATACTTAGACCTTTTGAGTATCAGAGGGTTCAGGTGGAGAGAAAAGTTAAATGCTTCAATTTGTTCACAAATGAATACTTTATCATATTTCTTTAAGTCATAGATATCTTAAGGGAAAGTTTCCTTAATCTGGAAAGTAAACATTTAGAGAATCAGCAGTGTTTCAAAGAAGAGTCAAAAGCTATAATCAGGGCAGCTCTGGTAGCTCCATGGTTTAGTGCCGCCTTCAGCCCAGGGCGTGATCCTGGAGACCCAGGATCGAGTCCCACATCAGGCTCCCTGCATGGGGCCTGCTTCTCCCTCTGCCTGTGTCTCTGCCTGTGTGTGTGTGTGTGTCTCATGAATAAATAAATAAAATCTTAAAAAAAAAAAGCTATAATCATCTTTTTCAGTTCATTTAGTCACATGTTACTAATTCTTGTTTGCAGTCTTTAGTTCTGGAAATTCTTACTGCATTTCAGTTTTATGATCTTAAAGATATCAAATACTTGTATTTGTCAAAAAAAAAGACCTTTATATGAATCTCCTTGAAGACGGAATTCATTTTGCAAGAGAATAAGATCAATTACAAATGACAAAAACTCAGAAATGGACATTGTTAATGATGTGAGTTACGATGCAGTTGACAAGGAAATTCAGTTATTTCTCTGACACAGAACACTCTAATAATCAGAATATTGAGTGATGACCTTGTACCAAAACCAGCATACCATATGAAGAAGCCTAATTAGTCAAAAAGATTTCATTCATGATTTAAATCTTTTTTTTTTTTTTTAATTCATTAGAGAGAGGGATCCCTGGGTGGCGCAGCAGTTTAGCGCCTGCCTTTGGCCCAGGGCGCGATCCTGGAGACCCAGGATCAAATCCCACGTCAGGCTCCCGGTGCATGGAGCCTGCTTCTCCCTCTGCCTGTGTCTCTGCCTCTCTCTCTCTCTCTCTCTTTGTGTGACTATCATAAATAATAAATTAAAAAAAATAAAAAAAATAAATTCATGAGAGATATATAGAAAGAGGAGGAGGGGAAGATGGTTCTAAACCTTGTCAGCTCGGACCAATGAGCAGGCACCATGGCTTTTTTCCACCAAAGTGGAAATATGCAGTTCATGTCTGGCCAGAGAAGACAATTTCCCCAAAACAAAGGGAGATTCAGTAGCTGCTTGGGAATATTCCTTAAAGTCCCTTTCCTGAGTAGACTAACCATACTTGGCTCTAATTATAGCCATTAACCTGGGAAATGAGGGAGAAGCCCCCACATTTATTAGGAGGAGGAACAGTGAGAGAGTCAGAGTCCCCCTCATTAGGGATGGCCTGTGTTTCCTCTAACAATCTGGGTTCTATCAGGAGGAGGCCTATTTAGATAATTATCATTCAGTATATCAGGAGGGAGTTTACTGGCCTGGTTACTGACCAGACATGTTCTGCTAGAGGCCCTTAGGTCTGGGTCCAGACTTAGAGCCCTGATGGTCTGGACCTGGGGTACCTCCTCCCTTTTGCCCTGCTTCTTGCAGAACAGATCTAACTGAGATCCTCCTGAGGCCATGCGGTATTACAGGAGATCAGTCTCTTCCTAAATTTTGCAATCTGAATTGTTTTCCATTGGGCTAAAAGGCGTCCTAAGGGAGAGTCCTTGGGAACTGAAGAGAGAAGAGCCATTACCAAGAAACCCCCACCACCACCACAACCATTTCCTGGGTGGCATCCCATGCAGAATATGTCAGAGGTCCTGGTGTCAAAGCTGTCTGAGGCATCCCTTGAACAAATCACTGTGATCACTGCCCTGCTGTAAAGTCCTGGGGGAGAGATGCTACCCCCGCCCCTCTGCTGGCTTCATGTATTTTTGGTGCATTTTCCCTCTATTTGTCTCTCACACTCTGGTGGGTCCACGGTGGAATCACCTCTGAAGGAATTTCCTCTGATTTGGAATCCATAAAAGGATTCGTTTTTGAGTTTCTGAAAGTGCACCCAATTGAAAACTTGCAGAAAAGAGAGAGCATCTTCTTTAGAGGCTATATATTCGGAATTCTAAAAATTGGTTATTGTATAGTTATTGTATAATATGAAAGTCAGTCCAAGACTTTCCTTGTTTGAACACAAGCCTATAGACTCATCTATAAACATGAAAGTTTTATTATAACAAGATTATTTCTTAATATGCACATACTTTAATTGCATGTACTTTATAGTTTTTTAATCCTACAACTTTTTTTTTTAAAGATTTTTTTTATTTATTCATGACAGACAGAGAGAGAGGCAGAGACACAGGCAGAGGGAGAAGCAGGCTCCATGCAGGGAGCCCGATGTGGGACTCGATCTCGGGACCCCAGGATCATGCCCTGGGCCAAAAGCAGGCACCAAACCGCTGAGCCACTCAGGGATCCCAATCCTACATTTTTATTGACCATAAATTTGATTTGTAGTTAAATTGTTGTGATATGACTGTTGTTAAGATAAATGATCATATTTATATGGTTCTAGAATGCCATATTCTGAACTTTCACATTCTCTGCCAAAGAACTGAATATTATTCAGTCATCTGTTAGTGAGAAACATCTGATAATACAGATAGTGCAGTAGGAAGTTGCTGTCTAGCAATTTATCTGGTAACATTTCCTTTTATAATTTCTGGGAGGTAGGTTTACTATGAAGTTTCAGGATTATCTTGCTGAATAAATATGCTTTGTTTTATTTTTTAGAATGCTAATGCTTTTAAAACTTGGAATAAGCCACTTGGTGTTTTGTTGACTTGACTTTACAATTATTTTTTTCCCCCAGTTTGCATAGTTCCTGGTCAATATAGAAATGTGGAGTGTCTTGACTGAATCCTCGTGCAGACAAGATCATTATGGTCCTGGTAGGTAGGATAAGTAACCTGATATAAGGTAATATCTGTGCTAACCTAAAGCTCTAAATGTACTTCATATGCTTCTGGGTCATTTTTGTTGGTGTTTTCTTTCCAAATTGGATTGTCCTTACCAAATGATGACTTTTCTCTTGTCCTATTGATTGTAATATCAAGTGTACAGTTTAAAAAGCAAATAACTTAGGACTACATAACAAAGTATATTGTATTTCCTGGTTTTCTTTTATTTTCAAAATATATAGTATTTGTAATTTTCTAGTTGTTCCCAAATTGGGTTTACTCTGTAAAGTCGTCATGGCTTTATTCTGGTTTAGACTGGAGACTCAGATTTCTACTCATAAATCATCCTTGAAATCATCTGATAGCAGATGTGACTCTATAGGTGGAAGAGAGTAGGTGTATAGCTTTTGATTTTGTTTTCATACAATGTTTGGAATTGTAGATAAATATATTATCCAAACTATATCTGAAGGAACTGATCAGTGTTTCTGAATATCAAGGGGAGTGAGTTACTTTTTTTTTTTTTAGATATTTATTTATTTGTTTGTTTGACAGGGTGAGTGAGCACAAGCAGGGGGAGCAGCAGGCAAAGGAAGAGGGAGAAGCAGGCTCTATGTAGGAAGCCCGATGTGGGACTGGATCCTGGGACTGGGGATCACACCCTGAGCTAAAGGCAGACACTCAACCACTGAACCACCCAGGTGTCCCCCATCTTATTTTTTTTTAATTTCTATTTATTTATGATAGTCACACACACACACAGAGAGAGGCGCAGAGACATAGGCAGAGGGAGAAGCAGGCTCCATGCACCAGGAGCCCGACGTGGGATTCGATCCTGGGTCTCCAGGATCGCGCCCTGGGCCAAAGGCAGGTGCTAAACCGCTGCGCCACCCAGGGATCCTCCCCATCTTACTTTTTTATTGCACATGGTACAAATAGAGAATTCTATTAAATATGTATTATGTTGTAATATTGGCTAGTTCACATCCCTGCAAAGGATAAGGAATCCTGGAGATCAAGGATTTACTGTTATAACTTTAAAAGCTGGGTATTTTTTTAACATTGTTTTATTTTTATACAATAATTATTACCACTGGCAATTGATTTGCAAAGTATTCAGTTTTTGTCCATTCTGACAAAGCCATCAAAGAGAACTAAAAGTTCTCTAAGAAAAATTATACACATAAATTTCAGTCCCTCTTATTTTCACTTTGATTTCATGGATCTGTCAGATATTTACTTAAGAAATGTTAAAAAAAAAAAAAAAAAAAAGAAATGTTTAGTGAGGGACACCCGGGTGGCTCAACGATTGAGCCTCTGCCTTTGCCTCAGAGTGTGATCCCCGGATCCAGGACCAAGTCCCACATCAGGCTCCCTGCACGGAGCCTGCTTCTCCTTCTGCCTGTGTCTCTGCTTCTCTCTCTCTCTGCCTCTCATAAATAGATGATTGATACTAGTAGATAGATAGATAGATAGATAGATAGATAGATAGATAGATAGATAGATAGATCGATAGATCCTTTAAAAAAAAGAAATGTTTAGTGAGGGGGTGTCTGGGTGGCTCAGTCAGTTAAGCATCTGACTCTTTATTTTGGTTCTGCCATCATCTCAGGGTCATAAGATTGAGCCCCACTTCTGGCTTCCTGCTGTCTGCTTCTCTCCCTCTTCCTCTACCCCTTCTCTTGCTCATTTGTGCTCTCTCTAAAATAAATAAATAATTCTTAAAAAAAAATTTAGTAAGTACCAGCTGTATATCATGCTACCTGATAGCTTGAGGAGTACAACACCTTCAAGTGGCTTATAGTCAGGTGTATAAGGTACTGACCTGAGCATTGATCTGTGGAGAGTACACAACTTCACTGGCACCTATATACAAACAGTTAATAAAAAACACCAAGCAGTGATGAATAAAGGGGAGATAGCATAAGTGCTGCAAGAATTTGGTGACATGAAAGACTTCATAGAGAAAGTTTATAGATGGTGGACTGAAAGGAAGGGGGAAGACTTTGTGGAAAGGCAGAATGATGTGAGCAAAATTCAGTATGTTTGAGACAAGGGGATGTTTAAAACAGTAGTTTCCAAATTGTGGTCCATGGACCTGTAGCATCAGCATCACCTGGGAACTTGTTACAAATTAGAAATGTAAGTTCTCAGGCTCCACTTGAGAACTGCTAAATTGCTGGCAGTGCGGCCCACCAACCTGTGTTTTAACAAGTCCTCCAGGTGGTTCTGATACATCCTAAAGATTGAGACTTGCGAGACTAGAGCAAGGTTCTTGTATGAAAGTAGTGGGCAAAAAAACTTCAGTAAGGTAGCCTGGGAATTCACAGTGGAGGACTTCAGATATTGGGCAGGGAGTTAAACTTTTGTCCTACAGTGCAGCATCACCAACTTGTAACTTGAAGGCTGGATTTGACCCATAGGTGTGTTTTGCCAGGCCTGAAAAGTGGCTTTTTTAAAAAATTTTTAAAGATTTTTATTTATTTATTCATAAGAGACACACAGAGAGAGGCAGAGACATAGGCCAGGAGACAGTGATAGTGATGTCTACAGACTTGCCTCTAGACTCTAGAGTCTGAGGGTTGAGGCTCAACAATCTTTTTGGGCGTTCCACACATACCACCATAAACACCTATTCTTGCATTTACTGTATGAGAAAGCCCTACATCCAATGACTAGCAGTTAGTTACTCCATGATGTCATAATCTCCTGGTTTCCTTTCTTTTTCCTTGGTTCCTTTTCTTTCTTTCTTTCTTTTTTAATATTTATGTATTCATGAGAGACACAGAGACAGAGGCAGAGGCAGAGGGCAAAGCAGGCTCCCTACTGGGAGCCCAATGCAGGACTCGATCTTGGGACTCTAGGATCATGCCCTGAGCTGAAGGCAGATGCTCAACCACTGAGCCACCCAGGTGTCCCTGGGGTTTGTTTGTTTTTTTAAATATTTATTTATTTTATTTTTAATTTATTCATGAGATAGAGAAAGGCAGAGACATAGACAGAGAGAGAAGCAGACTCCATGCGGTAAGCCTGATGTGGGACTTGATCTTGGAACTCTGGGATCATGCTCTGAGCCAAAGGCAGATGCCCAACCACTGAGCCACCCTGGCATCCCTGGGTTTTTTTTTTTTTAATGGAATTAGTTGTCACTATTTAAAAACTGGATTCCACACAGAAATCTGTACTTTCAGCTTGTCTTGAAAAATCAGAAAACCTGGCAATATTGGGCTGGTGATTCATCATGGCAGCAATTTGCGGCAGCAGCGCCCATTTAGATGAGATGTGTACTCTCTAGCTTGCCATAGTCCCTACCAATTCCTATTGGTTTACACCTTTACTCAGTTGTATTTCTTCCTTGGCCCCCGTAAGTATTTAGGTATTTGAGTTTGTACCTTCTGTTACAAACAGTGGGAAGTTGATGAAAGTTTTGTTTTTTTTAAAGATTTATTTAATTTAGAGAGAATGAGCAGCAGGGAGGGGCATAGGGAGAGGGAAAGGATCTCAAGCAGACTCCCCTCTACGTGCAGCTGGACATGGGGTTCAGTCTTACAACCCTGAGATCATGACCTGAACTGAAATCAAGAGTTAACAAATGCTTAACCAAATGAGGCACCTAGGCACCCAAAATTGTGAAAGTTTTAGAGAGTGAATTGATTTATGTATTCATTAATTCATTCAACAAACATTGGTTAATTAAACATATATGCCATTGTACAGTGTTCAAAGATAAGTGAATTCCTAATATGCTCTGGATTAAAATCTAGTGGGAGGGGGATCCCTGGGTGGCTCAGCGGATTAGTGCCACCTTTGGCCCAGGGTGTGATCCTGGAGACCCGGGATCGAGTCCCATATCAGGCTTCCTGCATGGACCTCCTTCTTCCTTTGCCTGTGTCTCTGCGTCTGTGTGTGTGTGTGTGTGTCTCTCATGAATAAATAAATAAAATCTTTAAAAAAATAAAATAAAATCTAGTGGGAAAATGATGAAGACAGTAGTGTATGGATTTGAGAATAGAAATGTTGGTAATTTGCTGGGTGGCTCAGTGGTTCAGCGCCTGCCTTTGGCCCAGGGCATGATCCTGGAGTCCTGGGATCTAGTCCCACGTCAGGCTCCTGACATGGAGCCTGCTTCTCCCTCTGCCTGTGTCTCTGCCTCTCTCTTTCTCTTTCTCTCTCTCTCTCTTTCTCTATCATTAATAAATTAATAAAATCTTTAAAAAAAAAGAAATGTTGGTAATTTGAAGACCAATTAAGCTGTAACAATCTAAGTCTGAAATAATAAAGGCCAGAATTTAGTTATTAATAGGGATACTAGGAGGAAAAAAAGGAGAAAGAGATGAGAGAGATACTGCAAAGGAAAAATCATCAGTTCTTGATAACAGATTGGAATATAGAAGGTATGAGAGTAGAGAATTCAAAGATGATGAGGATTTTGGGTTGTGAATTAGGAAATCTAACAGATGCCACTAATAGAAACAGGAAATAAGAAAAATCCATTTAGCCCTCTCTGCAGGGTGGGGGGCAAGAGTGCCAAGGAGATGGAGCATTTGGAGATGCCAGCTTGAAGTGTCTCTTGTTTTGAGTTCAGTGTATTGACATGCATACAACATTAAGTGTTTTTAAAAGGAAAACTTAATAGAAATGTCAAGATTGCAGGCTTAGAGGTAGATATCACTCATTCCATCCTTGGATTCCAAGGGCATACTAGGAGAAGTATTTAAGTTGTCAACAAAATGTATGAAGACCTTTCTTGAAAACATTTGCTTTGGGGCCCATATAGTTAGAATTTATAATCTTGTTTGAATCCTCTCTTGGTTGTATTATTTTCATATTTATGCTGCACAGGTTAAGTTAAACTTTATGGGAGAATAGAAGGTACTGTATAAATTCAAATGCTTAAAGACATTTTCTAAGTATCAGTACTACCCTTCAAAATTTAAATCATAATTGGCTATGTACCTATGAGATATCCAAAGGAAGAAGTGTTGTCATAGCTGTTGTTTCATTGAAATAGTAGCCAAAGTTTTTCCTCATTTGATCTTATGTTTAGTTCCATCTGCACTTTCCTCTTTTTTTTCTTTTTGAAGTAAACTCTGTCTAGTGTGGTGTTTGAACTCACAACCATGAAATCAAGAGACACATGCCCTATGGTCTAAGCCAGCCAGGCACCCCCATCTGCTTTTTATTTTTTTTAAGATTCATTTATTTGAAAGAGCGAGCATGAACAGGGGAAAGGGCAGAGAGAGAGAGAGAATGTCAAGCAGACTCCACCCTGAGCTCAGAGCCTGATGCAGGCTCCACTCACAACCCTAAGATCATAATCTGAGCTGAAATCATGAGTCTGACACTCAACCAACTGAGCCACTCAGGCTCCCCACCACATAATGTTTTTGAAAAAAATTTTTTACTGTGGTGGTAAAATATATAACACAAAAATTGCCATCTTAACCATTTCTAAGTGTACAGTTCAGTAGTATTAATTATATTCACAGTCTTTTATAACCATTACTACTGTTTCCAAAACTCTGTCATCACCCCAAACAAACTCTAAGCCTATTAAGCAGTAACCCCCATTGTACCCTCCGCTCAACTCCTGATAACGTCTGATCTACTTTCTGTCTGTGAATTTACTTATTCTAGACATTTCATATAAGTGGAGTAATATATATCTTTTTGTATCTGGCTTCTTTCATTTAGCATAATGTTTTCAAGGTTCATCCATATTGTAGCATGTGTTAGAACTTCATCCCTTTTTTTTTTTCAAGTTTTATTTATTTAAGTAACCTCCACACACCCTATGTGGGGCTCAAACTCACAACCTTGAGATCAAGAGTCACATGCCCTTCCAACTGAGCCAGCCGGGTGCCCCAGAACATCATTCCTTTTTATAGCTAAATAATATTTTACTAAATATATGTATCATATTTTTGTTTACATATTTATTAATGGACACTTTGGTTGTTTCCACCTCTGGTTGAACAGTGCTATAATGAACATCAGTGTAGAAATACATTTGTTTGAGTCCCTGTCTTCAAATTGTGAATGTATACTTAGGACTAGAATTGGCTTGGTGCCTTTTAACCATGTACTCATGTACTCATACATGTAATACTAAATGGCCACTCTTGATCACACTGTGGAACACACAACTCATTATCTGAGTTCTTTATGGAGAAAAAAAAACCCCACTAAGTGCATAAACTAGATTTTATCCACTTTGTGGATTAGCTCCTTAGTCACTGACCCCTATACATTTACACACATACATTTATACAGAGATACATACTAGCTTTTAGAGGGAGTGTGATTTGCCTCCCTTTGTTGTTGCTGATTTTATAAACAAGTGATTTTATAAGAGTGGCTGTGGTTGTAGTTTAAATGAGAAGAAAGTATGGAAGAAGACAAAGAGCTTAAGAGTACTAGACTGCAAGTCAGGGGATGAATGTGGTGATCTGGTTTCCAAAGACTGAACAGATTAGAAATAAATGTGAAAAGAGATTACTACCTCAAAAATAAGCATCCTGACAAGAGGGAAAAGAGAGAACTTTGCTCTTATGATTATCCATGTCTATCTTCTACAGGTTGAAAAAATGTCACATTAGTTGAAAGAAACAAAGGGGAATGCCCAGAAGAAAAAGAAAATATTGGTAAGTAGCCGATATAAAGTAGTACTCTACTTTTCCATAGGTAGATTTCTCCACATTCTGCTTTCTTATTCCTGAAAGCTCATGATAAATGGAAAGGGATCTATGAGCCACTAAAAAAGCTGTCACAAAATCTGCAACCCTTATTCTTTTAGAGAGACTCTAATTTGCATAAGTTTACATAAAAGTCTAATAATTATGTCTTTCTGATCTTCATCCCATTGATTTTAAAGATTTTTAAAAATTACATGATGGCAGCTTATTGAAGGAATCACACCCATGACACACTAATCAGTGATAACATAATATGTCAGGGAAAACAAGCTCAAAAAAGTAAATCAATCTGGGACCGTTTAGTGGCAGGCAAACAGTTCTATAGAACTGTAGCCCCAGAGGCATTCCAGGTTTGCAGAAAAACATAACTAATGATCATAATCCTCACCCTGAATCATAAGTCACCTTAGAAATATTTGTAGCAAGCATTGTGTTTTTTGTTTATTTATTTATTTATTTATTTATTTATTTATTTATTTATTTATTTATTTATGATAGTCTCACACACACACACAGAGAGAGAGAGAGAGGCAGAGACACAGGCAGAGGGAGAAGCAGGCTCCATGCACCAGGAGCCCGACGTGGGATTCGATCCCGGGTCTCCAGGATCGCGCCCCGAGCCAAAGGCAGGCGCCAAACCGCTGCGCCACCCAGGGATCCCTGTAGCAAGCATTGTTAAATTAAAGATGTTATGTTATTTAAAGGGGAAGCATCTTAGACACATTTGAAGAAATGTACTTATATGGTAGCCCTATTCCTTGCTTTATATATCAGATATCACATAATATTTCAGTCTTTCTCATTTTTTCATTTTGATGTAACATATTTGAAGCAGAAGATACTTTTCATTTGATAACAAGAAAGGGAAAATGGGTTTTCATTTCTCTTCCCACATATTCCAGTGTAAACAGTGACAGAGCACACTGATCCTTGTAATTACTCTTCTGCACATAAATACCTCCTACAACGGATATGAGTTTGAAGGCAGAAATGGTTGATCACCTTATATTTTTATTATATTTGCTCATTGGGGGAATATTAACCCCCTCCTGACTGGTAGTATCTTCCTGTATAAAGGTTTCTCACTCTTCGTGAATGGGTAAGAAAAGACCTTATGACTTGTGAAGAGAGAGAACCAGCAAGGCAGCTGCTTTCCCTATGCAGTGACGATTGTAGCCAAGTCAAGCCCAAAACCATGAAGAATGAAGTCAGGCACTGTCTGATCTCATTTTGGTATAACACCCAAATGGTTTCATTGTATATCATTGGCCTTTTTGACACTTATCTAATGATGTTTTGATTAAAATGGAATAAAGTACAGAAAGAAGTGATCTATTAATAGGAAAGAATTTTATATTTGTTGGTTAACTACCAATGTATCAATTCTAATTCCTTTATTGGGAGGGTTTGATCTTACGGTTGGAAAGACCTTAAAAGAAATCTCATTCAATCAGCCTTCTGGGACAGTGTGGTCAGATTTGAGCTGAGCCCTTGGGGCAAGAATCCTCTCCTGCCTGCCAGCACAGCAAATCCTACTGCTGGAAGGTTCTTCCTGTTTAATCTCTCCCCTTGTGGTTTCCATGCTTACAGATCTTATTACAGTTCTTTGGCAGATATCTAAAACAAGTTATTTAATAACCCTTTTTTATTTTGTTGATACTTGAAAAATGCTGGGTATAAAGTTATTCAGTGGTTTTCATGTCTGTACCAGTTGTCTGTTTTACCCTTCTACCAAATATCTCTTTATTACCTAAGTATAAATGCTACTGCTGTCTGATTAGAAATTTTCTTTCTATATATAGCATGAAAAAAGTTGCTGTTCTGTTTAATATAAATATTTTCACTCTATGCCTTCCTTGATTAAGCATTTTATTTCACTGTTAGGTTTATTATTCAGTTATTAATAGATGCTTATAATCTTAACAAATGTAAGGACTCATTTGTTTTCTCCCTACTCTTTTCTAAATATGTCTGACTTTTTTGAAGTATTTAAATTCCTGCCACCCTTAGGAACAAGCAGAAAGTTGTATGAGTTATAGTTTTTATGACTATAATGCTTTTCCTTAAGGAAAATATTGGGACTAGGGTCACCTGGGTGGCTCAGTTGGTTAAAGCGTCTGACTCTTGGTTTTGGCTCAGGTCATGATCTCAGGGTGGTGAGATCAAGCCCTGTGCCAGGCTTCACACTCAGAGCAGAGCCTGCTTGAGATTCTTTCCCTCTCCCTCTCCCCTAGCTTGTGCTCACTTTATTTTTCTCTCTCAAATAAATAAAACCTTTTTAAAAGATATCAGAACTATAACAAAAAATGGAAAGCATCAAGTAGTAGAATATGACATTTTCAGAAATTTTTTTAAGATATTATTTATTCATTCATGAGAGACACACAGAGAGAGAGAGAGAGCCAGAGACACAGGCAGAGGGAGAAGCAGGTTCCATGCAGGGAGCCTGATGTGGGACTCGATCCCAGGACTCTAGGGTCACGCCCTGAGCCAAAGGCAGATGCTCAACCGCTAAGCCACCCAGGCATCCCGATTTTCAGAAAAATAAAAGTCCATACTGTTTTTAATTTTTAAAAGTTAGTATCAGTGGAATAACATGTAGTTCCTAAAACAAGAAGTGTGTAAGCTCTGTTAATAGAAACATCTATAAATTGAAAAAAAAAACCCAAAGACAAAATATTATGTAAATACTGGTTATAACTTGCAGTAGCCTGTAAGATGGCCTCCAGTGATTCTCACCTCCTGGTATTCATACCCATCCTCTCATCAGGATTGGTCTGTATGGCCAATGAAATATGGGGGAAATAATAGTATATGACTTACAGAAATAAGTCATGAAAAAAACATCGCTGCTTCTACCTTGCTGTCTCTTGGATTTCCCACTCTGGATGAGACATCCACCATGTTCTAAGATATTCAAGGCTCTTTGGAGCGTCAGTGTGGGAAGCAGCTGCAGCTTCCTTCCAACAGCCAGCATCAGCTCGCCAGCCATTGAGTGATCCATTCTAGGAGGTGGGTTTTCACCTTCAGTCAAGCCTTCAGTTGACTGTAGCCCCAGCCTGCATCTTGACTCCAGTATCATGAGCGACCCTGAGCCAGAACTATCCAGTGAAGCCATTCTCAAATTCCTGAACTACAGAAACTGTGAGATAATAAATGTATATTATTGTTTTAAGCAACTAAGTTTTGAGATTATTTGTTGTGCAACGATAGGTAACTACTGTATAGCATTGCAAGTATTTATTGGTTTGACTAATAGAAGAGAACTTGGACAATGTAAATAATGTTTAGTATCCTTTAGCTTTGAGGGGAGGAGTTACTTCAGTTTATCACAATTTTAACAGTGTGTTTGATTAAAGAAATTCAATATAGCTATAGAACTAGTGGATTCAGAAAAATAAAATTATAGTTTCTCCTAAATATGTTTAGACTAGGTATTCATTAATCAATTACATTCTCTTAAAATCTATTTATAAAAGTATATATTATTTTTCCTTTTTTATAAAAAGATTTTTAAAAAGATTTATCTACTCATTCTAGAGAGGGGAAGAGGGGCAGAGGGAGAGGAGAATCTCAAGCAGACTTCCCAGTGAGCACAGAGCTTGACATGGGGCTCGATCTCAGGATCCTGAGATCAGACCTGGGCTGAAATCAAGAGTCATATGCTTAACTGACTGAGCCACCCAGGTGCCCCTAAAGATTTTAATTTATTTGAGAGAGTGCACGAGAGAGTATGAGTTGGGGAGAGGGAGCAGAGGGAAAGAAGCAGACTCCCCTCTGAGCGGGGAGCCCAATTTGGGGCTTGATTCCAGGATCCTGGGATCATGACCTGAGCTGAAGGCAGAGGCTTAACTGACTGAGGTACCCAGGCACCCCTATTTTTCCCTTCTTATGTCACTTTGTAATTTATTCTTATCATCAGTTTCCATTGAGAACTTTCTTGGGCACTCCTGTAGGTGCTTGGGCTACGTCACTGAGCAATTCCTGATCCCTGCTCTCTAGGAGCTTATATTCTATCAGAAGAACATAGATAATAAGCATAATACATAAACTATCTCATATGTTAGAATGTGATAAGGTGCTATAAAAAAATGAAAAAGATTGTTAGGGGGATTGACAGAGCAGGCAGCAGTAAGGGCACATGACGGAGGGAGTTTAGTATTAAAGATAGGTCTCAATAAGAAAGTGGCATTTGAACAATGATTTGAAGAAGTTGCAGGAATTTATCAAGTGGATGTATGTTTCTGACAGTGGGGACAGCTATGGCAATGCCCTACATCAGGAGCATGTTTGATACGCACACAGATGTCAGTGTTGGGGGAGTGAGTAAGATGAAAGCTTAGATAAGGTCAGAGAGGTAATGGGGAGAGAGGTAGAGAAATGGATCCGTGAAGACTGTATTGGAATCTTGCTACTCTGGGGGAAATGGGAAGCCATTGCTGCATTTTGCAGAGGAGAGACATGCTGTAACATATTTTAAAAGGATGACCTTGGTTGCTTGTTAAAAAGACTCTAGGGGAGTGAGAATAAAAGAGAAAAAAAAAGAGACTAAAAGCAGAGATGTGATAAGACATTATTAGAATAAATCACATGAGAGATGATGGTGACTCAGGCCAGGGTGGTAGCAATGAGTAAACAGAAATGGTCAGATTCTGGAAATGTAATGAAGGTAGAACCAGCAGAAAACAGATTAAAGCTCTTGGTTGTATATAGGAAGGAGATGAAACTGCTGTAAGACTTTTGTATGTCAATGCCAGTCTAACTTTCCAGCTTCATCTCTGATCATTCTCCTCTGCGGTCTACTTCTCCTCCCACCCCCATATCCATTTTTCCCTAGAGTCATTCTAGATGACCCTCCCTGAGTGATCTAGTGGTTAAAATTGTGGACTCTGACATTAAACCATCTGGGTGTGATTTCTGGCTCTTTCTCCTTACAACTATGTGGTCTTACCTAGCTGCTTATGCTTCAGCTTTCTCATTTCTAGAATTGGGATGTTAATAATGGAGCCCAACTCACAGAGTGGTATGGTAAGATTAAATGAGATAATGCATATAAGCTGTTATCATTATTAACTCATATTATGTTCCTTTGGCCACAGTCTTTCCTCTGCATTAAGTACTAACCCTCTCTTCTATACCCTCTTCCATTATAGTCTACTTTTTGTTTTTGTTTTGTTTCTGTAATCCGTATTACAAAAATATTTGAGGAAATCAAAAAATAAGATCAAATCATCCATAATTTACCTATCTCTTTTCATCATTTTATAGTCCCTCTGGTCTTAATAATCTATATTATTTGTGTAATTCTGTTCAATTTTCATGATGTAATTCTGTTCAATTTTCATGATCAGCTCAGATGTCATCTCATGATGCATTTCCCAATCCTGTAGGTAGAGTTAGTCCTTTAAGGCTTTGGGATCCTTTAGTGTTTTATGATTAACTTAAGAAGGTGTGGTTCTTTTTCTATGTCTGTCACTTCTACCAGCCTCTGAGCTTCTTGAATAAAAACATCTGTTTATTCAGGTTTAATTCTTGATCACCTAGCACTTAATGGGCATCAGTGAACATTTATAGAATTAGATGCTGAAACAGAGCCTACAAAGGCTCCACTTCAGTCTTTATTACATGTAACGGCCAGATTCATATTTATGACACTCTCTTCCTCAAAATCCTCAGTGGCTTCCCATTCCCTGCGGAGTTTAGTCTAAACTCAGCTGAGGGGATCCCTGGGTGGCTCAGTGGTTTAGTGCCTGCCTTCGGCCCAGGGCCTAATCCTGAAAACATGGGATCGAGTCCCACATCAGGCTCCCTGCGTGGGGCCTGCTTCTCCCTCTGCCTGTGACTCTGCCTCTCTCTCTCTGTGTCTATGAATAAATAAATAAAATCTTTTTTTAAAAACTAAAAATAATAATAATAATAATAAACTCAGCTATTTGGTATGCTGTACTGTCTGACCTGAATTTGCCTTTCCAACTGTATTTCCTCTCACAGTCAAACTGATGTGTTCACTGTTCCCCAGGGGCCTCCATCCCTTTTCTATATCCATGTCTTGAATCAATGTTTCCTGAAAGCACTCCTTTCCTGTCTTAATGCCCTTTCTCAGGACCCTCCTTAAATGCCACTTCTTTCACAAAGCCTTCTCAGTTATTCCAGCTGGGAATAATGTCTCCATGCTTTGAAGTCTCAGAGCACACTAACTGAGAGCTACTTGTCACATTTTAACTTTACAGAGGTAGTTAATGGACATGCATTTTCTTTCCTGTTTCCTGTAATCTCTTAAAGGGTGAGTCTAAAATGATTCATCTTTGCATGCCGTACTTGTAAGTAGCACTGGGCAACTGATAATTTCTGGAATGGCTAAATGAATGACTATATGAATAAATAGGATTCCTAGAGTAGCACTCCTATCTATGAGCTGGTTTGGAGGGGAATGGGGAGTTGGGTATGTGATACATCACCATAGTAAGACACTAGGAAAGGTGGTACTCCCTTCCCTGATGCTTTTGTCTGCAGATATTATTAGCTCAATTGTACCAAGCCTATTCATGAGAAATTTACTGATGTCTGACATGTTCCAGGCTTAGTACTTGGGTCTGGGAATACGAAAGATATCATGTACCCTGACCTTAGACACCCTTCAGATAGCAAAGTGTTCCAGGACTCTGGACCTTGGTTTTGGGTATGTAGGTCCCAACATACATTCCCAAATGAGGTATCGCTCACTCTGGATCTATTTCAGACTTAGCTAATTAGACTAGTCTTGTTTTTGCTTTGCTTGACTAACTTGTGCTCTGGGTGGTTTAGCTAATCCATTTCAGTAGTTCAGCTTATTTTTTAAAATTTCCATTCTGGTTAAATTTTAAACTTGCATTATGTTTAATTTTTAATTTTATTAGAGCTAGCTTCTCTGTGAAGCTCAGGAGAATTGGCAGTAGAGCTTCACTAAGACTTTGTGGTGGAACTTTCTAGTCACCTGTCCCGTTCCATTATTTTAAACTATTGAGAAATACTGTGTCATTTTATTCAGTTGAGCCAATATGGATATTTGTTTAGATAGGGAATAGAAAGATTTAAATAACGGTCAGGTGTCACCATGGAACTGTTTGTTTAAGGAAAACAAATCCACTCCTTTTGGAATCTGATTCAGTGCCTACAGAATCATCCTTCCTCACACCTGTGCTCTATTCTGGTCCTCTATACTCCATCTGTTTAATACTTAAAGTTCTCAGGGTTTTCCTTGTGTCACTTCACCAGTTAATTCCTACCTCTGATTTAGGATCCAGCTTAGGCCTCATCCCTTAAGGACCCTCCCTTTCCCTTCCCGCCTCCATCTTTCCCCTTCTGAGATGAGTTACTTGCCTCTTAGGTCCATTCCTATAATATACTTTTTTTTTTTTAAGATTCTGTTTCTTTGAGAGAGAGAACACGAGAGAGACAGCATGAGTAGGGGAGAGGCAGAAGGAGAAGCAGACTCGCCACTGAGCAGGGAACCCAACTGGGCTCAATCCCAGGACTCAGATCTTGACCTGAGCCGAAGGCAGCTGCTTAACTGACTGAGCCAGGCACCTCCCATTCTTAAAATATTCTGTGCATATTCCCATAAGAGAACTTACTACAGTTTGTACATTTTAGCTATTTGTTTACTTGTCTGTGTCTTCTAGTAAGTTGAAGCCCCAAGACCTGGGACTATATTTGATTCCTCTTTTGTGTCTAGAAGCTAGCATAGTGTCAGGAATACATTAGACATTCAGTAAATGCTTGTTAATTAGACAATTCAATACCCAGCTTTCTAAATTCATCACAAGGATAAAAGCTATCAAGAAGTACAATTAACTTTCTCACTCTTGGGCTAAGGTTATAAAAACATTAAATAGGGAATTATTAACATTAGTACATAGTTATGTATTATATAATTATAAATATAACATTTAATAATGTAAAAACATTATTACATGTAGGTAATTAATATCCTGTATACAAACACAGAATTCAGTTCTGAGCAACTTCTGCCCTACAAGTAATAATTCTATTTGGCACTTAACTATCATAAAAGTAGATGAACCAGACAATCATGTGTACCCAGAAAAAAAGTGGATAAGGGAGGAGTGAAGGATCAAGAAGGGAGTGAGCTAACAAAAAGCCACGTAGTTAGTTGCAAACTAACACAAAGGTGAATGTGGTTCATGAAGCTAACTTGCTTCAGAAGGGCTGAACTAGGAGCAAAGAGCAAAAGGCAACCAACAGTGAAAGCAAGGATTCATGGGGAACAGGCAGACATGAGCAGGTGAGCACCCAAATGGGGCCCAGGTTCTATGGTATTTTAATCTGTCTCTGGTGACATGGAAGAAGGGAATCTGCAGCATGAAGCTCTAGGGAGGCTGCCTAGGAAGTATTAATGTTTACTATAGAGACAAAGATATATTGAAAAGACCTTTGGAAGGAAATGAGAACAGTGACAAACGCTAGCTGGCACCAGGGTCTCAAAAGAATTGAAGAGGGGGCTTTGTTGGGGTGAATAGGTGAAAAGTGAGCAAGAGATGTTGAGAAGACCAGTTCTGAAGGAGTGAATTTCAATATACTGATGTGTATCTTCCCTAGTGTATAGAAAAGTAAACTTGACCATCTGCATTATTTTGAGTAGCATATAAAACATATAATTGACACATTTGGAGAAACAATCCTGCCTTGGAAGTTTTGAATTGTGATCTTCCACTGGGCAGATAATTAACTTCCTGTTGGAAAGAAGTCAACTATTATATATTTGTTAAATGGGTAGGATCCAGTTCATCCTTTCATGGTATTTATTCAACACCTGTGTGCTAGCCATGTTCCAGTACCAGGAACATATCATTGTATACAATAGACAAAAATTCCCGCTCATATATAGCCCACATGAGGATAGCAGGGAGCAGGGAATCTGGGAAAAAAGAAAAAAAAAAAAAACCCACACACTAAAGTAGTAAATTATACTGAATATGGAAAGTGCCATGGAAAAAAATAGAGAAGGAAGGTAGAAGATACATATGTGGCCAGGTGGGTTGCAATTTTAAATACGGTACACAGGGAAGGTCCCAAGAAGATGACATTTGAGCAAAGACTAAAAGGATGAGTAAGCTTTGCAGGCTGGGACCATATGAAAAAGGATGCCATTTTATAAATTATAAGCCTTTATAATACCATTCTTAGCTAATCTTAAAAATGAGATTGGAAATGGTGTTAGAAGGTAGGGATTGAGAGCACAAGGGTATTTTATGTTTTCATCCTCTGCTTTGTCTAAACTCTATTGTTTAGTTTTATACTGAGCACCTGGTATGACTCTGCACTTTTTCACTCCATGAAAACAGATACCTAGCATGCATTTTTTTCCCCTTGAAATCTCTTGGAAGAAAGACAATGTTTACTTAATGGAAATAGAAGCTGGAGAGGTTTTACAGAAACCACAATAATAGAGAAAACATGAGTGAGCCCTGAGAAGGTGCGTGGGATAAGTTGCAGAGGTTAAGGAAAGCTGGTGACTGGAAAGTCCCTTAATGCTTTTCCTGAGGGAGAAAAGGGACCAAGGACTGGATATGGTTTGAGCTCTGGACAAAGTGAGGATCCATTAATACTCAGAGAATCTGAAAGTGTCGTTTTTGTTTTCAGTTATTTAGATTGATCTATATGACCAGCCTGTTTGTTGTAAAAGACGAATCAGCCAAAAGGAGTGATATAAGATGTGAGTATGAATCTGGCCAAGCAGTTACTCTATTTTGGTGGTGTTTTCCTGGGATAGTTTCCTTTGAAACTCTAAAAGGTTTTTGTTTTTTTCCTAGCCAAACCCTTTATTCTTAATTGTAAAGTAGAAGTCCAGCCTTGAATTGTGTTCAAACTAATAATTCTAACTCTGCTTTTTAGTACCTCACAACTACTGTAGTTATTTTAAAGTTAAAAAGTTAAAACTCTAAATGCAATTGACTTCAATTTACATTATTTTGAATATGTCGCCTTTGGGAAGAGAGACATTTTTATAAAATGAACCCTAAAAGGTCAACGTACTTGAGAATGACTGAAAATCCTCAATATATTTTCCAGATTACTCATACTCTGTTAGAGATAAGGGGACTGGACACTGGGAACTTTGGAATTAGATCTTATTTAACCAGCTACTGTGACTTGCATAAGGAAAAGTCCAGAGAAGAAAGCTGGAACAGGACATCAAAACTGTTTTGAGCAAAGTACATAAAGGGCAATTAAGGAAGCCTTAAATGTGAGCGGATAGATATGTGGTATTCTTCATGAATATCAGGAGAAAATTAAGCCTAGCTTATCCAGGAGACATTTTGTCATGTAACCCTACTCTAGGTTTTCAGCAGCATTTGTATCCGACCTACTATAATACACAGAGCTAAAACAAATAAAGCTGAGCACTAATGCTAAGATTTTTGTCTTTGCTAAGAACATATTAAGAAATATAAGCAGTAACTTGCCGTAAGGGAGGCTTTTGAAATCAGAAAAAGAAAGGTTGGTAAGAGTGAAGACTGATTTCTGGCCAAGATTTTACCATTGACCTTTATGACTTTCAGCAAGTCATTGAACCTCTCTGGCTTAATTTGCCCATCTGCCTTAAGTGGTTGTTTTCTGTTTGTTTGTTTTTTTTGTTTTGTTTTGGTTTTTTTTAGAGGGGGTTTGTGGTGGGAAGGAGAGAGAGAATCCCAAGCAAGCTCCATGCCAGACGTGGAGCCTGATGTTGGGCCCAGTCTCACGACCCTGAGATTATAACCTGAGCCAAAATTCAAGAGTCAGATGCTTAACTCATTGAGCCAGCCAGGTGCCTACATCTGCCTTAAGTTCTTACTGGGATAACATGGCCTAAAGCCTGTGAAGGATGTTTTCCAAAACCATAATGTCTAGGTGTCTGGCTGGCTCAGTTAGAGGAACATGCAACTCTTCATCTGTGGGCTGTGAGTTCAGGCTTCGAGTTGGGTGCAGAGATTACTTAAATAAATTTAAAAAACTCTGAAAAACCCACAATGGTCTATTTAAGTGTTTTTAAAATAAGTTGATTTCCCTAAAATGTGATTGTATGTGCAAGCCACTGGCAATATTATTGGTCACGGGTAGCAGTCCAGTAGCCTGATTTTTGAAAGCTGTAGACACCCCAATGCTACTGACTTTATAACTTCTTTGTAACTTTATGGCTTTAATTCAGAAATTGAAACATCTTATATCAATTAAAAAGACAAAAGAGAGGGAAAGAGAGAGAGAGAAGGTTAGTGTATGTTCTAAAGACAAAATTGTCAAAATGGAAAGAAGACAGATGCAATAAAAAGAGCAGGTATCAGAGAAAGCCTTGAGTATGAGAAATCCACTCTACAATTGAAAGTAGAGAATGAGGAAATATATTTTAAATCCCAATTTCCTTCTGCAGCAAAATACTCTTTAGAAATAGGTGCTAAAAGCCTATGTTACCCTGGTCTAGCTTATTGTGCTGGTTACAAAAAAATAGAGAAGGAGCACCTTGGGGGAAGGGATGGGATTTCTATAGTAGGTACTTCTTCCTTTACAGGTATAAACAAAAGACCAGTTGGTCTAACCTTGTGTTTATTTGTCCTGTAAGCCACTGCAGGTGTATGAACAGCATTACTTCTGCAACAAAAGCCTAGACTCACCACATCTTGGGAAGAGAATGGCCACTACCTGGGGGGCAGCCTTTTTCATGCTGGTGGCTTCCTGTGTTTGCAGCACAGTCTTCCACAGAGACCAGCAGACTTGGTTTGAGGGTGTCTTCCTGTCTTCCATGTGCCCCATCAATGTCAGTGCCAGCACATTGTATGGAATTATGTTTGACGCAGGGAGCACTGGAACACGAATTCACGTTTACACCTTTGTGCAGAAAATACCAGGTAAGTGTAACTGGTACCCTCACCAGTGCCTACTAATCCATACTTGAGCATCTCCTTCCAGAAACAAATGTGCTATGAGTACGCAATATGAATTACAGAAACTTAGAGTTACTGAATATCTTTCTTCAGAGAAGATATTGGGCCATAATTAACATATAGTTTAATTCACTGTGAAATTAGATCTGGGTTGCCTGTAATCTGAAACCCATATGTCCAAGAAGTATAGCTATAATTTGTCTCTCCTTTTCTCTAAAGGTGGTTGATACTCCAGGGTCCAGAATATTGAGAATTTGGAAGTGGTCTTGAGAGAGGATCAGTGCCATCCTTGGAGAAGGAGATGAGGGAGACCCTGAAAATTAACTTTTTCTGAACTTCCAGTGCTCTCAGGTTGCACATAGAGCCTAGGGGATGGGCAGCCCAGGTAGCTCAGCAGTTTAGCACCACTTTGGCCCAGGGTGTGATCCTGGAGACCTGGGATAGAGTCCCACGTCGGGCTCCCTGCATGGAGCCTGCTTCTCCCCCTGCCTGTGTCTCTGCTTCTCTCTCTCTCTCTCTGTGTCTCTCATGAATGAATAAATAAAATCTTAAAAAAAATAGAGCCTGGGGCAGCAGTAGGAGCTAGGTATCCATCCTAGGAAATGCCATAGGGACGCTTAAGAATTGCCTGTCATCTTCTGTCCCCCTACCCAATATTCCTGCAAACCACTCCTCACAGGTGGGATTACTTGGCATGGCTTGGAGGAATAACCTACTAATCTAGTAGGTCATATGATACAGAGCCCACTATTAAAAGCAGCCTAACTTTTAGTAATCAGCCATCTCTCCTCTGTTTTGTTCATGGACAAAATAGGACAGCTTCCAATTCTGGAAGGGGAAATTTTTGATTCTGTGAAGCCAGGACTTTCTGCTTTTGTAGATCAACCTAAGCAGGTGAGTTTTTGACAATTAGATGTTTAGATTCTTAATGCTTTGATAACTTCACCACACCACTGCTTTAAATATCTCATGCTGTTCACTACTCATACTGAGGCCGTGTGCAAGATCAGTTTTCTGTCCTCAGCCATACTGGATAACAGAAATTGTACTCCCCAAGCTCTCTAGGGCTTGGGCAGAAGGGGGCTAGCATAGATGATAGACATGCAGGAATGACAACATCTTTTAAGAGATTGTTCCCTTTGTATTTAAGTTGATTTTGAGTTGAGGCTGTCAACTACATTGATTAATGTAAATACAGAAGTTAGACATGGAGTTCTATATAGAGTGTGAGGTATAAACATGGCAGCTGAGACAATGTAGACCCAATGAACTTCATTTCAAAGTACCCTGATATAGGACAGACCATGCATGCCTATACTCTAGAATTTGGGCAAGAACTCATGAAAACAAAAATCTTTTGTATTAGAGGATGAATGGAGAGTTTGGCATGACCGTATTTCACATTTGAGCAGCCATATGTATTATACCCAGTTGTTAGAGGCCACACTGCAGTAGAATAAGACAGGATATTGAACTTTGGTAGCAAATACGAAGGTATTATTCCATGTTACAAGCATAATCATTAACCAAAGGAAAACCTTATAATAAAAATGGCCTGGGGCATAAAATGTCATGGGGCACTTGGCTGGCTCAGTCAGTAGAACGTGCAACTCTTGATCTCAGGGTTATGGGTTTGAGCCTCATGTTGAGTGTAAAGATTACTTAAAAATATAATCTAAGAAAAAAGCGGCTTGAACTTGAACTGAGAAGATGTTTATTTTCTCAGCTCATGGTTATGAAATGATAAATGCCTCAGAAATTTAGGAGCTGTTGAAAGCAACTACATTATCAGAAACTGATTTGACATTTAGAGAAGATTGTGTTGTGGTTGCCAATTATAATGATTTAGAGGCAGTGTGTTGTCAGATGTTCACTCATGGAAACAGTGGACTTAAAATAATGATTTTTAAATTTCATAAATTGAGTATCTCGTGTACTGTGCATGTAGGTGCTAGTGATGTAAATATAAACCTATCATATTCTGTCCTTACAGAGATCATAAAAACTGTAGCATAATAGCTACACCAACATTTGTGTGGCATGTACACACAGTCTGCCTTATCTAATGCACTCAGCAGTTTTGTAGTGGTATGAGGCCTATCTCCTTCATATATATGAGAAGGAAACCAAATCCCTATATTAAGCCATGGGGCTAGCAAGCAAGTGTTCTAACTCCAAATCTGCAGTTTTTTTCACTAGACTCAACTTCCTGGCCTAAAGCTAATGTATGGAACACAAAATAACAATCGAATAAAATGACCATGGTATAACAAAATCATTTTTGTTATTACCCAACTATAATTAAATGGATTCTCCTTCAAAGAAGCCTACTTCTCTAGGTTTCTCCTACAGAGCAGAGAGTGCCAGGAGCCCTCTGCTGCCTCACTCTTAGTGTCCCCCAGAGCATGTTGAGGGAAGAGACATGCTTCCCTCTGTGGGAACTGTTCACTGGATGGACTGTTTACTGGATGAGTAGGTCATCTCTTTTGAAGGGTGCTGAGACTGTTCAAGGACTCTTAGAAGTGGCCAAAGACTCAATCCCGCAAAGTCACTGGAAAAGAACCCCGGTGGTCCTGAAGGCAACAGCAGGACTGCGCTTACTGCCAGAACAGAAAGCCCAGGCTCTGCTCTTTGAGGTAATGTTTGAAGTCCTTTGCATCTTGAATAATTCCTTTTCCCCTATGTGAATATTTTCTCTAAGGGTTTTTAGCTCTCTGGAGTGTGACTGCTACCTTTAGTATTCCACCATTGCTATAGCATTGGGGTAACTGGGCTCTTATTCTAGCTACTTATTTATATTTGTAAATGTTACTCTTGAATTTATACAGCTTTTCCTTTTTTTTTCTTTATTTTTATTTTTATTTTTATTTTTATTTATGATAGTCACAGAGACAGAGAGGCAGAGACACAGGCAGAGGGAGAAGCAGGCTCCATGCATCGGGAGCCCGACGTGGGATTCGATCCCGGGTCTCCAGGATTGCGCCCTGGGCCAAAGGCAGGCGCCAAACCGCTGCGCCACCCAGGGATCCCCTATACAGCTTTTCCTAAGAAGTTTAAAGTACTTTCTGTTCGTGGTACTCCTAATTCCCTTGTTAAAGCAGAATCATAGAAATGATGTTTAGCCCACTTTATTGAGGTATAACTTAAAATATGTACCTTTAAAGTGTGCAGCTAAATGAATTTCAACAAATATAGAAGTTTCCCTGTACCCTTTTGCAGTCCGTTTACCCCTTCCCTGAAGTCAGGCCACCACTGATCTGCTTTCTGCCATTATAGATTAGTTTTGCTTATTCTTCTTTTTTTTTTTTTAGTTTTGCTTATTCTTATATTTTATATAAATGTGTAATTATACAGTTTATGTTCTTTTTTTTTTTTTACATCTCTGACTTTTTCTCTCAGCTAAAGTTTTTTTTTTTAATTAAATTTTTAATTTTAGGGGTGCCTGGGTAGCTCAGTCAGTTTATGTATCTGCCTTTGGCTCAGGTCATTGAGATTGAGCCCCATATCAGGTTCCTTGCTAAGCAGAGAGCTTATTTCTCTCCTCACTCTGTTTGCTGCTCCCCCTGCTTGTGTTCTCTCTCTCTCTCTGTCAAAGAAAAAAAAAACTTTTTTTAATAATTTTTTAATTTTAATTCCAGTATAGTTAGCATACAGTGTTAACCAGTTTCAGGTGTACAATATAGCAATCCAGCAATTCTGTACATTGCTCAGTGCTCATCATGATAAGTGTACTCTTAATCCCCATTACCTATTTCACCCATGTCCCCTCACCTTCCTTCTGGTAACCATCAGTTCTCTATAGTTAAGAGTCTTGTTTTTTATTTGTCTCTTTGTTTATTTGTTTGTTTTATTTTTTAAATTCTGCATATGAGTGAGACATGGTACTTGTCTCTTTCTGACTTACTATGCTTAGCATTATATTCTCTAACTTCATCCATGTTGCAAATGCAAGATTTCATTCTTTATGGCTGAGTAACATTCCATTGTTTATATACACCATATCTTCTTTATCCATTCATCTGTCAAAGGACACGGGCTACTTCCGTAGTTTGACCACTGTAGACAGTGCTGCAATAAACATAGGTGTGTATGTGTAAACATAGGTATGCATCCTTTTGAATCAGTGTTTTTTGTATTTTTTTTCGGTCAGTACCCTATAGGGCAATTACTGGATTGTAGAGAATTTCTATTTTTAACTTTTTGAGGAACCCCCATACCATTTTCCACAGTGGCTGTACCATTTTGCATTCTGCATGAAGGTTCCTTTTTTTTTTTTTTTAACATCCTCACCAACACTTGTTTCTTGTGTTTTTGATTTTAGCCATTCTGTCAGGTATGAGGTGATATCTCATTGTAATTTTGATTTGCATTTTCCTGATGATGAGTGATACTGAGCATCTTTTCATGCATCTATTGGCCATTTTTATGTCCATTTCAACTTCTTAGATAAAAAATTTAGAGAGTTTTTTTAAAACTCAATATTTTTAACATTACTGAACATTTATTTTGTAAAAATAACATGTAAACTAATAAGATTTAAATTACATATTGTGAAAAATGTTTATAGGTGGGATCCCATTTTAACAAAAATCACGTCAGCCTGGGTGGCTCAGTTGGTTGAAAGTCCAACTCTTAGTTTTGGCTCAGGTCATGATCTCTGGGTCATGGAATTGAGCCCCAAGTAGGGCTCTGTGCTTGGCTGGGAGTCTGCTTGAGTATTTTTTCCTCTCCTTTTCCCTCCCCCTCTGCCCCTTCCCATGTGTGTGTGTGCTCTCTCTCTCAAATAAATAAATAAATTTTTAAAAATCACAGCAAAAAACTATTCTGTGTTATAGGTGTGCTAATTCCAAGCTCAAAATCCATTTTCCTTTGACTATCAGCGCAGAGGGCTTAAGTCCTTGTCCAAGGACAAACTGCCTAGAGTGTCTGCATGAGAATCTGAATTTGGACTCCTTATTCATTTTTTCTTTTATTGAGCGTATGAGCTTACCATGTACTGGGCATTGGTGGAGTTCCCAGGGATATTCTGTAGGGAGCAAAAAATGGCAATTAGTCCATGTCCTGGCATAGCTTGCATTCTAGTTGCAAGCAGACAGAAACTAAACAACTCATTACGAAGTATGTCAGGTACTGTAGATAATACAGAGAAAGAAAAGAAGGGGAAGTCAGCTAGGGAATGCTGGTGGTGGTGTAGAAGGATATGACTTTAAATAGAATGGTCAGGAAAGACCTCATTGGTAAGATGCATTTGATCAGAGACTTGAGAGGAATAAAGAAGCAAGCTATACAAGACATTTGTAGGAAGACTATTTCAGGCTAAAGAAATAACAAGTGCAAAGGCCTAAAGCAGGAAATGTGCTTGGTATGTTCAAGAACAGCATCCCAGGAGGTCAGAGTGGCTGGAGGGGAGTGAGTGATGGAAGGGAAATAGGAGATGAGGTCAGAGAGATGTGTGCGGTTTATCATGATGGCCCTTTAAGGCACATGTAAGGACTTTGGCTTTTTCTCTAAGAAGGAAGTCACTGGAGGGTCTTGAGCTAAGAGGCAGGATCTGATATCTATTTTAAAAGCACCACTCTAGGGATCCCTGGGTGGTGCAACGGTTTAGCGCCTACCTTTGGCCCAGGGCACAATCCTGGAGACCCGGGATCAAATCCCACGTTGGGCTCCCGGTGCATGGAGCCTGCTTCTCCCTCTGCCTATGTCTCTGCCTCTCTCTCTCTCTCTCTCTCTCTCTCTCTCTGTGTGTGACTATCATTAAAAAAAAAAAAAAAAAACTTTAAAAAAATAAAATAAAAAATAAAAGCACCACTCTAGAGGTGTCTGGATGGCTCAGTTGGTTAGGTGTCCAACTCTTTTTTTTTTAAGATTTTATTTTTATTTATTTATTCATGAGAGACAGAGAGAGAGAGGCAGAGACACAGGCAGAGGGAGAAGCAGGCTCCATGCAGGGAGCCTGACGTAGGACTTGACCCCGGGTCTCCAGGATCACACCCTGGGCTGAAGGTGGCACTAAACCGCTGAGCCACCCGGGCTGCCCAGGTGTCCAACTCTTGATCTCAGTTCAGGTCTTGATCTCAGGGTCATGAGTTCAAACCCTGAATTGGGCTCCATTCTGGGTGTGGAGCCTACTTAATTAATAAAAAAGTGTGGGGGACAGGGTGCCTGGATGGCTTAGTGGACCGGACATCCGACCTCATGGCTCAGGTCATAATCTCAAGATCATGGGATTTGAGCCAGCTTTGGGTTCTGTGCTCACTGGGGAGTCAGCTTGAGATTCTCTCTCTCTGCCCATCCTGCCCATGGGCACATTCTCTCTCTAAAATAAATAACAGTCAATCAAAGAAAAAGAGAGAGAGAGAGAGAAAGAAAGAAGAAAGAAAAGAAAAGGAAAGAAGAAAGAAAAGAAAAGAAAAGAAAGAAAAAGAAAGAAAGAAAGAAAGAAAGAAAGAAAGAAAGAAAGAAAGAAAGAGAAAAGCAAGCACTCTGGGTGCTGTATTAAGAATAAACTGTGAGCAGGGGAGAAGAGTGGAGAGAGAAATAGCAGAAACTGTCTGTGTTTATTCCTGTTTGCTTACCTATCTTCTGTTTAAAAGTTTATAGGGACGCCTGGGTGGCTCAGCAATTGAGCGCCTGCCTTTGGCCCAGGGTGTGATCCTGGAGTCCCAGGATCAAGTCCCACATCGGGCTCCCTACATGGAGTCTGCTTCTCTCTCTGCCTATGTCTCTGTCTCTCTTTCTCTCCGTGTGTCTCATGAATAAATAAATAAAATCTTAAAAAAAACCAGTTTATTTATAGATCACTTAACTGGCTTTTCCCGGATGAAACAGGGTCCAGAGGTCATCACATGAAGCATTTCATCCTATTAGGAATGAGAACAGCCAGCAGACCAGAGTTCCTTCTATTGCTGTTTGGAAAGTGTCCCCCCGCCTCATGATAATCATATAAAAAAATAAGACATAACACCCATGTCACTGACCCATATTTATGGAGAGTCATTAATGTGTGAGATGTTCATTCCTTTCTCCTAAAATAGTATAAATAAATCTAGATCTGGGGTCTCTGTGAACTCTTGAGGCCTCAGCCATGTGCCAGAATCTAACAAGGGCTAACAGCAGAGTAGCCCAGCCTATGGACATGAGCCCCCTTTACCAGCAAGGACAAAGACCTGCAGAATTTGATGGGAGAGCAAAAGAAATATTTCTGTAGCCTCAGGAGCTGCCCAGGCTTAACTCTTCTCTATCATCCCTTTATCTTATCATCTAAGAAATGAAGTGGGGGGATCCCTGGGTGGCGCAGCGGTTTGGCGCCTGCCTTTGGCCCAGGGCGCGATCCTGGAGACCTGGGATCGAATCCCACGTTGGGCTCCCGGTGCATGGAGCCTGCTTCTCCCTCTGCCTATGTCTCTGCCCCTCTCTCTCATCTCTTCTCTCTCTCTCTCTCTCTCTCTCTCTGACTATTATAAATAAATAAAAATTTAAAAAATATATAAAAAAAAAAGAAATGAAGTGGGAAAGGGTCCTCCTAGCTTCCAGTGTACCCAGGCAGGATTATAAGGTGTTTAAAAAAAAATTACAGGATCCTGATTTGAGCTGGAAGGGGTCAAATATATGCCCTTTCCTAGATGCAGTTCACCTGTAAATTTCTGTAGTTTGTTTGAGATTGATTTTTTTTTTTGAGATTGATTTTAAGTCAGAGGAATCCCTGTGTTTTTTGTTTTTACAAGAAACCAGTAATTACTTATATAGTTCCTTCTCTAGTTTTTTAGGGCAAAGAAATGTTCTGCTAAAATTTTATCTAGGGAAATGAAGAGTATAGTTTTCTAATAAGCCTTAATAGGATATAGCCAAAATATGGAAATTTTTATTGCCTTAGAGAATCCAGATTTTTTTCCCCTTTTTCTATAGGTAAGAGAAATCTTTAAGAAGTCACCTTTCCTGGTACCAAATGACAGTGTTAGCATCATGGACGGATCCTATGAAGGTAGGAGAAGTGTTGATACATGTTCTGGGGGGAGAGGACAAAGGTTAGCAAAAGATTTGATTAAAGGAACTAGGAACAGGGATGGGGGTGCTAAAGTAAAAAGAACTAAACAAGGAGAAACAAATAAGCGAGGAGGAATGGAATAAGAGAAAACGGAATGACAGGGAGAAGGAAAATGTGTATTTTAGACACAGAATTTAGAGAAAACAAAAATAGGGTCAAGGAAGATCAGGGGAAAATGCTCTGAGGTGTAATCCATTTTTCTCTCTCTTTCAGGCATATTAGCTTGGGTTACTGTGAATTTCCTGACAGGTAATACATTCTCAAGTTTATTCTAAGACATTAACTGGGTTTCATGCAGGATCAAAGAGTAAAAATTTCTTTTTGCTTGTATTGCTTTTATTTTTATTTTTTTTTAAAATTTTTTTTTAATTTTTATTTATTTATGATAGTCACAGAGAGAGAGAGGCAGAGACACAGGCAGAGGGAGAAGCAGGCTCCATGCACCGGGAGCCCGACGTGGGATTCAATCCCGGGTCTCCAGGATCGTGCCCTGGGCCAAAGGCAGGCGCCAAACCGCTGCGCCACCCAGGGATCCCCTTGTATTGCTTTTAAAGAAAAGAAAGAAAGAAAGGAAAAGCTAGGAAGTTAACATTTATAACTGTGTTCAGGGCCTCAGCTACAGTAAGAGTCCTTATAGGTTAGCATTCACTTGCAGTATTTGGGGCCAGGAGTCAGTGGAATATTTATGGAACACCTGCAAAGTACAACCAAGAGCAAGAGAGAGATTGCAGACAGAGGAGTGTTGGGCTGTCCTGGAAGCAGAAGATATTCAGAGCTGGCTCTCATTCACAGGTCAGCTGCATGGCCACAGCCAGGAGACTGTGGGGACCCTCGACCTGGGGGGAGCCTCCACCCAAATCACGTTCCTACCCCAGTTTGAGGTGAGTCATTTACATGAAGGCCTGGTTAGCAACCCACTTTGCAGGCATATCGTGGTGCCAAGAAGGTAGTGCTGCATTTTCAGACAGCAGCTCCACCACAAATAGGTTGAGTGGAGTCAATGACTGAATAAACTTCCTTTGCCCCCTTACTGTTCAGAGTCCCTTTGATTCCTCTAGCCTTGGGAGATTAGCTGCTTAGTCTGTCTCTTTCATCGCTGATTTTTTGGGGGAGGAACGGGGATGGTGGTAGTAAGACCTTCAAACTATTGCAGATCCTAAATAGTCTTTTTGCTTTTTCTGATTTGCAGAAAACCCTGGAACAAACCCCTAGGGGCTACCTCACTTCATTTGAGATGTTTAACAGCACTTATAAGCTCTATACACATAGGTGAGGAGAGGGGACAGGGAGGAATATTTCATGTTGTATGATTCTCCTAACTTTTCAAAGCATTTTCACATCTGTTATTGTATCTGACAAGCCTCACAAAGTCCCTGCCAACCCGCAAAGGTCTGGTAACTGAAACCAGAGCCACTTACCAAAGCCCAAGGACTCAAGAGGTTTCTCCATTCTTGGCCTCAAAAGGATATAACTTAAAGAATCAGAAGTTTTCTCTAAAGAGGGGCGCCTGGGTGGCTCAGTTGGTTAGGCATTTGCCTTTGGGTGAGGTCATGATCCCAGAGTCTTGGGATGGAGCCCCAATTGGGCTTCTTGCTCAATGGGGAGTCTGCTTCTCCCTCTCCCTTGTCCCTCACCCCACTCATGCGCTTGCTTTCTCTCTCCTCTCATTCTCTCTCTCTCTCTCTCTACCCCCACCCCAAATAAATAAATAAACTTTAAAAGAAGTTTTCTCTAGAGAGAGGACACTTGGAGAATCTTCAACCAAAGCTCTGTGCCAACTCCTTTGAGGTTGCTTTCAGATGTTCAAAATCCAACCTGGGATTTGATCACAGTGGGGCTAGGAGCTAAGATAATGAGAGCTTTTCTGGGGATGATTCCCAGGGTGGGACCCTAGGAAGTATCACTGTCTCTGGCCTTTAAATCATAGGCATGGAAAGTTCTGGATGGCCTTGATCTGAGCTGTGTAGAAATGACTACTTGTCCACACAAGATGAGAAGGTCATAGAGACCAAGGTTTTCCTCCCTTCAGAGGGAGACAGAGAAACCATGCTACTTTTGAAAGAGATAGCTTTAGGCTGGAGAACTTCAGGACCAGCATGAAATTAAGTCAATTCTGTATTTTACAGTTACTTGGGATTTGGATTGAAAGCTGCAAGACTAGCAACCCTGGGAGCCCTGGAAACAGAAGGTTCGTCTAGGTACCTGTGCTGGTTGGGGTATGGTGAGAGTGACACCAATACTCAGCTTACTTTTCCCCTTCCTTGACAGTGATTCTGTGAAGAAAAGGGTTGTGCTGATTTAGGAAGGATGTGTTATGTAATGAACATGATAATAGCAGATTCTTTTTCTACTTTATGTTATGTTCCGTTGTTTTGGTATACACTATTAGCCATTTCTAGAATGAAGTCTATATATAGTCACACAGTCTGTGACAAGGAGGCTGCAGTGTGCGGAAATTCAAAGCTCAAAGAGTGAATTTGGCAGAAGCTTGCTCAAGCCCTTAGTTTTACATGGGAGGTTCAGGAAGCAACATCAGTACACCTGCAAGGTGAAATTACTGAGCAACTTTATTCATATATTCAAAGATAAGTAGAGCAGTTAGGAACTCAGCTTTTGGGGTCAAGCAGAACTGGGTTCAGTCCCTCTTTGTGATTTGGGGCAAGTTAGCAAGCTTTCTGTGCCCCTTTGCATTTAATGTAGTTTTTTATGGTTACTGGCTCAGAGTAAACTATTAGTGTGATGATGATTGTATAGCATTTCAGAGTTTACAAAACATCTTCAAATATGATTTCATTGAAGCCTCACAACAACCAATGAGAAAAGTAGAACGGAATTTTTTCCCCTTTTTTAGGAAGGAGGGAACTTATACCATTGTAGGTTTTAGATTTCTTTGAAATGTGATGAAAGCCATGGACCCCTCTGCCAAATGCACATATGCACAAAAATTTGTGTGTAGTTTCAGAGGGTTCACCAATCCCGCAGTGCCCATCTGTGAACCCTGAATTAAAAATTCCTGTCAGGGGATCCCTGGGTGGCTCAGTGGCTGAGCGCCTGCCTTCGGCCCAGGGCCTGACCCTGGAGTCCTGGGATCGAGTCCCACGTCGGGCTCCCTGCATGGAGCTTGCTTCTCCCTCTGCCTGTGTCTCTTCTTCTCTCTCTCTGTATCTCACATGAATAAATAAAATCTTTAAAAAATAATAATAAATAAAAATAAAAATTCCTGTCATAGGGAATTTGAGCGGTTTGGCGCCGCCTTCAGCCCAGGGCGTGATCATGGAGACTCAGGATCGAATCCCATGTCGGGTTCCCTGCATGGAGCCTGCTTCTCCCTCTGCCTATGTCTCTGCCTGTGTCTCTCATGAATAAATAAATAAAATCTTAAAAAAAAAACAAACAATTCCTGTCATAGGATGCAGTCACGGAACTACCTACTTTTTGGTAATTCCTTTCAACTTTACTAGCTTCTTGCTTGCATGTGTGCATGTGTCTCTCACTCTTGTGCACGTGCGCATGTGCTTGCGCGCTCTCATTCTCTCTCCCTCTCTCTCATCCTTGCCTCTTACTTTGTGGTCTGACTTCTTTCAGGGATTGATGGACACACTTTTCGAAGTGCCTGTCTACCGAGATGGTTGGAAGCAGAGTGGATCTTTGGGGGTGTGAAATACCAGTATGGTGGCAACAAAGAAGGCAAGTGATGTTTTTTTCACTGATTGAAATTACCTTTACAGTTGAAATCTGGAAAAGTTCCATGGGAAGTGTTTTCCAGAACTCAAGAGAAGCTTTTTTCTGGGACTCATTCCAAATAGGTCTTGGTATGCTGTAAAGGAATAATGTGAAATGACAGTGAACAAGGCAACTGTCCCTCTGTCCTGCTCTTTCCCTGCCCAAGTGCTGTGGGGATCCATTAGAAACCTGTTCTTAACCTGCGTCTAATGCTTTAAGGGTCTCTGCCCTTAGCAAGGAGAAACTCTATCTAGAAACTAGATTCAGTTAATGTTTAGCTTTTTAAATTATAATAATACAACTAAGACAATAGAAGAATTCATCTTAGATATTATAAAAAGCAAAGACCATAAAATCAAGGAAAAAACTTAATTTTTCCAGGGAAGGAAACAGATATGAGACTTCTGATTGCTTCACATAAATACCATTGACATAGGCTAGGCAGCAGATTGAGGTTGAATATGGCTATTTTTGGTGAACACAGGGAGGGAAGCTGCCTCTATGGAATTTTGCTCATCTTTGTAAGCTCTTTGTCCTGAACCTCAGCTGCTTCTTTCCTTGATCCTCCTGCTGTTTCTTTGTTGGCTCTAGCAGCTTGCTTCAGAGAGCTCTCATTTTTCTCACCTTTGCCCTGGCAGGGAAGATGGGCTTTGAGCCCTGCTATGCTGAAGTGCTAAGGGTGGTCCAAGGAAAACTTCACCAGCCGGAGGAGGTCCAGAGAAGCTCTTTCTATGCTTTCTCTTACTATTATGATCGTGCTGTTGACACAGGCATGATTGGTAAGTTTACTGCAGGTATCAGCTAGGAAGGAAACTAGGAGGGAAGCTGTCCTGGGAAGGGAAAGGAGAAAAGGAGTATTTGAAATGCTTTGTCTTACGTAATCACACTACTCTTCCCCAGTGCTGACAATTGAATGACATTAGTTGCAGCAGAGGAAGAATGAATAGGATTAACTATCCTTTGGAGCTAGAAAATGGCCTAAACAGATACACATAAAGTCTTTTTTTTTAACATTTTTATCGAGATATAATTGATAGAAAGTAAAATGAATATTTGAAGTGTACAATTCACTAAACTTTGACATATGTGTATACCCATCAAGCTATCACCAAAGTCAAAATAATGTCTCTTGCCCCTCCTACTTTATAATTTTTATTTCCTTATCACAATAGTAATGCTTTTTGTTAGTTCTGTGAATATATGTACGTGGTCTATCATGGCCTGAGATATGAATTAATTTCCTATTTCCTATTTTCAATTTTTTTAACAGGTCAATTTTTTTATTGTGGTTAAATAGACAGAATAATTATAAATAAAATAGACTACACAGATTATATATATATATATATTTTTTTTTTTAATTTATGATAGTCACAGAGAGAGAGAGAGAGAGAGAGAGAGGCAGAGACACAGGCAGAGGGAGAAGCAGGCTCCATGCACCGGGAGCCTGACGTGGGATTCAATCCCGGGTCTCCAGGATCGCGCCCTGGGCCAAAGGCAGGCGCCAAACCGCTGCACCACCCAGGGATCCCCTACACAGATTATATTGTATGGATATGTCATGTATATTTATCCCATTCTGTAATGTTAGAAATTTTATTTCCAATTTTTCATTATTATAAATACTACTAGGATACATTTCCTTGTTTCCTTGAAAGCTTTTTGACATTAACTACTATTTCATTTTAGATTATGAAACAGGGGGTGTTTTAAAAGTTGAAGATTTTAAAAGAAAAGCAAGGGAAGGTAAGTGCCAATGGAAGCCTTTGAAGGGAAGTCCATGAAGCTGTGCCTGCCAACTCTAGTGACCTTAAAGTGACCCAGAGCACCACTGTCAGCAGAAAGCCTCTCAGAAGGCTGGTTTCCTAGTTTGACTAAGAATTAAAAGCATTAAGTGGCATAGAAATCCATGGGAATACAAGAGGCTTTGGGCATTATGGTGAAAATCTTTTCTTCTTTCTACATTTCTTCCTTCCTTTTTTTTTCTATCATTGAAATATAATTGACATACAATGTTGTCTAAATTTCAGGTGTACAACATATAGATTGGAAAATTCTATACATTACCTGTGCTCACCATGATAAATATAGTCACTCTCTGTCTCCATGAAACATTATTACAATATTATTGACTATATTTCCTATGGTATACTTTTTATCTCTGTGACTTCCTTATTTTACAGCTGGAAGTTTGTACCTCTTAATCTCCTTCACCTATTTTTCCCATCCCCCTACCCATCTCCCTTCTGGCGACCACCAGTTGTTCTATTTAAGAGTCTGTGTTTCTCTTTGTTCATTTGTTTGGATTCCACTACCATATAAGTGAAATCATATGGTAGTTGTCTTCCTATGTCTGACTTAACTTCACTTAGCATAATACCCTCCAGGTCCATCCTCATCATAATAAGTGACAAGATATTCTTTTTTTTTATGGCTGGGTAATATTTCACTGTGTGTATATGTGTGTGTGTGTGTTTGTACACACATAAAGAAGATATGTATGGAGATATATATATATCAAGCCTCATATCAAGCTCCTTGCTCAGCAGGGAGCCTGCTTCTCCCTCTCCCTCTGCCCCCCATTCATGCTCTCTCCTTGTCTCAAAATCTTTTTTAAAAATGTTGCAATAAATATAGGGGTGCTTAAATCTTTTTTTTTTTAAAGATTTTATTTATCCATGAGAGACACAGAGAGAGAGGCAGACATAGGCAGAGGGAGAAGCAGGCTCCCTCCAGGGAGCCTGATGTGGGACTCAATCCCTGGGATCATGCCCTGAGCCAAAGGTAGACACTCAACCACTGAGCCACCCATGCGTCCCTGCTTATATCTTTTTGAACTGGTATTTTCTTTTTTTGGGGGGGCTGTAAATAGGCAGTAGTAGAATTACCAGATCATATAGTATTTCTAAATTTTTGAGGAACCTTCATAATTTTATCCACAGTGACTGTGGAACAATTTGCATGAGGTCTCCCTTTCTCCACATCCTCACCGACACCTGTTATTTATTTTCTTTTTGATACTAGACATTCTGATTGGTGTGAGGTGATATCTCACTTTGGTTTTGGTTTGCATTCCCCTAGTGATGAGTGATGTTGAGCATCTTTTCATGTGTCTGTTGGCCACTGTATATTTTCCTTGGAAAAATGTCTGTTCAGGTCCTTTGCCCATTTTTTTTTCAAATACTTCTATAAAGATTTATTTCCTAAAGTGAATAAAATAAGCAAATTATACTTTTTTGTACAATTCACATATTGTGTGAAATATTAAAACATTTTTTTTTTTAGAGAAAAGGAGGGAGGGGCAGAGGAAGAGGGAGAGAGAATCTTTTTTATTTTTATTTTTTTAAGATTTTATTTATTCATGAGAGAGGCAGAGACACAGGCAGAGGGAGAAGCAGGCTCCATGCAGGGAGCTCAACGTGGGACTCGATCCTGGGTCTCTGGGATCATGCCCTGGGATGAAGGCGGCTGAGTCACCCAGGCTGCCTGGAAGAGAGAATCTTAACCAGGCTTCATGCCCAGTGCAGAGCCTGACACAGGGCCCAATCTCCCAACCCTGAGATCATGACCTGAACTAAAATCAAGAGTCAGTCATGCTTAACCACATGAGCTACCCAGGTGCCCCTAAAATATAAATTTTAAACATTTGAAAGTTATATGAAAGTATGAATAAATTAGGTTATTCTTTAGACAAGTTTCAGGATTGAGAATGCATTAAAAATGATGGTAGAGAGGGATCCCTGGGTGGCGCAGCGGTTTGGCGCCTGCCTTTGGCCCAGGGCGTGATCCTGGAGACCCGGGATCGAATCCCACGTCGGGCTCCCGGTGCATGGAGCCTGCTTCTCCCTCTGCCTATGTCTCTGCCTCTCTCTCTCTCTCTCTCTGTGACTATCATAAATAAGTAAAAATTTTAAAAAAATGATGGTAGAGGTTGAAGGTTGACAAAAATAAAACATGTATATGGGAAAAGGTGTTATCTATGAAGTTAATGGGTGGAATAATAAAGTTGGAGACATTATTTGCAGCATATAAAATCGATAGAGGTTAATATCACTAGCATATAAAATAGTCCTGGAGGGCAGCCTGGGTGGCTCAGCGGTTTAGCGCCACCTTTAGGCAGGTTTAGTGCCTGTCTCTCATGGATAAATAAATAAAATCTTTAAAAAAAAAAAAATAGTCCTGGAAATGATTAACATTTTATATATAAAACTTAATGTCTAAGTATTAAGTCATCACTAAAGAAAAATAAGTTGTATCAGTTTTCTTTTGCTTTTATTACCACTAATAAGTTCCTATAAATGTAGTGCCTTTGCCCATTGTTTTAATAAATTTGTTTCTTTGGTGTTGAGTTGTCTAAGTTCTTTTTTTTTTTAATTTTATGTATTTATTCATGAGAGAGGGAGAGGCAGAGACATAGGCAAAGGGAGAAGTAGGCTTCATGCAGGGAGCCTGATGTGGAACTTGATCATGAGACCACAGGATCTTGCCCTGAGCCAAAGGCAGACGCTCAACTCAGTCGCTCAGACATCCCGAGTTGTCTAAGTTCTTTATATTTTTGGATATTGAGCCTTAATCAGACATACCATTTGCAAACATCTCCCATTCAGGAAGTTGCCCTTTTGTTGTATTAATGATTTCCTTTCCTGTGCAAAAGCTCTCTTTTTACATTTTTTTAATTTTATTTTATTTATTTATTTATTTATTTATTTATTTATTTATTTATTTATTTATTTATTTTTAAAGATTTATTTATTTATGAGAGACACAAAGAGAGAGAGAGAGAGAGGCAGAGACACAGGCAGAGGGAGAAGCAGGCTCCATGCAGGGAGCCTGACATGGGACTCGATCCCAGGTCTCCAGGATCACACCCTGGGCTAAAGATGGTGCTAAACTGCTGAGCCACCAGGGCTTCCCTTTTTTTTTCTTTTTTTTTTTAAATAAAGATTTTATTTATCTACTTGAAAGAGAGCACAAGAGAGGGAGTAGCAGAGGGAGAGGTGAGCAGGGAGCCCAACGCACGGCTCAAGCCAAGGAGTGTGGGATCATGACCCAAGCCGAAAGCAGACACCCAACTGACTAAGCCACCCAGGCACCCCTGTGCAAAAGCTTTATAATTTGATGTAGTCCCAATAGTTTTTTTGTTTTTGTTTTCCTTGCTTGGGGAGATATATCCAGAAATATGTTGCTAAAGCTGATGTCCAAGAGATTACTGCCTGTTTTCTTTTAGGAGTTTTATAGTGTCAGGTCTCATATTTAAATATTTAATCTTTTTTGAGTTTATTTTTATGTGTGATATTCGTCCTTTTTTTTTAATTGAAATAGTGTTATTAGTATTAATGAAACACTGAGCACCAAAATATATGGGAAATAGCCACAGAGGCTTGCTTGAGAGAGTCCATGGAAATACAAATAATCGTATCCAAGCAGCCTCAGTGGCGCAGTGGTTTAGCTCTGCCGGCAGCCAGGGGTGTGATTCTGGAGACGTGGGATCGAGTCCCACGTCGGGCTCCCAGCGTGGAGCCTGCTTCTCCCTCTACCTGTGTCTCTGCCTCTCTCTCTCTGTGTCTCAATAAATAAATAAAATATTTGAAAAAAAAATAATCCTATCCATTGGCCCCACAGTTGGGCTAACTGGTATTTCCCTGTCTTCTAGACCTCAGCCTTAATATGTAAGGGACTTAGTTGAATTAGGCCCCAAAAATAGATTATGAAAATTTAGCAAATAAACTAGAATCCCAAGTACATTTGAGCAGGTAAGATGGGACATCAGAAATATGCACGAGGCTGTCAGTGCACACAGTTCTAGTCTTCAAGACTCTCAGGCATTGACCGCATGGAGAATTCTATTTGCTTATCCTAAGTCTGCATTTAGAGAAAACTGTACCCCTGCCAGGGGCTGCAAACTTGAATTCCACTCTTCACTCTCCCTTTCAGTGTGTGATAACTTGGAAAACTTCACCTCAGGCAGTCCTTTCCTGTGCATGGATCTCAGTTACATCACAGCCCTGTTGAAGGATGGCTTTGGCTTTGCAGACAGTACTGTCTTACAGGTAAGAGAGGACTCCACAGAATTGCAAAACAGTCTATTTATCTGGGAATTAGGAAAAGGACTTGTGTGTGTAGTAATCAGAGTGGCTGCAGGTGGAATTATGAGGGTTTTTTTTATCAGGACTATGGATAAGGAGTGGTACAAGACACCATGAATGTGGGAAATTAGCTTGATGCAATGGTAGTAGCTTCTAAGTGTATTCTCAGGCAAGCTTTCCCAGAGGTCACAGAGCAGAAAGGCTTGCATCCTAAATTAAGGTGCCAAGTCACATGGTTTATTAAAGCAAGTTCAAAACTCAAGGCAAGAAGCAAAGGGAAAGAAATGAGATAGGGTGCAGGTAGGTTGGAAGTGCCATACTTCTTAAATCCTGGGTTCATATATCCTGCCTCTCTCTGTGCTACTGATAGTGTGGTTATAAGGACTGGAGCTGATCAAGGGAGCACAGGGATAGAAGGTACCTGGGACCATCACCCAAATTTGCTCAATTTGGGGAGGCATAGGGGCAAGTACACTGGCCTTTAGCATCCATTCACTCATTAGCCCATTAGATGGCTTTATTTGGCAGAGAACAAAAGGATGTCACCAGTGAGTGGCTCATTCAAGTTCTCATTAGTATTGAATGCCTTGTGTATATGCAGTATGTCTTATATACTTCCTTCAACATCCTTCACATGTGCCTCATGTATTTAATGTCTCTTCAATCTTGGGTCGCTCTTTGTCCTCCTATTCTGTCCATCTGTTCAGCACATGCAGGCTCCACTTTATCTGTAGTAACTTACTTTAAACACATATGTTTCATCCATCCCATTTATTTTCTTCTGTACCATAATTGAATAATTGTACATTATGGTTACAAAGATGATTAAGATAAAATCTTGTCCTCATGTAGCATATAGTCTATTAGAGGAGATGTGACTAAAATATAAGGATGGCACAGGCAACTTTGAACTTTGGGGTCACATAGGTAGACTCTTCTTTATTTTTGAAGTGCCCTTGCTTGTGCCACTTCTCCCTCCTGTTTCCTCAGTTCCAGATGAGTTTACATTGCCCCATTTCTTGTGTTATACAGATTTCATAAACTCAAACTTTGTACTAAGTTATTTGGATTTAGTGTGTTTTGTCTGACAAGAATATCAGCATTTAAGGTGCTTAACAAAGAATTACTTGCCAATAGAGTCAGTATCACATAGTATCTAAAACATGGCTTCACTGTCCATCAAATCTGGGTTCACATCCTGATTATGCAAGCTTACTAGCTCTGTAACTGTAAATGATTTACGTACCTTCTAACTTTTAGGTTTCTCATTCAAATTTAGGATCCTTAGAGTACCTATTTCATAGGGCTGTTAGAAAATTGAGATAATGTATGTAAAGCACAATGCCTAGCACAGAGTAAGTTATTAATATTGGTATTAGTAGTGTAGGCATTTCACACCAGTTGGGGATAGATTTGTGGATAAGAAAAGTCATCCTAAGTCTAATACATATAAAGTTAACTTCCTCTACTTAAGGATCAACAATAACCAAGTCATTTAAGGACAGTTTTCTGCCATTTCTAGTGCTGGCATCCTTTTAGTCTTTATTATTTCAGTGGTAGCAGAAATAAATTCCCTGTCTCAGAGGTCACTTCACTTCAACATCTATACCCTTGGGCTATTAGCCCCCTCCTGAGGGCAGAGGAGCATTTGGGGTAGGGGAGGCAATTTGATTCAGGTGTCACAGGCTAAATCTCAAGATGACGATTCATGTTCTTCCCAGTTTTTGGCACAGTGACTAGTGTATATTTCATCAGATCAAACAGAAGTATTGAATCATAAGAAATTGGGATCCCTGGGTGGCGCAGCGGTTTAGCGCCTGCCTTTGGCCCAGGGCGCGATCCTGGAGACCTGGGATCGAATCCCACGTCAGACTCCCGGTGTATGGAGCCTGCTTCTCCCTCTGCCTATGTCTCTGCCTCTCTCTCTCTCTCTGTGACTATCATAAATAAATAAAAAAATTAAAAAAAAAAGAATCATAAGAAATTGGTCCTAGAGGGGCACCTTGGTGGCTCAGTGGTTGAGCATCAGCCTTTGGCTCAGGGCATAATCCCAGGGACCTGAGATGGAGTTCTCCATCAGGCTCCTGCAGGGAGCCTACTTCTCCTTCTGCCTATGTCTCTGCCTCTCTCTGTGTGTCTCTCGTAAATAAATAAATAAAATCTTAAAAAAGAAAGAAAAGAAATTAGTCCTAGAAAGATAGACTAAATCCAGTCCACTGCTTTCAAAACATTTTTGTGTGTGGTGTTATCAATGGTGGGCATCATTGTTCAACAAAAGCTTCCACAGAATGCCAGTAAAACTGATCAAAATGGAGCTATCAGGTTGAAGCAGAGGAAGGGGGCTTGGAACTCCTTCAGCATTTGGCCTCCCTTTCTCCTTTGAAGCACTTCCAAGAACTCTTAAAAGTTTTTTTTTTTTTTTTTTTTTTTAAGATTTTCTTTATTTGAGATAGAGCAGGAGCTGGGGTTGGGGAGGAAGGGGCAGAGGGAGAGAGAGAAGCAGGCTCCCTGCTGAGCAGAGATCCCGATGCTAGACTCTATCCCAGGACTCTGGGATCATGACCCGAGCCAAAGGGTGACACTCAACTGACTGAGCTACCCAGGTGCCGTGGAATCCTAAAATTCTAAGGAAAACAGTTTGACAAATACTAATATAATCCTCTTGTTATGTAATGGAGGAAATCAGGTCTAAACATTTGCCCAAAGTCACTGAACTAATTGAAGCACAACCCAGCTAGAATGCCTTAAATGCCTTGATTGGGTTATTAGTGCTTAAGAAGTTTCTGTTGTTTACAAAGTATGAATTGAGAAGTTTAGTGTGTTTTTTCCGACTCCTAAATCTATTCCTAGCTCCTCTTGTATTTAGTTTCAGGATCAGGGAAAGAATTCAGAAGCTTCTCTGTCTAAAAGGTCCTGTCTAGCAAAAGACATGAACAGAAATCTCACAGAGGAAGACATAGACATGGCCAACACGCACATAGAAAATGCTCTGCATCACTTGCCATCAGGGAAATACAAATCAAAACCACAATGAGATACCACCTCACACCAGTGAGAATAGGGAAAATTAACAAGGCAGGAAACCACAAATGTTGGAGAGGATGTGGAGAAGAGGGAACACTCTTACACTGTTGGTGGGAATGTGAACTGGTGCAGCCACTCTGGAAAACTGTGTGGAGGTTTCTCAAAGAGTTAAAAATAGACCTTCCCTACAACCCAGCAATTGTACTGTTGGGGATTTACCCCAAAGATACAGATGCGATGAAACGCCGTGACACCTGTACCCCGATGTTTCTAGCAGCAATGTCCACAATAACCAAACTGTGGAAGGAGCCTTGGTGTCCATCGAAAGATGAATGGATAAAGAAGATGTGGTTTATGTATACAATGGAATATTCCTCAGCCCTTAGAAATGACAAATACCCACCATTTGCTTCAACGTGGATGGAACTGGAGGGTATTATGCTGAGTGAAATGAGTCAATAGGAGAAGGACAAACATTATATGTTCTCATTCATTTGGGGAATATAAATAATAGTGAAAGGGAATATAAGGGAAGGGAGAAGAAATGTGTGGGAAATATCAGAAAGGGAGACAGAACATAAAGACTCCTAACTCTGGGAAACAAACTAGGAGTGGTGGAAGGGGAGGAGGGCGGGGGGTGGGGGTGACTGGGTGGCGGGCACTGAGGGGGGCACTTGACGGGATGAGCACTGGGTGTTATTCTGTATGTTGGCAAATTGAATACCAATAAAAAATAAATTTATTATAAAAAAAAATAAAAGGTCCTGTCTAGAAGGTCTGGATGAGACCACTTTCTGGGCCAGAAGATTCAGAGATCAGATTGGCAAGTGTAGGGGCAATAAGCCAAGGCAGAAGGGAAGGTGTTAGTGGGAAGCCTCCAAAGACTGGCCACTCCAAATTTTACCTTGGTTTGGCCATGTGGATGATCTTTGTAAATACTCTCTGCCTTGTGTCATGTTTGCTAGAGTTGAAAATTGATGAAAATGTGTGCCTTTTTTTTTCCTCCTCAACAGCTCTCAAAGAAAGTGAACAACATAGAGACAGGCTGGGCCTTGGGGGCCACCTTTCACCTTTTGCAGTCTCTGGGCATCTCCCACTGAGGCCAACCCCCCTTCTTCTAAGGACTTCATTTGCCAACAAGCTTTTTAAAAGTAAAAGAAGAAAGGACTCAGAAATGTTTTGACCTAGTCTGAGGATAGCCTGGACTGAAGCCCAATAGCTGAATTCATCAGGTAGAAGGGGCTTTTGGACACAGGTCTTGTCCTTGCATCTAGAAATTTGGGTCAAATTAATTTTATACATCTAATGTGAACTGTTGATCTAACCACTCTGCTTGCACAGCTGGCACCAGAGTCTAAATCTTTGAGATTCTATGTGTGTCACAGAGCTAAAATGAATAGCTTTGAAACTTGGAAAATCCAAGGACTAGTCCCTGGGAACCAAAGAAAAATCTCATTTCAGCCCTTTGAGTGCCTCATTCCTTTGAACATACTAATTTTCCTCTTAATGTGTGAAACTAAGCCCACTGATTGCTATCCCATGACCTGTCAACACCAGTATTTTTCTTCTTCCTACACATTGCCATGCCCCACCCTTATTTCCACTCACCACCCTAACAAAAAAAGAAAGAAAGAAAGAAATATCTGGCTTTGCTTTTCATGTGTAACTCAAGGGAGAGAAAAAGGTAACATATCTGAAATTATGTGATCCTGCTTTGTGCCAGTTCTAGTCAGCCAGCTGAGAGCCATCCTAAATCTTGGCAGGTTGGAGAGCAGCTCCTAACTGTGCAGACCCTAGCATAAATAAGGAAGACATCCAGTCTCTAGGGACAGGATTTGGGGGGGGGTGACTCCCTTGAATAACTACCTTCTTTTAATCAACTTTTAATCAGACAACCTTGAGATTAATATATCCAACTTTACAGGAATGTGTGTATTCAGTGCTAGTACCTCCTCCAGGCTAATTTGTTTATAGTAATTTCTTATCCTAAACATGTTTTCTTTGTATTTCTAAGAAATACATCTACCCTGGCATCTAGATTTTGGTCAGAGCTCCTTTCAGTTTTTTATTTTCTCCATTTATAGCAGTATCTCTTCCTATCCTGGCCCCTGATCATTTTAACTAATTTCTTCTAAATCATTTGCCTAGTACCACAGTTTCTGATATCCTTCTTGGGTGGTACCTAACATTCGATTTGGTTGGCCATCTTGGCCCACATAGGTACTATGGATTCTCTTTTTGAGTTTGAGCGCACAGAGCTCTTGATTTTGTGAATTGTTTCCCTTAAAATTCATTATCTTGTATTTTGTTTACGTGACTATTATTTGCTGCTTGTCTATCCACTCAAGTGCTCTTGGACTTGAAAGATCTTTATAGAAAGATCATAATCTGGCTCTTTTGCCTTGGCCCATTGCCTCCAGCTACTTTCCAACAGAGTTTATATCTCCCCAAACTTGTAGCCTTCACAGAAGACTCTTTCAGCTCCTTCAAAAAAGATGTTAATATCCCTGGCTCTTACATCAGCTCTTGGGGAGCTTTATTTCTTAGTCATTCCATTGAGTCAATAATATTTGACATGTGGTATGTACAAGTAACTAGGCAAATTTCCATATCCTCATCCCCCAAATTTTAGTTGTTTTTTAATACAATGTGGAATTTCTTCAGATTCTTCTGACTTTTATTTTACTTAGGTCACTTTTATACCTGTTGTCTTTCTCAAAAAATGCTACATAATGAAATAAGAATCTTTAAGATTGGAAACAGCCAAAGATGTTGGCTGTTATGCGTTTGAGTCCCATGTCAACCTTCTGCCCATCAGAGAATTCCCTTAACACGTCCAGCTGGTTATCATTCAGCTTCTGTTTAGGCATGTATTCAGAGAGCTCGTTCCATTTTTGGACTGCACTGATGTTAAAAAAAAAAAATCCCCTTTATATTGAGCTGAAGTAACCTGTTTTCCCAGTGTCTTAGTTCTGCTCTAATCCCTCCTTCCACAGCCTTTCAGTCTTTTGATTAAACTCCCAAGTCCTTTATGGTCTCTTCTTTAACATACCATATGGCTTCTGGACCTATCTTGTCCAAAAAAGGAGAGTGTTAGAACCAGTCATCATATACTAAATGTTTTCCATATGATTAGGAAGAGAGACCATTTCCTCTAGTAGAAGCAAAGTTATTTTCCCAAAGGTAAGCTGTGTTCACTAGACTCATCCAGCTTGATGGACCCAGAGAGGTAATTCCATGGTCTTTACCATCATAGCTTGTCTCTGAAGCTTATCAACAGGCCAGGTGGTCTTCAGCCAATTCCTTTGGTCCTCCCAGATACCTTCAGAAAGATTGGGTAGATGCCATATAATTCCTGAAGTATATCTACATATACTCTGGTTATCTTGATAAGAACATTTGGAGAATAAGTGTATCCATTTTGGGAGCAATTTGGAATGAGAATTTTTATTTCTTAGAAAAAAACAATTTTTCTACAATATCCTTTCTGCCCTTTAGTGTACCTTTTGGGTCTCTTATTAAGGGGTCCTACAGAATCTAATATTGCTGGTTGTTTCCTTTCTGTAAATGTGTTTGTAATATTTCAAATACTAAGGACATGGCCTGTCACATAGTGGATGTTCTGTGTTTTTTACCTTCACCATCATATGATGAACATCCTGTGTAGGTTGTAGAGGTCCTTGCCTTAACATTCTTCCTGTGTTGCCTGATTTGGTTTGCATACTTCTGAAGTCCATGTTCTCCTTACCTGGGTGAGCACCTTTCCATTTTTTGTTAAGGATGACCTTTTTTCCCTATAGTGACCTTTCTGGATTCTGCCAGTACTCACACAGCTTTTCACAGTAACTGTCATATTCCATCTAGGCACATTTTTCCTGAGACTCCAGGAAGGTTCGTGACTGTCACTTTTTTAACATCTTAAAATTTTTCTGCATTTGCCTTGTAAAGCTTCCCCTGTGGTAACAAATTTCTCGTTCCTTCAGGAATTATTCCAATAGCTTAGTTTGGTTCAAAAGCAGACTGTTTCTTCTCATTTCATCTTCAAATCAGACTTCTGGGCAAGATATTTTTCAGTGTACAAATCCAATGGATGAACTAATTTCCTTAAAAGAATTCTCTGGTACTATGAAGTGAGGTTTTTCAAAAACCCAAAGCAAGACACCCCTTCTCCTGCAAGTCAGCCACCAGTCTGCAACCAAACATGAACAGATTCTGCTGCTAATCGAATTTCCTTTTTGACCTGATTCCTTTTGTCAAACCTGTGCAATTAAATTATTTATTGTTTTATTACTGAACAGACAATGGTGTCCCAGAAAGGAACTATAAATAAAATTGAAACCTGGTGCTGTGATAAGGAAATAACTAACATTAATATGATTTTTTTCCAGAAAGTCCAGTGTGCACTTTAACAAAGGTTCCAGTAATTTATGTGTCATTTGCATTGTGTTAGGAATTTTAAAACAGCAATTCTAACAAAAATGCATGAATTGGGTATTTTTAATTTTTATCTTCATTAGAAAGCAATTGTGTAAATTTATGACCAGCATTAAAAAGAATTACATAAATCTTTTTTATTATATAAGTTTCTGGTGTACAGCTTTATAATTCAACATCTGTATACACTACAAAATGATCACCACCATGAATGTAGTCACCAATGGACCATCTCCTCCTCTAGTAACCACTAGTCTGTCTTCTATGAGGTTTATTTATTTTGTTTGTCCTTTTGTTGAAATTTCTCTATATAAGTGAAACTGACTTTTCTCCATTACATGTGTCCTTGGCTCCTTTGTGGCAGAACAATTGCCCAGATATATGTGGATTTATATCTGGGCTCTCTCAGTCTCTTCTTCTTGATCTCCGTGTCTGTTTTATACCCATACTGTACTGTTTTGATTACTGCAGCTTTGTTCTTCTTTCTCAAGATTACTTTGGCTATTCGAGATCTTTTGTGTTTTTTTTTTTAAAGATTGTATTTGTTTATTCATGAGAGACACAGAGAGAGAGAGACAGAGACCCAGGAAGAGGGAGAAGGAAGCTCCCTATGGGGGGCCTGACACGGGACTCAATCCCAGAGACCCTGGGATCATGACCCAAGCCGAAAGCAGATGCTCAGCCAATGAGCCACCCAGGCGTCCTCTTTTGTGGTTCCACACAAATTTTAGATTTGTTCTAATTCTGTGAGGTGTATTGTTGGAATTTTAAGAACTACTTCAGTAAATCTGAAGATTGCTTCCGGTAGTGTGGAGATTTTAATTACAGTAATTCTTCCAATCCATAAGCACAGAATAGCAATTTGCTTCTTCAGTGTCTTTCATCAATGTTTTATTTAAGTGTCCAGCTCTTTCACCTCCTTGATTAAATTTACTTGTAGGTGTTTCTTTTTGATGCAATTATAAATGGTATTTTTTAAAATGAGATTTCCTTCTTTCTGAGGTTTTATTCTTAGGGTATAGAAACATAACCAATTTCTCTGTATTTATTTTATATCCTGTAACTTTACTGAATTAGTTTTCTAGCAGTTTTTTGATGGCATCTTTAGGGTTTTCTATATATAATATATCATCTGCAAATAATGAGTTTTACTTCTTCCTCTCTGATTTGGCTGCCTTTTATTTCTCTTTCTTGCCTAATTTCTGTGGCTAGGACTTCTAATACTATGTTGAATAAACTAAAGGAATAAAAGAGGCAAGAATGGGCATTCTTGTTCCTGTTCTTAGATGAAAGGCTTTCAGCTTTGCACCGTTGAGTATGGTGTTAGCTATGTTTTATATGGCCTTTATTGTGTTAAGGTACAGCCCCCATTCCCTGATGTGCCTGCCCACTTTGTTGAGAATTTTCAACATAAATGGATATTGAATTTCGTCAGATACTTTTTCTACATCTATTGAGATGATAAAATGACTTATCTTTCTGTTAACATATCTCATTGATAGATTTCCATGTGTTGAACTATCTTTGTGTCCCTGGAGTAACTTGATTGTGGCATATGACCTTTTGTAACATATCATTAGATTAGATCTGCTTATCTTTTATTGAGGACTTTTGCATCTATATTCATCAAGGATATTGGCCTGTAATTCTTTTTTTGTGGTATCTTTGCCTGGTTTGGGTTATTATAATAACGGTGGCCTTATAAAATGCAATTGGAAGCTATTCCTCCTCTTTTGGAAGTTTTGATAGGTATTAAATCTTCCTTGAAAGTTTGGTAGAATTTGCTAGTGAGGCTGTCTAGTTCTGGACTTTGGCTTATTGCAAGGTTTTTATTTTACTGTTTCAATCTCATTAGTAATCAGTCTATTCATATTGTTTCTTCATGATTGTTTTTAAATTTTTATATTTCTAGCATTTTATTGACTTCTAGGTTTTCCAGCTTGTTGGTATGTAATTGTTCACAATAGTCTCTTAGGATCCTTTTTATTTCTGTGGTATCAGTTGGAACTACTTTTTATTTCTGATTTTGAGTCTGCTATTTTTTCTTGGTTAGTCTGCTAAGGGTTTATAGATTTTATCTTTTTTAAAGAACCAGCTTAGTTTCATTAATCTTTTTTATTGTCTTTTGTCTCTCTTTCTGCTCTAATCTATCTTCTATAATTTGGAGCTTTGTTCTTTTTCTACAGAGTTCCTTTAGGTATAAAGTTACATGATCAGTCTGAAATTTTTGTTTCTTTAAGTAGGCATGTATTGCTGTGAACTTCCTCTTAGAACTGCTTTTGCTATATCCCATATATTTTGGTATGCCATATTTCAGTTTTCATTTGTCTCTAGGTACTTTATTTCTTTGAGTTGATGACACATTCATTGTTCAGTAGCACAGTATTTAATCTCACATTTGTGGTTGAGTTTCATGTTACTGTGATTTAATTTCATACCAAAGATGCTTGATAGGGTGTCCATTGTCTTTATTATTGAAACTTGGTTTTTTGGCTATGATTTGTTTTAGAGAATGTTATTTGTACACTTGAGAAGAGTATGTATGTATTCTGCTTTTAGATGGAATGTTCTGAATATGTCTGTTAAGTCCATGTGGTCTGAAGTCCAGTGTTTGTTTTGTTTTCGTCTGAATGATCTATCCATTGAGTGGAATATTAAAGTTTCCTGTTACTGTATTGCTTTCATTATCTCTTTTTAGGTCTGTTAGTATTTGCTTTATATACTTTGGTGCTCCTATGTTGAGTGCTTACTAGTTATACCTTTTTGATTGACTCCTTTATGTAATGCCCTTTTCTTTAATTATTAGTCTTTAAGGTCTGACTGGAGTATAGCTAATCCAGCTTTCTTTTCATTTCTATGGAATATCTTTTTCTATCCCTTCCAATTTCAGTCTGGGTATGTCCTTCTGAAGTGTCTCTTGTAGACAATAGTAGGTAGATGTGTGTTGTTTTTTATCCACTCTGTTTTGGTTGACAAATTCGGTCCATTTCCATTTAATTATTGGTAAGCATATACTTACTGCCATTTTGTTCATTGTTTTCTGCCTGTTTATGTAGTTCTGTTCTTCTCTATCCTTGAGGTTTGATGGCTTTCTTTACTGTTATGTTTAAATTCATTTCTCATTTTCTTTTGTGTATTTACTATATTTTTCTCTTGTGGTTACCATGAGGTTCACATAAAATATGCTATGTAAATATCAGTCTGTTTCACATTGATAGCAACTTCAGAAATCTTTTATAAATCTTCTATAAATCCTCTCCCAAAAATGAACAAGACAGCACCTTAGTAATTTTTCTTTAGTAATAAAAAGTCTTTTCAACCAAATCATAATAATCTTCCTTTGGGAATTTTTGTTAGCTTGATTGATTTGCCCTCCTAACAGTAAATTATCTATCACTCATTATTTGGGCTCCACAGGCCCATTAAGCAGAATAGAAAAAGATACTAGAGAATTCTAATGTAAAGTAAATTTATTAAATATTGAAAATAAAAGATGTTCATTTTTCTTCAACATCATGTTCAGAAGAGGAGCATTCATTTGCTTGCAAAGGCCATAATCTGTTCCTGGAGAAAAATGAAATAAAGTGAGTGATACTCTGCACTGTAAAGTGTAAGGGTAAATGAAGAAAACATTTTAAAATAAAATATCCGGGGGTGCCTGACTGGCTCAATTGGTTAAGCATCCAACTCTTGATCTGAGCTTAGGTCTTGATCTCAGGGTTGAGTTCAAGCCCCACACTGGGCTCAATGCTGGGAGCGGAGCCTATTTAAAATAAAATATCCAAAGTGATTAAAGCAAAAACTTATTAGCAAAAGTCCCAGATAGATGCTCAAGAGTCCCTCGAAAAGTGTCTTTGAATGGAAGTTTCTCAGGAAAGAAGCTGGCCAAGCAGTCTAAAACATATCCCCCTTCCTCCCCCCCAGGATTTCATTTATTTGGTGTGTGTGGGAGGGGGACGACAAGCAGACTCTGCACTGAGTGCAGCACCCAATGCAAGGCTCGATCTCATGACCCCAAGATCATGACCTGAGCCAAAATCAAGAGTTGGACGCTTAACCAACTGAGCCTCCCAAACATCTTTATCTTTAAAAGTTCTTATTCACTACTTTAAGTCCTTAGATGTGGACTCTAGCACCCACAAGCCCAGCAAAGACTTTTTTGCTCATAATCAATGGGGGAGGTATTCAGAAAAAGATAATTTTACAGCCAAGAATATTAATTCAGAGAAATTAAGAGTCATTGGCAAAATCAATCCTCAATGAGCAAGACTTTTGGGAGAACCATGAGCACCTTACTTTGAGTGGAGATACTGCATTTGTGGCCTGCAAGCCCCATGTCCTGAGCAGCACAAGTGGAGTGGCACTGGTGGAATAAAGCCTTTTTAGTAGGTCAGTAGCAGCCAGAAGAGCAGTGTTGTGACGCTGTCTATCTGTTTCATAACCTGTGAGGTGGCTCATAGAGCCTGGAGGAAAGAGGAAAGTTATTTCTTATAGTGAAGTTGTTTCCTAGCAAACCAGACACATTTATGTCTACCACATCTGGCTATAGAGGGAGCATTTTGGGGTCCCAACCTTCCCTAACTTTATGACCTCTGATACTTCTCTGAGGTACCTGAATCCTTACCTAAGTCCTTCCCATTGAAGGCTGCAGCACTGAGGTGATGGACTAAGCTGGAGACATCCCCAAAGCCCATGTTGACACCTTGTCCTGCAAGTGGATGGACTCTGTGGGCCGCATCCCTAAAAAGAAAGCAGAGTTCAGGTGTGGCCTCCTGCAGCAGAGTGAGAAGTGCAGCCTTGCTTTGCTGTCATCTTACCCAATGAGTGCCAGCCGTGGCCGGACGTACTCAGCAGCATGTCCCAACCCAAGTGGAAATAGCACTCGGCTTTTGGCGTCCACTCTGGCTACACTTGGTGGCAGCTGGCGAGCTGAGACCTTAGTAGGCTTCAGAAAGGCAACAGCATATTGCAGCATGGCACCAGCCGAGTCGATGAAGTCTGTGTGGTTAGCATCACTCCACTGAGTAGCATCAGCCACAAATGGTGAAAAGTCATCAGTGAATAACAGGGAATTAAATCAGCAAGAAAACCCATTTTATATCTAAGACCGAGTGTTAATAGTACCTAACCTGCCTAAAATGATCTAACCACAGGTGACAAGCCCCTTAAATAAATGCAAAACACAACTTCTTATCCCTCTCCACAGCTTTTAGGATCAAGCCAAACCATTCATGAACTGCCCCTGCCTACCTCTGACCTTCTGCCGTTCACTTCACCTTAACCCCCTCAAAAAACATACAGCAGCCACAGGGTAGCTCATTCTACCACGTCCTCTTACCCCTGACACTCCCCCTTCTACACAGAATGTTCTTCTAATCCACCAGGATAGTCCCTCAGAGCATCCAGAAGCTATGAACCTCCCTCCAAATCCTCCCCTGTGCTTCCACGAACATCCTATGAATACTTTTACCAATTGTGTAAATAGCTTTCTCCCACACTCGACTGTGAGCTTCCTGAAAGCAAGGTCTAGGTCTCATTTGTCGGTCTCCAGACTCTTCTACACAGAAGGCACATATAATCGTTGCTAAATGAATGTACTGCAAAAGCCTGTGGCAGGAAGATCTGCTAAATGACCAGAGGTGCAGCATTCACCATTTACCCTGGAAGCCACTTCAGTGTGTACGGTTCCTTTTACTCTTGCTGCTACTCCAGAGCAGTGATGCCGAAGTTCCTCAGTATAAACTACCATGTAGGCACTATTAAGTGGTAGAGCTCGGTGGTTAAAACCACAGGCTCAGGGTACCTAGTGGTTCAGTCAGGTAACCATCTGCCTTCGGCTCAGGTCATGATCCAAGGATCCTGGGATGGAGCCCCACGTTGGGCTCCCTGCTCAGCAAAGGAGTCTGCTTCTCCCTCTCCTGCTCATATGCTCTCTCTCAAATAAATAAAATCTGGGCAGCTCCGGTGGCTCAGTAGTTTAGCACTGCCTTCATCCCAGGACGTGATCCTGGAGATCCGGGATCAAGTCCCACGTCGGGCTCCTTGCATGGAGCCTACTTCTCCCTCTGCCTGTGTCTCTGCCTCTCCCTCTCTCTGTGTCTCTCATAAAGATAGATTAGATAGATAGATAGATAGATAGATAGATAGATAGATAGATAGATAGATAGATAGATAAAGTTTATTCTTTTAAAAAACAAAAACAGGGCAGCCCGGGTGGCTCAGCGGTTTAGCGCTGCCTTTGGCCCAGGGTGTGATCCTGGAAACCTGGGATGGAGTCCCGCATCGGGCTCCCTGCATGGAGCCTGCTTCTCCCTCTGCCTGTGCCTCTGCCTCTCTCTCTCTTTCATGAATAAATAAATAAAATCTTTAAAACAAAAACCACCACGGCTCAAGGGTCAGCCTCACTTCCAAACCTGGCTATACCACTAGCTCTATCACCTTGAGCAAGTAACAGAACTCTAAACAAGTATGATAACCCTCCTCAACGGTTTGCATTAAATACAAACAGGTAAAACTTTTCACCTGTATATGGCAAACCATAAACTCAGTAAATGTTACTGATTTACTATTAGTGAACTTAGAGAAATGTAGTGTTTAAGTTCCAAAATTACTGGTGCAAAAAAACCAAAAACAAAAAAACAAAATTACTGGTGCCAATATATATATATATATATATATATATTTAAGATTAATCCCAGGACCCTGGGATCACGCCCTGGGCTGAAGGCAGGCACTAAACTGCTGAGCCACCCAGGGATCCCCAGGTGCCAATATTATTAAAGGCTGTGTCTATTCCAGAATAATCATTACCATTTCTTGACCACCTATAATGGACTAGGTATGCTCCAAATGTCTTATATCAATTCTGTCATTTTAAAAGTCTTTAAACTTTTATTATTATTACTGTTATTATTAAACCTGGAGAAGCTTGTGATAGAGTTCCATTTTCTAGGAGATTAACAGGAAGAACCAGTACTGAACTCATGTCTATCTATAGAACTTTCTCTTAAGCTCCCTGCTAAAACATGCTCAGCTCCTCTCAGAACATTTTTAATGAATCAGGCTTCAAAGGTTCAGGTACTTCGAACCTAGTATAGCTATTCAAAATTAGCCAGGTATTAATAGCTTCAAAAAAAAGGTCAATGCTAACTACTGCCCAGGCAGCTGTTTCACTCAACAAGCACAGAAATGAATAATTTCCATTGTCTGCATTTCCCTGAATGCCCTTCCCTCCATGTAACCCAGACCAAGTCCTATAGTTAGAAAGGGGCAGCTGATCTGTTATTCCTTTTTCCTTCATCAAAACCACCTATCTGTATCTATCCTACAAC